ATCAACACAGAGCCTAAACCACAGGGGTTAAAAATTGGTCCCCCCCAACGTGCGTTCACCTTGTCGTGGTGGGGGGGCTCAGTAGTGCCCGGCAATCCAACCGGACGCGAAGCTAAGAAACGCACAGGGAGGTTGCCCACTTCGGTGGGCGGTGGGAGGTGGCCCTCTTCGGGGGGCGGTGTACCATGCGGGTTGCTCCTGGTACTTCTCTGATAGCAGAGTGGACCTTGGAGCAACCCCATGGTTGTGGTGGTCTGCTTCGGCAGACCTGCCGTCGGGGCGTCGTAGTTGAATGCGTAAGCGATCCTGCGACGCCCCATCAAGACGGGGGAAGGTTTTGTTGGGTTTTAGTGGGTAGTACTGGCTGTATTACGCCGGTGAGTCCCACACGCCGTGCGTAAATGCATTTCCCAACGTTAAAAAAAAAAAAAAAGGGGTTAAAAATTGGTGTATTATATGATGTATATTGATGTTCTCCTAGCCGATTCCGGCTACGGCGGCCAGTCTCATTGAGATTAGCCAACGGCGCAGGAGATATTATAGTGCTCAAGTGTACGCGCAGACACAAGTGCACTCTCTATTCCTATTACTCTCATATTCCGGTGGGACGACCACTCGACACGACCGGTGAGAGTCAAGGCGCAGGACCGACGGCTTTACGTGCTCTCCGAGGCACGGGGGTGAAACACCGCCAACTTCCCAACTTCGGGCTGTTACTGAGACTTACTATACAGAAAGAATCAGTAACTAAACTTGGCCCGACCTGGGACTCGAACCCAGGACCTCCGGGTGTGCAGCCGTACATGCTAGCCACTACACCACCGAGGCAGTTGAATATGATGTAATCCACTAAAGAAGGATTTTTATAAATTTCACCCCTAAAGGGGAAGAATAAAGGATGAATGGTTGTATGGAAATCCGTTATTTTTAAGGTTAGAAGTTTGAAATTTCATAAACAAGCTTCTGGTTAGAAATAAATAAATATGTAGGTATTTCAGCGCTTTTGAAAATCTGACCCTGAGAGGGTAAAATAGGGGTTGAAAATTTATATAGGAGGTCCGTCATTTTTGAAGTAGAAGAAGAAGTAGAAGAAGAAGCATGAAGTTTCATATACAAGCTTCTGATTAAAAATAGATTAATATATGTTTCAGCGGTTTTGAAAATATGTCTCCTAAGAGGGTGAAATAGTGGTTGAAAGTTTATACTCGTATGGGTAGAGATCGTCATTTTTGAAGTAAGAAGAACGAAATTTTATATTAAAGCTTCTCGACAAAAATAAATATATATGTTAATTCATTATTTTTGGAAATTCAACGCCAGATGGGAGAAATAGGGTGAAAGCATTAGCATAAAAACTTAAAAAATAAAAATAACAGCCGATGCAAAGCAAATCTAATATATTTCGAGACGTAAAATAAATCACAAATTGTGGTAATTTTTTTTACTATATTTAATTAGAGTTTATACCTAATCATATTTACCTATTAGATATTCATATCTTAAAATATTGTCGGCTGGCACCGACTTCGAAAATATCTGATTAGGTATCTATTCTAAATGAAAACCCCCGTTTAGTTACTTTTTACATTTTTGTGCTTGGAAGTCAGTTTTTTAAGTTTTTATCTATGCATTTTTAGTGTAGACGTAATAAACATGTAATTTGTAAAAAGGAAGTTTTTGAATAACACATTCGATTAAGCAATTTATTTAAAAAATATATTGATTGTTGATATTTTTAAAACCGCTCGACCGATTTCGATAAAATTTAAATGAGACCACCTGGGGAGGATACCTTTCGAAACGATTTTTTTTCCGATGAATTGAGAATCTCCTCCTTTTTGGTAGTCGGTTAAAAATGAAAATAAATATGGTCGGCTCTGCTTGAAATTTACTATTTGTATTTCTTGATTAAGCCGATAAACTACAAACATGTATTACAAAGTTTTCATATTTGGGGTGGCAATTTATTTATTTTTGTTTTGAAGGGTTAGCATCTTTGTATGGGCATATTCGCTAAAAAATCTTCATATACTACTTATATATTCATATTTCTAGGTGGAAATAATGAAATGTAAAATACAAAAAACTTGAGAAAAAAAACTAACTTTAAAATACAAAAAATATAAAAATAAATAAAAACCCGACCGCATAATATGAGTACCATGTTGCTATGTCAACTTGTTCTCATCTTTGTAGTTCGCCTTTCACGCAGGTAGGTTTTTTATTTTTATAAATTTGATTTATTATTTTTATAAACTCGATTGATTCAGACGAATTTTATTTTTAAATTAATTTACAGAATATACCTAAATACCTATATCTTTTCAGATACTGGATATTAAAAAATCTTTTGTGTATGTTACGATTACTAAAGTTTTTATTTTCCATAATATATTCAAAACATAGTATGAAACGTGAAATATATTTGCAATTAATAATGTATTGCGAGAAAGTAAAAAAATATATTTGTGTGTAAATATGTTAGTCAAACAACATAATATACGGCGGTACGGAACCCTCGACGCGCGAGTTACAATCATACACATTTGCAAATCATTAAAGTCGTCAAATTATTACTAAAAGCATAAAGCCAAAGTTTTTTTTGTAGTTTTAACGCGAGCGAAGCCGCGGGTTATTCTAGTTACTAATAGTAGAAGAGTTTGTTTTTTATTATGTAAACGCAGATACCGAGTCGCGGGGACTGCCAGTATAACATTTTCAAGTTAGAATATTTAAAGGCCTATAGAGCCCCTTAAAAGTCGTCCGGAGTATTTCAGAGTCAATAATATTTGAAATTATTATTTATTATACTTCCACGGGAACATCTTTATCAAGGGGTTTTCCTCGGAAAACATTTTGATTTTAAGTGAGCGGAATCAATAAGCTTAAACCTAACGTATTTTTAAGTAGTATTATAGTTCCCAGAGTATATTCTACGGAATACTTTGGATACAAGTCCGTCTCCCTGAAAGTCACCATTGTAAGCTTTAGATTTCGGCGTGCATTACATTCAATACGCTTGCATCATGAATATACCTAGAACCAAAACCACTGGAGGGATTTTGATGAGATTCAGTATAGTGATAGCTGGTTATCCGGGTCAACATATAGGATATTTTTTACCCTGGGAAAATGTCTAATTTCCAAGAAAAAATACAAAAACTGCAACGTAAGATTATACTAATATGTCAAACCTAAGAATTTGGTTTTTGGTCATCTGTACGCGGGCGAAGCCGCGGAAATGCTAGAAATATATGTGTATTATAATAGATATTACATAATATTTATAAATATTACCATAATATATGTATTTATCCCTAATAATATTCATGTTATTTGTAATTAAAGAAACAATATTTATATGTAGATAATGTTTTTAACATATTTTTTAAATATTTTTAACTATTTGGAACGTTTTATATGACTTTGGTTGCTTGTACAGAATAGGAATGCTCGAAAAAATTATTTAAATATACAGGTATTCTTTGCATAAAATTCTTTGAAGAACTTAATATATTTGTGTAAGGTCATAGAAATTCAAATATCTTCTTAAAATAAGACGGATGTGTTGGATCAAAGAAACACAGTAGGTAGGTATTTAAGCATATTGAATCTGAACCGATTACAAGAGTTGGTATTAGATTTTATATTTAGATGTTTTATATTTAGAGTTGATGATTTTGTATGAAGAATTGCAAGATTTTGTTGATTGAGTTGCTCAAGTGTATTTAAATAGTCCTCGGTCAGATAACTGCTAACATAGGTACATAGTTTTGGTAGGAATGGTAAGTATGGAACGAAGATTCTAATTTAAGAAGTATTTCCTACTCACTTCTTTAATTTGTATATATTTAATGATTTGATAAAGTTTAGTCACCGTGAGTTTAGCCAAAATCTGTAACTTTGGAACAATAAAATATTAAAGGTCCATTATACTCTATCAGAGATAAGGTATAGACTTCGACTTTAGCATTACTGAGATCAAGAAGTGGCAGGATTGTGAGTTGCTTATTATCCATAGCTAAACGAATGTTGTCCGTAAGCTTGATTAGCCCTGATGTCGTACTAAGACCCGGGTGGAGGACCAGATTGCCAAGTACTCAGGATAGAATGCTGATTAATGAATAGGGTTACTTCTTATAGTAGGTTTCTCTAGGATTTTGGAGATGAATGGCAAAACAAAAATAGGATGGAAGTCACCTATGCATTAAGGGTTAACCTTTTTAGGGACAGGGTCACAGGTATAATTTTGACAATGAGATTGATTTGAAGATTCTATCCATTAGTATGTACCCTTATGCTACTAACAAACACTCAGAGTGTTTGATTATAGTAAAAAATAAAAAAATTGAAATTTATTATAAAGATACATTCATAAATTCAAAAGAGTTTGTTCGAAAATGAGTTATTAAATGTATTTCAGAATATATTTTTTATCTACATATCACTTAGCTGTACGTGTTAGTGGATTGTGTTTTATAATGTCACTCTTTCTTTTCTTTACACACATAATTGTAATACACTTATTACATAGAATTTACACGTGTAGTAGAGTCCCTAGATAACTTTTGACTTTGATTTGACTTTTTCAGTGTGATCTACTAAAGCTGTGTATTTGAATTTAATACTCAGCATAGGTTACGCGAGCTTTAATTTCGTAAAGCTGTATTAATAATTTGGTATTATTTCCTAAGCTATAAAACCGAATAACATACTGTAAAGGGTAACATACTAACATACCTAAACCTTAATTATTACATTTACAAATTAACATGCAGAGACAACATTTTTAAAAAGTTAGCTAAAGTAACTTTTTATTTTTTGTAGTCATATCGATAATCGATATACTAATTAAATAATACTAATATGATATAAGCACCTACTTAATGCCTAACAAGTAACAACACAGTACAGTAGATAGTAAAGTTACATTTTATTTGGTTATATTAATATAAATAACAGCTTTGTATTTTCTTAGTTATAAGGGCTTGTGAATTTTAATAAGTGCTTTCGTTATTTCCTCTCATAGAAACACTCATTCTCCTAAGTGCATTTGGAATTGGACAGGTGGAAGGAGGATATCTTGGACGTTCAGGCCGCGGCGGGAGGCGGGAGTCCGTACTGGCTCGAGCACGGAACTCGTCCATACATTCGGACTGGCCCGATGAAGATGTGGAATCGCTTCGTACAATGCCTATCTTGTCTCGTTCATCTAGTTCTACTTCAGTGAATCGCCGACCTGAAATAATAATTTAAGACACACATTTATATGAAATTATTGAATGTATATGAAAAAATCCATTCCAGTTCCAAAATTCCAGACATTAAAATTACTATTTATGTGTTGATAGATGATTGCATTTTAAAAATAGTTATGTCCAGTAACCGGAAAAACGGTAATTTTCTAATAAAATGTACTATGTTATCGAAAAATTGTTTTTTTAACGTAGTTTATTTTTATTTTTTACTTTTTAGTGTCTGTAATAAGTTATTCTGTAAGCTAAGTAGGTAATAATGTAACAATATTCTTAGTTTCCCTACTCCGCACGCTCGCTCCGCTCCAATGACAGGCAACCTAATACCCACACGGACGGGACACGGGTTAATAATAATATAATATAATCAATCTAAATGACAACTCCTAAAAACTAAAATAAAATTAATTACATCGTCCACGTAAACAAAAATGTTCATAAAAATTTTCATAAAATGAAAACTATCGGGCCAAACTATGTTAATTTTTTTGGGACCAAATGGCAACTATTCCGCATCAAACTAAAGAAGAATCACGTAAATCGCATCATAAAGCTCAGCGTAATCAGTGTACATAAATAAAAAAAATACTAATCGAATTGAGAACCTCCTCCTTTTTGCAGTCGGTTAAAAATAAATCGTCACCTACGCACAAAGTTATCTACGGCGGGCGGCCGTCAGGCGGACGGGTGCTTCGTTAATATTCTATAAACTATAATATAATAGTGATATTTTTATTTTTACGTTTCGGAATTTGTGGGCGACTGTATATTTTCTTTTATATCTGTTTAACTATACAATTAAATTATAAAGTTAGTTAACAGGTACCTAATAAAATATATAGATGCGAAACTCGATTTATTTTATGAAGGCTTGATAAATCGGTTGTGTGACTGAGTTTCAAAATGTATAACTTCTAAAATTATAAAATTTGTGGTACTAGTGATCGCTCTGTGGTCAAAAATCGACAATTACTGAGAGACCATTGAGTTATATCGTTCAGATTCTTGTGTCAAAGTAATATAGGAAGCCTGCTCCTCAATCCTTATAAGTATATCTACATATGTATGAGACTATCACGTGCATACAAACGGACAAACTTAATCAGTATTAAATTGATGAAGGTTATAGGCTACCTAGTATCATACAGCAGCTTTTAGAATTAGATATATAAATAAACTAAATAAACTGCGAGCGAAGCCGCGGGTTAGAGCAAGTTAATAAATTCTAGCTCCCTAAAGCTCTTTTTCTTATAAGATTCTCCTTTGTATGCGCAATATGCTTAAAAAGGGGTATAAAATTTTTCACTTACATATGTATGGGTACGTGTTATGATAATAATAAGTAATTAATATCCAATATTAATGAAGAGTAATTATTTCTTTAATTTTAATTAATTAATTTCTTCAAGACAAAAGCAAAAGCCTTTATGTAATATAAATACTTATAGGGAATGATGAAAACGTAATATTTATATTTCGCGTAATATTCAATTTACACCCTTTTTTTCGAACAATACAAGGCTAAGCGTAGGCGTAGGTAGGGCGTAAGGTAGGCTAAGCGATTACGACTTGTTTTGTTATTTCATTTTATACGCGGCGCGCATATAAACAATTGATTTAACTAAAAAAAAATAGATTTATTTTTTACTGTGAAGCCTTCTTAGAGCCCTAATAACTAATTCCTTAATAATACAACAATTTTTATATACCTACAAGACGATAGATAAAGCACAACTATATATGAGTTATGTACCTATAAAAGTAATTAATTATCATTATCAGTGCCGGATTTAACCTTAGCACCGCTCTGGCATACAAAAAAAGGCCTCCCTATTATCGAAATTTTGCATAAAATGAGTAAAGTTTTGATAAAGTTTATTTTTTTTAATTAACGAGTTTCAATTCTCTTTAAAAAACAAAAAAATATATAAATGATATCAAAATTTCTAAAAATGTACCTACTAGTTAATTTTTTTTTAGTTTTTGGAAAATATAAAAATCATTTTCGATAACGAATGAAGAAAAATTTTTTGCCGCCCCCGAATTTTGCCGACCCTAAAAATTTACCGCCCTGGACACTAGTCCTGAGTGCCCCTATTATAAATCCAGCGCTGATCATTATCTATTATCAAGAACATTAAAGGTAACTAAAGAGGGTACTAAGGTAAGAAAGAAGAGAAAATCTAGATTGTACTGGAATTAAGAGAAGCACAGATATAAAATCGTTTAAATATATGAGAAAAAATCTTCTCATTATTTATTTAAATTAAAATAATTAGGTTATGATATATCCTGGATAAGCACATGCGCCACTTTTTATCGAGGTGCCCACCATACACGCGGAGCCACGAGCAAAAAGTAGTGTGTATTCAAAAGTAGTATAAGATATATTTAAACACTTCAGTATTGAAAAGAATAAAACGGAAATTAATATACATTCAAGTTATGTCATTCAATAATGTTATTCATGTGAGACAATTCAATATGCACTTACAATAGGGAGGACTGATATTGTCAACAGTTTCCGATGAGGTGTCCGAGATCGCACGCGCGAGCGGGCGACCTAGAGCCACTGTATGTACGTCCGGCTCCCCGCGCCCGCGCGACCATTTGCTTCCTACTCGCCAAAAGCGACGTGCATCTCGAAATACATTCCATACCTGAAACGTCGATTTTAATCATAAAGGAAAATGATGATATCATTTGTTTATTTTTTGGGACATTAACACAGCACCATCTAGTTCCATGGTAAGCTACGAGGCTTGTGTTATGGATACCAGATAGTTGATATACTACACATATTATATATTATATAAACTTTAAATACATACATATTATAAATATAAACACCCATGACTGGAGTACAGACATTCGTGCTCATCACACAATGAATGCCCCCAGCGGGCTCGAACCCGCGACCGCTGGCACAACAAGTAGGGGTCACTACACAAAAAATATTTTATGATTCATGCATGTATCTATGTTGTAGCTACTGAATTTTGTATATACCTACATATTATATGTAGTTAGAGACTGGCTAACGAAAGCGTGTCCTGGAGTTTACTTAAAAGTTTTGATATGACAAGTTGACAACTCACAACATTATTAAGCTGTCAAAGGCACGACAAACTTCAAAGTTTCTGGTTGCTTTGATTTTAAGCGTTGTTAGTAACTATATACATTTTTGTGCATAAACTAATAGGTACATACATATAACATGAAACGTGTATACTAAGTTATATTAGATTCAGCAAACAACTTAATGATTACTTAATTTTGAAGCACGGCTCGGACATTTTCTTTTGTAAAGTATGATGTTGATATGAATTAGAAAACTTTCAGAATTTCTAAAGACGTGGGGTATTCCTTAAATTAGAAATTAAATTCGCAAACAACTATTATACAAATTAATTATCGTAAATACAAAAAATACTAAAGTATCATTTTTCTCTTACTATAGTTAGTTATACCAAGTAGATTTTTTGTATTTGCCGAGTTTTCTCAGGTCACGCTTTCGTTAGCCAGACTCTACATCTCTACATTACACATGTTTAAAAACAATTTTCATGAAGACACGATTATTGGTTTAAAAACTATAAAACTATTAAGTATAAATCGAAGTTACAGTATAATTTTGACGACTAACTGGCCACGTCTGTTCGGTTCAGTGTTTTTAAATGCACTCGGTAAAAATGTAGCGACGGATCGCATCAAAAAGCTATCGCGCAAAGTAAGAAAAATAAAAATGTACGTGTACCCGTACAATATTTATAACTAGTAGGACCCGTGGCTTCGTTCGCGCTAAAACTATGAAAAAAAAAATTGGCTTCATGCTATTTGTAATAATTTGATGATTGGAATGATTTTCAAATGTGTACGATTAATTATGAATGAGTATGATTATGCCTCGTGCATTGAGAGTTCCATAGCGCTGAATATTGTGTTGTTTATACTAACAAATTTACACGCAAATACAATTTTTACAGAGATTATCTGGATCTACTGAAATTTTTAAATCTATTGAAATTTGGTAAGAAGATAGTTTGAGACCCTGGGAAGGATATTTTTATCCTGAAAATCGTCCCTTAAGGAGGTGAAAATGGGGATGAAAATTAGGATATAGGAAAGCACGCTAGGGACGAACTCGAGGGAAGCGAGGGTGAGTCGCTAGTACCTATGTAATAACCACAAAACATGTTTTATTAGAATTGAATTCTTTTAAATTAGATTAAAGAAAGTCGGCCGTTTAAAGATTGATAGTTTTTTTCATTTGCTCTCTACATAATTTGGATTTAAAGGTAAAATTTAAATTCTGAAAAATAGATTATCATATTATAGAATACGTAGGTATATGTGTATAAAATACAAGTTCAAGTAAAGATAAAACGGCAAAACCAGAAGTACCATTAGTAATCTCTAAATTACGATAATAATGACTTTTTCACTGACGCGGACGTCAACTTAGGTCACGTTGTAAATGTTCATTTATTCACAGCCTATTTGCATAATAACAAGAGTAGTTGTACTCAGTTATTTTTATCAAGATGTTGCATTAGAAGATCTGTCTTTATATTGGTTCATATTGATAGGGAATAGTATTAAATTTCTTTTAATGCTTTATAGTTGTTAGCTTATAGAATAACGTATGATTAGTTCATAACTCACTATACTAACTTCAATATGAATCTCAAAGAAGATAAAATTATAAGTATACCATATACCTAGAAATATTACTATAACTTAAAACTTATTAGTTTAGAGAAAACATTGTAATGTCTTTATTAAAAATGAGAAATAGAGGACTTAATTTTTTGTTTTTTTTGTTATTAAATTAATAGGTATTTCTTTTTTATGCCTATGTAAGAACAAACTAAAGATAAGTAGTTTTTTGAAACTCACTTAAATAGAAATATGCTATGTTAATAGTATAGAGAGAGTTGCTAAATCTTATACATTATATTTATTTATTTGTGATATTGTAATAAAACGTTAAAAAGACCCCAAAGTTTTAAGTCAACTTAAACTTTTCATGAAATAAATATTTTTCAATAAAACAAAATTTTAGAAACACTTACTTGATCAATGCTCTCTCTAACAGAAATCTCGTGAAAGCAAACACATCCGATTTCCTTACTTCTTCGTTGTCCCTCGTCGGTGCTCACCATACGGTCCCCAACTTGATCCATTTTGTTGCCCACGAGTACAACAGGTGTCTCCAATATACTATCCTAGAAATATATTAAATATTGTTTAAATAACATTCGTGCACATATTTTGTACTACTTACTAATTTTATACAAATATGTACATTTATGAAACAAAATTAATACTTAGAGCCGTCTAGTCACTCACTCTGGTGACTAATATATAAACAAATGCAACTAAAACTGTTATAACACGTTTATTATAAACATTACAATTGTTTTATACTTAATATTACATTTTTAGCATGGAAGTTTGCCTTTGTGATGAGAGCACTATCCTAGAAAGCTATTAAAATTATGAGAGCAAGCACTCAGTTAATCTAAAAACAAAACAACTCGGGAAAAGCCGGTAACCAAATAGTTACTGTTGCATTTTTCAAGTCACAATATTTTTGTTTAATTTTTAATAGGTGACATCTAAAGACTTAAAACAAATAGATAAAAGTCCCGCCGCAGCTCTATATTTCATTATTATTTAACTTTCGTAAAATTTTAACGAACTCCATAAATCATGCTGTAATTATTATCCTTGAAACCAGATCCCTTTACGACAAAGTCTAAAAACAATGGAAATACAAACAGTTGCTATACTATAAGCAAAGCTACGCAGAAACCTCGTAAGCTGATCATTAACATCGTTTCATATGTGTGTAATGTTATTATACTTATACTCAGTATATTATTATATTAAAAAAATAACTAAAAAATCACGTATTAAGAAAATTAAATACGTTTTTCCACAAACTCACATATCTTACTAGAATACATAACAGTTCTTAAATATGCGTTTAGGACCTTTAACAGGCGTCTTAAATGTAATGTAAAATAGCAAATAAAACGTCCAACAGTACAATTTGAAGTTTGCTCATTTATGTACTTACGTATGGTATTTAAATTAATTTTATTTGCGGCTCTCCTTGGAGCCACCAAGAAATTGTAATACCTTGTATATATTTATTTTAATTAAATTATAAGAACAAAGAGTAAATGTATCAACCGTGAAAATAGTATTTGGTTACATTAGTACCTTCATACTAGCGGTAAGTCTGCGCCGTCTCTTGTTATAATTGATGAGAAATTTCAAGCGGTGGCACTCGTCAAACGAGCACTTGTCCGTTACGGAATACATCAAAATGAATGCTTCCGCCCATCTAATATTACTTTCTAAGTTTGCGTATTCGCTTTCCTGAAATACACAGTTAACAGTTTTTGCATATTTTGTCATTTTTTTACATAGATATATTATATTACCAGTAAATATAATAAGTAAATATAATATGTAAATATATCTATGTTATTTCTTCTTTAAAATATTACAGGGCCAATATATAAAATTATAAATTATGCAAGTTACTAAAATTTTATTGCTTAATTTACTAGACAGTAAAGGCAAAATATTGATACAGGTTTGCAAGACTTTATAGAGGCTTGGAGACTTCGGCAGTGCCCGAGTGATTAATGTGGTGCGTAAGCAAACGGCAAATAGATCAACATCATGTGGTTTTATCTGTTATTACATTTATCAAAATTGACACTGTTCAAAGGCACCGTCATAATTTAAGTATATTCCTTCTAATTCATTAATTATTATCGATCTGATATAATATTAGTATTGCCGCCCGCCCATAGCATGAAAGTTAAAACGTTTTTTATTTACTTACGTGAGAATCACCCGCCGAATCCAGAATTTCAAAGTAAATAGTTTCATTATCTATTATTGTTTGATATGAATATATTTTTTCTAAACTCGGATCATATTCCCCAATAAATCGTCTTGTGATAAATCTTACGACTAGTGCTGAAAATAAAATTACAACGATGATTTAAATTCCTAGACAGACAATACATAGCGCTTGTACATTTATTATTATTTAATTATTTAAATTAAAATTTATCTGACATAGGACCTAGTAGGTATTATATATTATACAGGTACCTAGTGGTATCACCTGTAAAATCTTTATATGTGCTATAATAGAAACAATAAAATATCTCTCACTACTGAAGTAATAGAATAATAATAATAATGTTCTCCTAACCGATTTCGGTTACGTTGGCTAATCTCACTGAGACTACGCAACTGCGCGGGATATAAGTATACGTATTATAGTGCACACGTGTGTGGCGCAGACACCAGCGCGCTCTCTTCGATTTTATTCTTTAGATCAGCCGCAGGATGAAAAACTTAACGACATTGGGTAAGCCGTGTGTTCGTGTACCCTCAGTAACTATTTTGGCAGCCCCGGGACTAGAACCAAAGATATCACGATCTGGAGCCAACATGCTATTCTCTACTCTAATGAGACTTCAAACCAATTAAATTAAATATAATATGTTAAAATTCGTATTGTTAATCAACGATGCTCTCAGCGCAATGTACCTAATTTGTCCCAATACTTATTACTCTAGAGGTTGCAGAAACTAAATGTTTTCATTTACATGTAGACGTTTGTTCCAATTTATAATAAAGTGTTATGTTCGGAACTGGAAAGCGGAGACCTGATCTATATTACTCCACAAAAATCGATAGCCATGAATATTAGGAAAAATAGTTTGTTACGTCATAATAATATGCATATTCAATATAGTTCAGGAGCCAATGACAGATTTACATGACCAAGTTCCTCTCATGCGATAATTAGTGAAATGCATCAGAGAGTTGTATCACAAAGCTTCGTGAACATCAGCTACGGTATGAGCGGCGGTAGCCTTCCACGGATGAAAAAAAAAATACAATCATTTCCTCTTACCTGAAAATTTGTTAAATTGTCGCTAACCTAATATCTCGAGAAAAGAAAACAATCAGCTGACTATAACATGGTGGATCATACGTCCGCTGGTCGCTCGAACACGAAAAAAAAATATACTTTCAATGATTTCCTCTCAGCTGAAAATTTATCTGATGGTAGCTTATATGCAAATATGGATAAATATATATGTCAGCTGGCTGTATCTCGGTGGAAAGACCGTCAGCTGATACGTTGAAAGAAATAACGCAGGAGTTAGGCGGGACGTTAGGCGGGAGCATCTATCGCCTATTTAAATGCAGACGAGGTGGTCAGCTGACGAGGTTTCCCTCGATTTACCGTCAGTTGATTTTTATTAATTATAGCAGTATTAAAAATCAGCTAACAAATTTTCTATGAAATGACTGACGTATTTTAAATTATTCGGCATTACGCTTCAATGAAATTGTTATTCCGTATAAATACTTCAAAAGTAAAAAAATAACTGAAAATATATTGAGATTTCCTCTTGATAAATTTTCAGGTAACACGAAATGATTAAATTTATTTTATTTTTTTCGTCCGTGGGAGGTTGCCGCCGCTCATCCACGCCCTCGCCCCACGAAACCGTAGCTGACGTTCACGAAGCTTTATGATACAACTCTCTGATGCGTTCCACTAATTATCGCTTGAGAGGAAATAATTGACCAAATTTTTACCTGGCTCCTGGACCAATATGGATTTCCATCTCCCACATTCATAGCTATTTAACATTTTCTACTTATTTTCAGTTTTTAAAGCTATATTTATCTGCATTAGCGTTAGAAACTGAGGTATACCTGATTTGCCAACTCCTGATTGTCCTAGCACCATAACTCTGAAAGGTTTCTGCTTAGGATAAAGTACTAGTTTCGCTAATGATGACTTTGGTGAAGGCATAGTTCCACTCATTTTTGTAATTATTACTTGTGCAGATTTTTTTAAATAATTAATAATTTAATTGAAGATTACATGAAAAAGTTTTAATATATGCACGTACTATATGTACGTACGTAACGCCTATATTAATCAATTTAAAAAAAATATCTATTGCCAAACATATTGCTTCGTGCACTAATTGGATATGTAGGTAATAGTATATATTAAATAATTGTATAATTCAAAATATAATATTTTAACAAAATGAATAGTCCTATAATCTTCTTTCAAAAGAATTTTCATTATTTATAAGCTAACCATATGTACCACAAGCTTTCGTACATAATAACATTCAATACGTTCGTTCTTACTAATCATACTATTTTTGAAGAGTATCAAAGTATACAGAGCTGCGAACCTTTATTGTAAAATTCATATGTTAGTACCTATTAGCAAGCCAAATATAAGCTTGAATCAATGACTAAGATTAATAAAATATCTTATTTGAGCCACGTCGATACATTTAGTTTTATGAGCTGGCTATTAATTTTGTGTATAAGTTTTAAAAAATCGTTATTACAAATTCATATTTTATTTCATTCAAATTCATATTTACAAATAACAAAAAATATATCACTGCATATCTTTTGTCATACTGTTTATAACTAGTTACTAGATGCCTAAAGTCTACAGTGACTAAAGTACACTTAATAATTCAAAAATAATTTTCATATAAAATTTTATGAAGTTTAATCTAAACTTGTGTACGGTGTGTGTTATTTTATCATCGACTCTTTAGAATAAAATATAAATAGAAATGTGTAATAAAAGCGCGTAATAAACCACGATAAACGATCACAGACGCGCGCGAGTATACCGCGAGGGACACCGGTAGCTACTGCGGTTTGCCTTTGTATAGGGCTATATGATATATCCATACAGGAACAGAGAAAGAGTTTTCCTCGCACGTTGTAAGAAAGAACATGAATCGTGGTAAAATTATATTAAAAAATCTTTTAAAAATAAGATTTTGTATTGAAAACCTTATAGAAAAAAAATATTTAGAAATCAATACCCGTTTCTGAGTGTCATGAGAATTTAACAAAAGTTATTTATCTCACTACGAAGTTAAAAAGTAGAGATAATCTGGACTAGTATCGTAAATTATTTATACAGTAAACGATTTGTACACGGCTTAACAACTGCGAAACTTACTTCAAAATTCATTAGGTACTATTACTTTTCTGTCACTCAGCTATGTATTATTACATAGAGATATCTATACATATGTCAGGGCCGATGCTCGTAATGAGGAGGCATAAAATTTCCAAATGAGGTGCGATGGTGACCGGGTGCGGCCTTTAGTAGATATATGTATATGTACATTATACATAGTGCGTATATAACGAACTTATATCTATCAAAGTTCTACCAGATGTTCCTCTCCCACGCAATGTCGATTTTAATGACAATGAAGGAGAGCTTTGTGAAATGTAGTTTGTATGTATGTATATGATCATTAATCTCTTATCATCAGTTATTGTTCAACTTAAATGAGACTTAAACAAACAAATCAACACCGTTATTAAAAATTAGTTGTTATCTAGATCAATAACAACATTGTTACTTATTTGAAACTGAGCTAAGGCTGTTAAAAGGATAATGGGTACATTAAAATAACAAATATTTTTTCATTATTAAAGGAAAAGGCTATAGGTAAAGATAACTTGAATAGATCAAAAGGTCAGACCGTACGATCTTTGAAATTTCCGAGATTCTCCGAGATCTGATATTATACAAAATATATAAAATAATGTCGTGGCAATTTGCAATATAATTACAAAATATTTTTGTTACACTTTACAGCCACAAGACCAAATAGAATATATCTTTTATTTGGTCGAAGTTTATGACTGTGTGTGTTAATACTATGATAACATTAAAGGTTGTCGATAGAAGTTACTGAAACTTGGTAATCGATATGGTTTGAGCATGACACAAGTTTTATAACTTGTTTTCCTTGAAACTTCTTAAACAATAATTTAAACTATTTCAAACAAAGCTCTTATTGATAAAGTTTCAGTAAATAACGTAATGTCAAAAGTAAAATAAAACATGTACCTCTCTACGATATTCATTTTATTGATGACATAAATAATTTTGTATTTTATAGTAATTCTATGAGAAACAAAGGTAATTTTGCGGTTAAACGCATGAAACGGAAAATATCCCATATCATAAAAACGAACTGGATGCCTTTATTTAAAGAGTAGCCGGTCATTACCAGAAATAGAGCATAGCGGAAGAACAAGATAGGCCTTTGCCGAGCAATGGGCAATGAAAATGGCGTCAAAGAAGACAATATTATAAATTTTAAAATATTATCCCCTCAACAACAAAAAAATGAAAAAAAATTGCTGATAAATACTATCTAAATAGGAACATACATAATATCGTAACGTATGTCATTTCATACATATCATTAGCGATAGAGTTGGTTTGACAACAACCATCAAGCCCTTTATTTCTCAAATATCTAATATCCTCAACACTCAATGAACATTATAATAATTAGTCATTAATATTTTATTTTTTTATGCAAGGAAATATTATCTAATTGCCTATTTTATTGGACAACAAAAAAACTTCTTACATAGCGTCATGCTACAAATATTGTCAAATTACAAATCCATACTAATATTATAAATGTGAAAGTGTGTTTGTTTGTTTGTGTGTTTGTTTGTCTTTCTTTCACGTCGAAACGGAATGACGATTTGGCGTGATTTTAACCTACTTTTAATTTTCTTATCGGTTTGAAACTTAGAAGTAATATTTAAAGTTATACTTCTTTTGGCACATTTGGAAAATAAATGAAAGTAAAAATTTTACGATGCGCGCGCACACCAACATCCAAAAAGCGACATGATGATGTTAGCTGAAAGCGACATGATGAAATTAGCTGCATTCCTTTCCTTTTACAAACAGAGAGTTGTGACATATGGTATGAAATTTTTAGCTATTTTTGTTCTGTTATGCCAAAGAAGTATAACTTCATAAGTGCGTACATAAGTACACACACGTTTTTTTTAATTTAAATGGAATCGTTATCGTTAGGCAATTTTTTATTACTTTTATTTTTTTATTTATTTAAATATGTTTATGTTAAATTAACTTATTTTCATTCCTAACGAAGAATTCATTACTGACAGGAACTGGAACTAATAAATACACTATTTTCATTTTCACCTTATGAAAATTTTGTAACATTTTCAAATTGCAATTTTTTCTTAAAAATAACATAAATATAACAACGATTCTACTTCATCTAACTTTTTTTCTAACTCTAGGCCTCTTCGGAAGAAAAATTTAAAAACGTTACCGTTAACGTTACGTTAAGAGGCCTACGAGTATTACATTATGACCGTGAGTTTTCAATTTAATGCCCATCTTTGACGTTCTTATTCAGAATAACTGAAACTCTTCGACAATTTACTTATTGTATGGTGGAGAATAGTTATCAATATAGTTCATAGCAGCTTCGCTTTTCGCAAATTTTCATTATTAATTGAAATAAAGCCAAAACTCAAAAGAAAGAATTTTTCGAAATTCATCCCCTAAGTGGGTAAAATAAGAGATTAAAGATTGTATGAAACTCTGTCATGCTTAATTTGAAATACACAGAACCACTGTTTAGCTTTAAAATAAAAAATAAGAAATACTCGTATATTTATTCGATTTTTTTCGAAATTCATCACTTAAAGGGGTAAAAGGGAGTAAAGTATATATGGACAAAGAATTATTTATGATCAGAATTACTTGAAACTTGGTATTAATGCTCCTCAATACAATTAAATAAATACGTGTTTTAGTATTTTTCGAAACTCAATTCCTTAAGAGGGTAAAATAGGGGATAAATGTTTGTATGTAACTCTGTAATTAATGTGTAAAAAAGTACAAAAAATAAAAAGAAATAGTCACCCGTAGACGATTTAAGAGTTTTCTTTCTGTAAAATGATATCAACATAGCCCCAAATATAAAGATAATGATTTCGGCAATTTTGGTCGCCTTATTACTATATCCCACAATTTCTTCAGTTTTTGTCTTTTGGAAACAAATGATATCCATTTTATTGCATCCTGAGACTGCACAATGGTCATTTTGATTAAATTATAAATTAAATGAAAAATAAAAATTTTACATAATATGTGAAGTTCTATAAATATGAAGGCCATAGTGATCGTGACAACTGGCGGGAGAAAAAGGCAAAATTGTTCCCCATTGGTAAGAATAAAGTGGAAAAGTGAATTCGTTATCTATACATTTTTATACAATTCACACTTGTTTATACAATTATATATTATTTAGTTATATATTATTATATATTTATTATATAATTTATAATATCAACGATATGTAATATTGTATATTATTATGTACATATTAATAGTTTGTTATATTTTTTTCTTTTATCACTGAACCTAGTGCCCTCTGCTGGTGCACTTGAAAACTAATTCACGTTCCAATAATGCATTAGCACACTTCGGCATTGTGCGCCAAAGTGCGGCATTATGCTCTGTAATTGGAAAACAGGGCTATTCTTTTTCTCGTGGTCCGTTGACAGTTGACACTACATTCGACAACACATTAAATGTCAATGTCGAAAAATTTAAAATATATCAATTAGTAAGTACTTACATCTGCGGTTTAGTATTATTAAGAAAAGTTTACATAAAATATTTAATTTACACAAAATGTCTTGTGAAGAAAACGTAGAAAAATTTAAGGAACTAGGATTAAGTGAACAAAAAGCAAAAGAAACTTTAAAAAATGCCAACGTTTCCAAGTTTTTGCTTGCCGCATTGAATGAGGTTAGGAAGTAAAAGTAAAAATTGTTTAAGATTTCGCTTTGTGGCTCACCGAGTGCTTAAATATGTAACAAAATTTGTTTTTAGGTTACTATATCAAATTTACCAAATGGCGGTGGTTTGTTGATATATCATCTGGCTACTAAAATAAAGCCACAAATTGCTAATAAAATTTCTTTTATTTGTAAATATATCGCCGATGGAAAATTAGATTCTTCTCTGAGGATTGATGCTGCCTTAGAGTATCTCTTGAGTCATGTTAGTGAAGAAAAAGTAGATGTTAAAAAATTTGAAAATGCCTGTGGTGTCGGAGTTGTTGTCACACCAGAGCAAGTGGAACAAGCTGTTGAAAAACATATGGCAAAATACAAACAAGAACTACTAGAAAAACGATATCGGTTTAACTCTGGTATCATCATGCAGGCAGTTAGAGCTGATTTAAAATGGGCTGACGGAAAAGCTATAAAAAATGAAGTTGATGTTCAGGTAAACTTGTTCAATTAAAAATTCATCACATCTACTTTATATTCATTAAAATAAATATTAAAATCTTTAAATAAGAAAAATATTATTGTTTAAACAACTGTTTTAAAATATGTGGCAGTTTTGAAGGTACACAATACATATTTGTAACATTTCATATTACTAAAGGTTAATGATTAATTTTTTAGATTTTAGATTTACTAGGTCCAAAAACAGAAGCTGATTTAGCACCAGTTCCTAAAGCTGAGAAAAAATCAAAAGCTGGAGATGTCAATAAAAAAAATCAAAAGGAAGAAGTACCAGGTGTGTATTGAAAAGTAAACTTTAAAAAAATTAAAGTACTTAAAAAAAATGAGAATATTTTATTTTATTGTAAAATATTTTGGGTTGGATAGAGGTAAATTAATAAAAAAAATGTTATTATTATTTCATTAAAACTTTTAATTGTCAAAGTATTCAAAAAATTTCAGCTAATAAAGTTGAGGCTGCTGAAGTATGTGGAAATGTTACTGGATCTATATCAATGCCAGAATTGCTGAAAAAGTTACCATTCCATACTCCTGGAGAAAATTATAAGAGTGATGGATATGTAGTTACTCCCAATACAAAAAGGCTACTAGAGGAACATTTAAAAATAACATCTGGAAAAGTTAGGACTAGGTTCCCACCAGAACCAAATGGTATTCTTCATATAGGACATGCTAAGGCTATTAATATAAATTTTGGATATGCCGCAGCCCACAATGGATTGTGCTTTTTAAGATATGATGATACTAATCCTGAAAAAGAAGAGGAGAAGTTCTTTGTGGGCATAAAAGATATGGTGGAATGGCTTGGTATGTTTATATTCTAGCACTTAAATAGATAGGTAAAAATAGATTTATAGATAATTGCTCTGTTGAATCAATTTTAGGGTAAGATTTGAAAAATACAATTTAGAATTGTACAATCCTTCATAACATGGATTGAAAACTGTATAAATTATATCCTTGAACATTTTTACTTAGGTTACAAACCATACAAAATAACACATTCATCTGACTATTTTGATCAACTATATGAATGGGCTGTGAAATTAATAAAAAAAGACTTAGCATATGTCTGTCACCAAAAATCTGAAGAGATTAAAGGTTTTAATCCACCTCCATCACCATGGAGAAATAGGCCTATTGAAGAAAGTTTGCAATTATTTGAGGTATGTTCTAATGAAATTTCTTATATAAGTTGAATAGGTATATAAAAATTATATGTGCACCTAAAATATTAATAAATTCTAACATATAGATTACATTAATATTTGATTTAAAAAAATAGTAATTAGAAGATCTGAAGTTTCCAATTAACTTTTTTTTTTAAATCTGAGTAAGAATTATACTTTTAGGATATGAAAAATGGCAAAATTGATGAAGGCGAGGCAACATTAAGGATGAAGATAACTTTAGAAGAGGGTAAACAAGATCCAGTGGCTTATAGAATCAAATTCAAGCCCCATCATCGCACTGGCAACCGGTGGTGCATTTACCCAACATATGATTATACCCACTGTCTCTGTGATAGTATTGAACATATCACACACTCTCTTTGTACTAAGGAATTTCAATCGAGAAGGTAAATTCAAACTTCAGAGTACAACAAACAGAAAATTTGTCTATCTATACTAATATTATAAAGAGGTAAAGTGTGTGAGGAGGTGAGTTTGTGACATTGTAGGGTGGTAATCTCTGGATCTACTCAACCGATTTAGATGAAATTTGGTAAGCAGATAGTTTGAGACCCTGGGAAGGACATGGGATACTTTTTATCTCGAAAATCATCCCTGAAGGGAGTGAAAATGGGGATGAAAGTTGTATCAGGAAGTCGCTAGTATTTATATAAAGGTGTTTAAAAATTGTTTTTATTTTACAAGATATTATAAAATAATTGTAATTTTTAAGCTATTCTGAAGTTAGAATAGTTTCAAATTCTTTAAATATAACATCTATCATATTTCTTAACTTAATGCATGATTATTCTTGGAAACATATTATTCTAAAATTAGAGATATAGAGATATAATAGAGAAATAATCACATAATTACTTTTCCTAATGAGTGAGTTGAGTGGGGTTTAAGGTTAGAGAATAAAAGCAGGTGGATCTTGAGGCATTCTTGAGTGATTACATTCTTTGTTGAGAGCTTATTCTTAATGCTAATAATATTTAACTGTTACAGGTCATCATACTATTGGCTTTGCAATGCTCTTGACATATATTGTCCTGTGCAATGGGAGTATGGTAGATTGAACGTGAACTACACTGTGGTTTCAAAGAGAAAAATTGGCAAACTTATTGCAGAAGGAATAGTAAATGGTAAATTAATTTACAGTAGATAGTAGCAATATTTATTACACTGCCTGCACTGCTTCTCTGAAGCAGTCAAATAGATTTTTGGACTTGTTAACTGAAATCATACAAGAATCTTTTATTATTCTGATCTAAAAAGGAGGCTTAATAGAAGTTCACATAATATACTGTATAACTAGTATTCTTTCTCATACAAAGAAATTAGATGGTTCAAACTCAAGCTATGCTTTATGCTATTTTGTTTTCTTTGATCAGGCAATAAAAGGGGTTTATCTAAAACCTACAGAATCATTTTGATTGTAATTATGTTGCTTTTGCTTTTTTTTAGTACTGGATCTTTTTTTTTGGTTTCATAATTTTAATAACGCCATCTATTGACGTTTACTCGAACTATTTTGGTTTTATTCTTGAGGCTTTGATAGAAATTCATTCTATAATAGTTAGGGAATAGAAATATTTCTGTGCTCAACTCACTTACTTTGAAGCCATTAACCGGAAAATTGAATGAATAAGAAATATTACAAATTATAAACAAATGAGAAATTTAATTTGTATGTCATAGAATAATAAAAGGCCTGCTATGAAAGCATGACTTATAAAGTTAACAAAGCACTAAATCGTGTCTTATTTTTTTTCTTGTTATTGTCATAATTAATTATACAAGATGCCATTATTAAATAGTTGTATTAGGAGACGAGTGGAAAGCAACATACTCTGTATACAGTATTTATAGAGACACTCAATTGACCGGAATAGAATCGGATATTCGAATAAAAAATAGCCCATTGCCTATCTTTTATAATTGTTATCTCTTAAAAGAATTTTTAGTGAATGGTCACAGACCGATGGAAGTATGGGGGGATTGTGAGAAATAGGATATACATATGTGTGTACTGTGATGACGGCCGATAGAGCGGGAAATGGAGGAAAGAAACATAGGATTAGGGCAAGTTTAAGAAGAATATAAGTGTAGACAAAGCTAACTATCCCGTGTAGACTGGGACGACCCCCGGCTGTTCACGCTGACGGCGCTGCGCCGGCGCGGCGTGCCCGCCGCCGCCGTCAACGCGTTCTGCGCCGCGCTCGGCGTGACGGGCGCGGCGGCCGCGCTCGACCCCGCCGCGCTGGACGCGGCCGCGCGCGACGTGCTCAACGGTACTGCCCCCAGGTGAGTCATCTGACTTGGTACGTGACCAGATCTAGCTAGGTGACATTATTAAAGTAAAACTTGTCGCGGAAGTGAGAGTCGAATTTATTATAATAAAAAAAATCATATTTATATTTTTATAATAATTATCCATTATAAAAATAAATATTCATTACTAATGATTTTATAAAAAATATTATATTTATTATTTGATTTGTTTTAATTTTATATCGATATCTGCCACAGCGCCAAATAAGTTTTACTTCAACCACGCGTTACACGCACTAATTTTTTTCTCACCTATTTACCTTAAATATGTGGACAGATTTATGTATGTGACATTTTGCTTTGTCATCCATATTTGTCTTATTGTAATAATGCTCTATGGAAAGTAGTCACTTTATGAGGCAATACTTAATGAGAAAGATAGCAAACAAATTCAGGAAAGGGCCAATTTTGATCTAAGACGAAAAAAGGGGTTGATTCAAAATTTATCCTGACCTTCCAAATCGGATCAGTATGTTTACATTTGTAGCTGTCAAAAAATAAGGGTTTTAAGTTACCTGGTTAGATCATGAATCTTATTTTGACATATTATGCTAGAGTTGCACAGCTTAGTGTATTTGTAGATCCCCCCCAACGTGCGTTCACCTTGTCGTGGTGGGGGGCTCAGTAGTAGTAGCGAAGCTAAGAAACGCACAGGGAGGTTGCCCACTTCGGTGGGCGGTGGGAGGTGGCCCTCTTCGGGGGGCGGTGTACCTTGCGGGTTGCTCCTGGTACTTCTCTGATAGCAGAGTGGACCTTGGAGCAACCCCATGGTTGTGGTGGTCTGCTTTGGCAGACCTGCCGTCGGGGCGTCGTAGTTGAATGCGTAAGCGATCCTGCGACGCCCCATTATGACGGGGGAAGGTTTTGTTGGGTTTTAGTGGGTAGTACTGGCTGTATTACGCCGGTGAGTCCCACACGTCGTGCGTAAATGCATTTCCCAACGTTAAAAAAAAATGTATTTGTAGATGTTTATATTGGACTAAAGAATTCATTAAACGTGAACTGTTAACCGATTCGGATTTTCCCTTCATAACTAGTATAATCGTTTATCGCTTCATTGCTTTAAAACAATTGTCTTATGTTTCAGTATTTAATTTGACCTGTTTTAATAAAATTCATAATATTTTTTTGTACACATATACGGCTGATGTTATTCGAACGTCAACAAATTGTTTTAAATTCCATTTTCATGAATTCATCAACGATTTCTTTTCCTTTTGTAGAGTAATGGTTGTCCTTGAACCATTGAAAATTACAATAACCAACTTCCCTGGTGATAAACCTATTACTGTGAAAGTTCCTGATTTTCCAAACGAACCAGAAAAAGGTTCTCATAGTGTGGTTCTCGATAGAGTTCTTTATATCGAAGCAACAGATTTCAAAGAGCAACCAGAAAAAGGCTATCGACGACTAACACCAACTCAATCTGTGGGGTTACGACATGCTGGATACGTTTTAAAGGTAATTTTGGTATTTTATGGAAATGAAATTTAATTATTACTTATTTATGCTAATATTTATAAAGGGTTCAGATGGTTAAATATATTATCCATTTGTGGTAAGCGATCTCCGTGGGATATTAGTTTATTATGAAAAATGCCTGAAGAACGCTAAAGATATAACTTGAGCGAAGCAAGAAAATAAAATTTGGATGCTTAAAAATGAAATTTTAAGTCATATCAATAATCAGTTTAATAGTTTTTAGTTCTGGTTGTGTGATCACATATTATTTGATGAGCTGAGCTGGGCAGCTTTTTTTTTTCAGAAGGAGGCTTAATAAAATAATATGAATTGTTTTAGGTAACTAAAGTTATTAAAGATAATTCAGGGCAAGTGAGGGAATTGGAATGTACTGCAGAATCGACCGAATCTGCAGAAAAACCAAAGGCGTTCGTACACTGGGTCTCCCAACCAATCTGTGTCGAAGCACGTCTCTATGAGCCCCTGTAAGTATTTAACAAATACGGGTAATTAATAATCTTAAAATAATAAAGATTACCATTACGTAGTTACGTAAATAATTTCTATCAATTATGTCTTTTCCCCCCTTTTTTTCTTGTTCTCTCATTCGGAGTGAGATTAGTCGTAAAAAATATGTACATTTTTACTTAATTTTTTACGCATTCATCTATGTGTCAATATTTCACCAGCTACGTTTTACAATTCGAATTATATATTCCAATACCTTTAAACGAGCAATTCTTGGTTATTTATTTATATATACCGGCGATCTCGGAAACGGCTCTAAAGATTTCGCTGCAATTTGGTATGTGGGGGTTTTTGGGGGCGGAAAATTGATCTAGATTAGTCTTATGTCTGGGAAAATGCGTGTTTTCGAGTTTTCATGCGGTTTTCTTTCACATTGTTCCACGCAAAATATAGTCGCTAATTTCGCACGCTCGGGCATAAGCTTCATGGTCAAGCGGCCAAGGCGAAAGATTGACAATCACAGGTGTAAGAGTTCGAATCCCGGTCGGATACAAAATTTTACTTTTTTTTTGTATTTATTCAAAAAACAAAACTTTGTTTTTTCTTGTTTTTAAGCTAAATTAAAAAGAAAATTGTAATTTTGGCCAAAAACTCCGAGCCAAGCTCGGTCGCCCAGGTACTAAAACTTTAAATGCAGAACATGCGTCACTCCCGGATTTAAGAAGTCCTTTATATAGTATAGCTGAGCTTTGTACATAAATATCCAATGTAAAATGATATCTTTTATAATTTTATATTTTATATTCACATAGAATATAAAAACATTGTAAATGTAAAGCAAACTTAGAAAGGAAAGCAAAACCAGATTGCTCAACTGTTTTTATTAAAAAGATGTTTTGCATTCTTTAGCATAGATTTAACTAACCTAGATAATAAATGCAAAATTATAAGAACGATAATACTTTCTTAGATTAACGCGTATATTTGACATTTGACATAAAAATTATTATATACTATTTTCGTGCATTTATTTTGATTTTTGGTACCCGACGTTTCGAATGATAAAAGAACATTTCGAGTAAATATTGAAAGGTAATAAAATATTATACGGTATTTTGGTGCCATTTTTCAATTTTTTAAATTCATTTTGTTATTTGTGGGTAGGCTGTCTGTAACAACTATATAATACCTTTGAGACATCTAACACCTTAATCTCTCCCGTGACCGTGATTGCTTTACAAGCATTGGAAACGTCGGGAACCAAAAATAATAAATCCGCGAAAGAATCCGGAAAGATTTAGTTTTATTAAAAACGTTTCGAGTGTTATAAGAACGAAGCACTTGTTACTTATTATTTCCTATAGATTCAAACATAAGAACCCGGAGGATCCAGCAGAAGTTCCCAATGGGTTCCTGTCGGACTGCCGCGAGGACACGCTGAAGGCGGTGAGCGCGCTCGCCGACGCGTCGCTCGCGGGCGCTAAACTGTTCGACAAATTCCAGTTCGAAAGAATTGGCTTTTTCTCCGTTGATCCTGATACGACATCCGATTTAGTATGTTTTTAGTATTTTTTCGCTTTGCTTTAGTTTTAACAACTTTATACAGTCTACATAATATCTATATTCTATACTATATTCTATACTATTTATTCATATGGCGTGACTCTTTGTATGGAAATAGTTGGTGTGCTGTAGAGTGACATAGGCTACTTTTTACCGCGGGAGACTATTTCATTCCCACGGGAAATCACGTCATAATACAATCCAAAAAAATATTCATGATCAGAATTGCCTGAAACTTGGTATTAATGCTTCTTAATAAAGTTAAATAAATACGTGTTTTAGGGTTTTCCGAAAATCATCGTATAAGTGGGTAACATTGAGGATGAAAGATTGGATGAAACTACGTCCTTACAGTTTTTTTTTGTAGTTTTAGCGCGAGCGTAGCCGCGGGTTCTGCTAGTAATATTATAAATATGAAAGTTTGTGAGTATGTATGGAATGTTTGTTACTCTTTCACGCCAGAACGGCTGAACGGATCTGGATGAAATTTGGCACAGAGATAGATAGTCTGAAATAACACATATGCTACAAGTTCCTTTTAAAATATCATACGTAAAGTAAACAACATGCTAAGACAGAACAAAGTTTATCGATATTTTCATTTTGTTTTAATTTTGACACAGGAAAACTGTAAATATAGACTTTCGGTATTGTCTAAGTTTTTGATCAATATTGAATAAATATGTAATGTAATGAATATTAATATCTAATATTTATGCTGGTTAAGGTAACTTTTTTTTTAATTTATTTTTCTCAATAACTTAACTTACTCTTGCATTTTAATACTGTTAATGTTTTCTTTACAGATGGTCTTTAACAGGACAGTCTCCCTCAAAGAAGACTCTGGAAAGTAACATCACATATAGACGTTTTATATTAAAAAAAAAACATTTTTATATTTATTTATAACAATTTAAAAAATAAATAATTTATTGTGTAATCTGTCTTTTCATTGTTAAAATTTCCTTATCATTGAAAAGAAACGGAACATTTCAGTATACCTTTGAGCATTGCTTAATATAACATGCTCAAATTGAAATTAAGGCTGCCCAAAGCGTATGTTCTACAGTCATAATTACATTCCATGGCAATATCCGCTTCTGTTCATTTTCGCTTCTCATGTTTATCGATAAGTTTTTCTTTACGATATTGACTAATAACATTTTGATGATACTATTATTTATAAAGGCGCCTTTATAAATCGCACACATATTATTTGTTTATGATATCTGTACCCTAATATAATAAAAGCTAACTTAAGCTTTTTAGTGACTCTTAAATGAACACTTCATTTTTTTATGTAATCATTATGTAGGTACACCTAGTTAGTTTTTTATAAGATAAGGTACTTAGTTATCGAATTTAAATATTTTTTACATACATAGATTCTTGACATCATTAATAAAAATCGAAATATTATTTGCTACAGATTTAGGCTTATTCGCATTAGATTAATTAAATTTGTAAGGTAACGCAATAAGTAATATATAGATACTAATCATAATTATATATCATATCAATTCGCAAGCGAATGAAGGTCTTTGGGTAGAGGGCAGAGGCAGTAGGGTGCGGGTCGGGGCGGCTTTATCGAGCGTGGGCGGCCGCGCATGGCACTCGCTGTAACGCTCCCGCGATGTGCACTACGCGGCATCTCGCACTCGAATTAAGTCACAAGTAACACTTACGTGCAATGGACGAATAACTTATATATAAAACGCGACAATTCGATGTAATGTAAAGGTAAGTACTGTTTTGTTGTCCTTTTATATCTTATGCGGTGCAATAAGTCGATACATACAATTTCAATTTTTAACGAAGCCTCTTGTAAGGGCTATTAGTACGTCACTCACGTTAATGTTCTTCGAGTATATGACGTAACTTATTTATTTTTTATTTGCCTACAATTCAATTACGTTAAAAAGTACTGAATTCATGGCAGTTATTAGTAAATTTCAATAAGGTGCCCATGAACGCGAAAATTGTAATCATATGTTTGTATGTATCTTCAATGTTATGTATAAAAAGCTGATGTATGTATGAATGTTGTGTATAAATGTTTTACTTTAGGTATTCCAATAGTAGGTATAAAACCTATACTTATTTATTATTCTTTATTATAATGAACAAATAAAAAATGATTGGCGCAAAATTTTAAAAGTTACTCTACATATTCTTAGCAAAATTCACTTCAATAATGCTCTTCACGTAGATGACCTAGACAAGGCTGGTTGTACCTACGCTACGAGCTATCTATATCGTACAATCAACATTTTATCCAAAAGAATAAAACTCCAATTAACATTTTAACAACACGAATGTTTATTTTTGTAATTATATTACAAGTTTATAATGTTTAACTTGAAAAAATTGCGTGAAAATTTAAGGAAAAGTATTAAGTTTTTCTGTTATTGTTTTTTTTTTTAATTTTTTACGTTAAAATCTATTAATACAATGTAGAGTCAAGTTACTATACAAGGGATGATTATAATTTTATTATAGGTACAAACGCTCAAGTATGTGCTTGTCTCTGCGAAAGCAATCGATTTAGGCAATTTGCCAAATATTGAGTTAACGATTATGGTGAAGTTTATTTTCATAAGGATGTGCGAGTATATACCTAACATAATATTTGAATGAAATTGTCCTCCATGGTAAAAATAACATGTTTCTCTTCACTAAGTTACTTATCAAGCTTTATCTACATTTAATGGCAGTTGGCATTGACTATTACCAATGGGGGTGGCAATTAGTGAAGTAGAGCGAAATTTACATATCGATATTTCGTTATCAGGACTTTATTTATTTAAAAATAAACCTATATTCCTATCCATTGTCAAGCATAATAAGATATATAAACACTAACACTAAGAGCCATGAACAAAAATTTGAATTATTTTCATAGAAAAAGTTTTGTTCCTAAAAATTAAAAGAACTGACTTTATTAACACAGTCTTATAATAATAATTATATTATTATAAATTATGATCATTATTCAGATTTTTAAGAAAATAAGAGAGAGAGAGAGAGTAATAGATATTATAAATAAAAAATACATAAAATACAATAAATCAATCGCCGGCCGTGGTACGAATAGATACACACTTAATATATATAATTAATATATTGTTGTATTTAGGGATACGTGCTTGATTGGCTCTACCTATTAGATAAGTTAGTTATCGAATTCTAAATGAGGTGTACGTTTATATTAACAATAGAGAGAAACTGGTCTGTTTCGAAAGGTGCCTTTGAAGGAATTCATTCTATAATGATGAACTTACAATAAAAAGGTTAATTATCGCTGTTTTGATAATAATAACTTAAGTTTTGCCCTTTTTTAATTAAATCAAATGCAGGTGGTAGTTTAAAAGCGGGTGTCACATAATGATCACTATATTCGTATTGACCATTTTAAGTACTAAGTCACCAAGCTCGTAAATAAAAAAATTGAATTATGATAATATTTTAAATCAGGTACCGTCTTAAAGTAGGTACACAGTTTTTAAAGGGGCCGAGACTTCTCTTTTTCCTATCTTCACCAATTTCATCTCTATTTCTCGCGAGTACCTACTTACTATAAATTATATTCAACTAGCGACTCACCCTCGCTTCGCTCGGGTTCGTCCCTAGGTACGTTTTAAATTAAAATGGATATAGTATGTTATCCTTAAGAGATAGTCATATACCATCGCGGACTTTTCTGTACACCTATATAAGATACACAATTCCACCATACATTATTTTGTTATATCTCGAGGGTTTAGGCAGCGTTTTCGTTGAAAGCTCCCAGACGTCTTACTTTTTCCGACACCTCCAACAAATATCGTTATATTTTAGCCAATGTATACAAAAATTTTACAAATTATATACTAAAACCTTCCTCTTGAATCACTCTATCTATTAAAAAAACCGCATCAAAATCCGTTGCGTAGTTTTAAAGATTTAAGCATACATAGGGATATAGGGACAGAGAAAGCGACTTTGTTTTATACTATGTAGTGATATCGCGGTTTTATCCACGTTGAATCAATAGTAGAAAAACTGCAATAGTATTCTATTAGTAATAGTTACTCTATGTACGAGTAATATTAAGCCCAGTAGCCCAGCCCATGTAGTACCCAATGTCCAATCATAATATCGTGTTACCTGTATCATTTTGTAAAAAAACGTTTATTCACATAATTTTCCTACAACCTCTATTTCTAAAAACTTATTTTTAATCTCTTTCTCAGACATTTTTTTCAATATCCATTAGCCAATATGGTAGTTTCAACGTACACACTCAAATTTATAATAATTAAGCTAAAGATTCTTTTACAATAGATTTTACTAAAATTGTGATATTACTTTAAAACATGGTATATAATATGTATATATTTCAATGTAAGGTAAAATATAATAATTATAAAGACAAAAATCATTGCTGTACCTAAGATTTTTTTCTATTATTTCATTTTGTTAAAAAACATATACAACAACCTTTCGTCTAACATTAAGTAATGTTGATTGAAAAGTTTTCCATCTAATATTATAGCTTCATAAAATTTTATCCAATTTTAATACATACCTACCACACAATACATAATATGTATATATTTAATACATATATTTTGAACTTAATTTAGTTATTTTTCAAATACTTAGCTATGGCATGCCAGCCTACGTTAATCCATACTTCCATACTAATCCTACTAATACTATAAATGTGAAAGTTTGTGATGGATGGATATTTGTTACTCTTTCACGCCAAAACTGAACTAATCTAAGATTTTGGTACAAAGACAGATTAAAATCTGGAATGGCACATAGGTTACTTTTTATATTGGAAAAATGTACGGTTCCCGTGGAATAGATTTGTTTTCATCTAGACGCACCCGAAGCGAAGCGAGAGTGAGTCGCTAGTATTAATATTTTTTACTATATATAAAATAACTAATTTTTATTAATACTTTCTTAGATTTACGCGAATATTTGACATTTTAAATAAAACTATCTTTTCGGATTATTTCGCGGATTTATTTTGATTTTTGGTTCCCGACGTTTCGAATGCTTTACAGCATCCATCGTAATTTTTATTAGATTTGAATATCTCTAACTAAAATACGTAGCATTTCATACCCTTATCCGCCTACATAGATGACGTAATTAAAGTATCGCAACACTGACGTCGAGACGACAATGATAACAATAATCGACGGTGTTGATTAAACTGATGTATGGTTATAGTGCGTATAATATGTTTTTAGTACTTGAAGATTTGAATATTGTATAACGTATAATTTATACTTTTAATTTGCCTTTATTCAGCCTTATATATATAAGCATATATATACCATATGGTAAAAATATTATTTACTTCTCACAAAATATAGCTTATTAGAAGAAAAAAAATGGCGATTTCATATTAATTTTATTTAATCAGTCATACAATACGAGTATATTTTAAAAGAAAATATAGCTACGTACTATTCATAATTTCATAATGACTTTATTTTAATATGTTCTTATTGAAACCTCTTTTTAAATTTCTTATTAGAAATATCTTCGAACAACTAGAGCACTTGGCAGTAGGTATAAATAACAAGCCGTCTTTTATACCATCGTAGGAGGCAATCTCAATTTAAAAGGCACTACCGAGCTCTATCTCTCTTTAATAGGCTTATGTTTTATAGTCTATAAAAGAAATAAAGCTGTATGGCGAGAATCCCTGTGGCATGAGCAAGCTGCAATAAAATTAGGTCGTATGGGTAAATAGGTCAAGGGAAACCCCGACCGGGATACAATATTTAATACCTATGGATATTGTATACTTATAGGCTACTATATGCTGTCAGGTTTAGTAATTGTTTCGTTTATTTAGTTTTAATATTGTGTACACTAAAGTCGATTGATCGATCGAACCCAAGTTCGATATTTTTAACCGTCTTTATTAATTATTTAATAAAGACGATTGTTTTAAAGATATTTTATAATAAGATTCATTCAAAAATTATTAAATTAATATTAATTAAGTCTAACATAAGAAACGAAGTGAGCTTGATAATGAAGTCGATACAAACTTAATTATGATGCGAAGGAAAACTTGCTCGGAGGATACCTTTTACGATTTCTCCAATAATATGATTAACATTTTGTACAATACCAAAAGATGTACCTAAGGAAAATAAGGCAATTTTACGAGTAGCTTTTGTGATAGGCAAATGATAATGAACCAAGAATAAGAAAGTGAATATCTTAATTTTAGATATGTCGCGTAGTGATAATTATGACAAGCAATATTATTGTAAAATATAATGGGTCAAAGTCAACTCATGTATAGAGAATTGACAAAAATAGGATTGAGCATATCAATAATATGGACATTCAAAAGCAACACTTATGTCCACGGTTGGTGGATTATTTAACTATAGTTGGAGCAAAGCCTTATACGTCAGGCAAAGGATTGGCGCCAGTACAGGTAATATGATATTATATTAATAATATATTATTAGATTTAATTTAAACTTGTGAGACACTGAGGAGTAAAATAGTATTTGTCCTTACACTTAAAAGAGATTAAAACATCTAATATCTTAAGCTTTTATCTCTAGATTTTCGTAATGATAACCTTTATTTTATCATTAGGCGCCCGAACTCCTGCGACGATATCCTCTCACAAACCATGATGATTTTCCACTGCCCTTGGATATGGTTTATTTCTGTCAGCCAGAAGGCTGTGTATCAGTTGGTCCTCGACGTCAAATTGCGCACATTACAACTCGGGATACTACGTCTTTTGTTTTTACTCTTACAGACAAGGACTCAGGTGAGTTATATTCTTATGTTTCTCTTAAGTTGTGTTTAATACATTTCTGTTTTAAGTCAATAACTTTACTTAAGAAGTATCCAGTATTATAATCAAAACCAAGGTTCAATGACATGAATAATAAGTGATTAGGTTTTGCTTGTATGAACGCACCATTTTAATATAAGTGTTTATGGTAGGTAAAACCCGGTACGGAATTTGTATTAACTTCTATCGTGCCGTGGAACGTGCGCCTGCGCCGGGGCCGCGTGAGCGCAGTGTGCTTCGCAGAGATTCCTGGCGTAAATCTATGGAAAGAAGCTCAGATTCCGCCTTTTCCAGGTGAACATTCATTCCTTCTGCTTGTATATGTAAATAATTACGGACATATGTCCGAGAAATCTATATTTTTTTAGCCTAGTATTATAGAGGTCAACATTGTGTGTAACATTGGATGTGTCATATCACCAATCTACTATATGGATTGAGGATGGATACGTCGAACCATCAATCCACCATGTGGAAGGAGTGATGACCCCATATCTCTGAAACTACTAGTCTGATTCTGAAAATTGTTTCCCTTAAGGACATAGGACTTTGATGCCGAGTGCTATAAGTGCCTATTATAGTATGATAAAAATGTGTTTACTGACAGAATTCATAATAATTTTAACTAAAGCCAGAAAAAATTGCTTTATTTGGTTTATCAGCGTGCCCTTTCTGAACGGTTTGAAATAAAATAAATAAAATGTATAGCAAAACCCCTTAAGGCTGCACCGAAACGAGGCGAGAATGAATCGTTAGTTACTTATATACAGAATAATTGTAATCATCAATTATACTTAACTAACGAAATGAAAACTTAAAATTCACTTTATCCTAATGATTATAATATCGTCTTATAACCGAAGAAGACACTTAGACTAATACGTAGCACATGTTCCAGTGACTATAGGAGCAGCAATGTAGCGCCGAGCGACTCCGAGCGCGACTGCAGCGTGGCGCCGCGCCTGGCGCCCGCGCCCGACTCTGAGAGCGGCGGCTCGCACTCGCCTAGCCCGAGGGCTACGAGGAAAAGACAAGTAAGATTTGATACACCTTTTGTCTTTACAAACAACTTGGAAATTTACAAAGCTGATATGTAAGCTCTTAGGTACCTATATAACATATACTCGTATGTATATGTTAATAAATACTATAATAATTGTTTTGTAATTTTATTCAAATATTAAAGAGGTACAGTACATTTTTAATAGTAATAAATATAGTTATATTATATATACAAGTAGGTACTTATTTTTAAAGATTATCATCCGATAAATGTCCACTGCTTGACATACACCTCCAAAGGTTTCGAATGCCGGTTTTATTTCATCCGCATTCAATGGGTTCCAGCGACTTTTTAAACAAAGCCCTAAAATATAGGTTTAGGGTTATAATGTTATATTATTATAATGTATAAGCTATATATAAGCTCATCCCATTAATAATATAATACAAAGTTAGATAGTAACGCTAATATTACAAACTTTATTATTATAAGTAATCATAACTTTACGATGTATAACAAAAAAATCTAAAAACTTTGTTAAAAAGCTATTTACTGTGTTTATTTTTAATAGTGATTAATATGAATCTATGATTTTTATGTTCCAGCGAGTGCGAAACCATTCCCTAACTTCCATATGCCTTTTATCACATCATCCCTTTTTTTCAACGTTCCGAGAGTGCCTCTTTATCCTTAAAAAATTAATAGATGCCTGTAATGAGTCTTCCAGTCCAAGGCGCGTGGGTGCGTCCAGACAAATATTTAGGTAGGTTGTATGACTTTGTAATTATTTTACTAATTAACATATTTATATATAGAATATTGGCTTCAAAACTACTGCTCAATGGAAATTGGTATTTTATTTTATTGGTTTTATTTTTCTTATAACTTTCACGGGGTTCTTTAATTAAAAAATATACATACATATATTCCTTTAAAAACTGCCTATCATTTGTAAATAACAATATTAAAAAAAATTGCAATTACCTTTTTATATAATGTATTTCAAATTATATTATAATAGTAATATATGTATATTTTAACTTCAACAACAACAATTGGTGGCCATGTTATCGCTTCCGATTAATACCCACGCCTTATAGTCCTTGGGAATTGGTATGGTATGAATAGGAGTTACTAAAATCAGAATAATAAGTAAAATCTAAATACAAATAAGGTATACTGAGTATTTTTTACTTGAAATGTTGATAAGGTATCATTATAATGCATTTTTATGAAAAAAAAACTATACTGAAAAGAGAATCATGAAAATCTGCTTACGGTCTTTTTGTAGTCGGTCAATAACTTCTTTAATGTTTATCCTGTGCCAAAGAAATGTGAAAATACTAGTTTATTAACCTTTAACTTTCCTTTTTAGGGTTCCGTGCCCGAAGGGTGCCAACGGAACCCTATTACTAAATACTAAGCCTCCACTGTCCGTCCATCCGTCTGTCTGTCAAAGGGCTGTATCTCATGAACCGTAATAGGTCGAGAGTTGACATTTTCACAGAGTATGTATTTCTATTGCCGCTATAACAATGAATAATAAAAGTAAAAAAAAAATATATAAGAAACTTTTATTAAAGTTCGTAATCGATCGATTTCGATCGAAGTACTAGTATCGTATCGTAGTAATATACTACATAGATAGTGTAAAAGTCATATTATTAAAAAGTATATATATGTTGGTATGGAACCCTTTGTGTGCGAATTCGACTCGCACATGACCGATTTTTTAAACATCATTAAAAAATCTTTAGAAGTAGATTGCGAAATGTTTTTGTTTTTATTTATCAATAAAATAATTATTTTGTGTAATATAGAAAAATACAAAATGGGCAAATTAATATATTATAAATAGTTTAATATAAATACCTTTTCTTTTGATAGAGATACAGTGTGGTCAGTATTAACGGGGCAGGCCTATGACAATACCCCTACTATCGTTGTGCACGATGTAAAGGAAATAGAAACGTGGATACTTCGATTGCTCTCCGCGCCTGTACCAGTTCCTGGCAAGACTCGATTAGAACTCGAAGTTTTGTCTCCAACGGCTCACGCACCTTTAGTATTCGCTTTACCGGACCACACTCGGTTTGCCCTCGTTGATTTCCCACTTCACTTACCTTTAGAATTACTAGGTAAGTTTTATATTGCTAAAACACATTTATATTATTTAAGATAAAATTTATTGATTTATTAATAATTAAACCTAAAAAATTCGACAGGTGTAGACACATGCTTAAAAGTCCTAACATTGATCATGTTAGAGAACAAGGTGGTGGTACAGTCGCGTGACTATAACGCACTGTCGATGTCTGTGATGGCGCTGGTGGCGATGCTTTACCCACTAGAGTACATGTTCCCCGCGATACCGCTCCTGCCGAGTTGTATGAGCTGCGCAGAACAGCTGCTGCTGGCTCCCACTCCATTCCTTATCGGGATACCGGCTACTTTCTTCACTTACAAGAAGAACTTTAAGTAAGGCTTCAATTGGATCTTATATATTTGTATCTTAAATCTTTATTTCATATTCGTTATTTATTATTTTTTCAAATTACTCTTTTATTTGAGAATTTTGATATTAAAAATTAATTTTCTGATTAAATACTATTCGTTTAATATTTTTCAGATTGCCAGACGACATTTGGTTAGTCGACTTAGATGCGACAAAACTCACCTGTCCAACCGGTAGCGACCAGGACCTACCTCCTTTACCCGAACCAGAGAGTACGGTTTTGAAAAACCACTTAAAACAGGTACTTACACGATTTAAAATATACGCCGTTGAAGATGTTTTATGTCACCTAATTTATTTTCTTTTCACGCAACTCGTGAGCGCATTCTTTATGTGTGCTAAGCAATTGTGGCATTGTTTTTGAATCTAAAAATCTTACTTACACTTTTAGTACAACTAAAATATGCTCCCTGTCCAATATTTCACCTATTTTTTTTAAATACATAACGGTATTATTTATTATTCAGATATGTTTTTATTCATCGAACGTAACTTGTTCTTATTAAGAATCGAATGTATATGTTTTTAATGTAGGTATAAGTTATTTAAATTCATGTATTGAATGTTGCGAGATTTATTAGAACGTTCGATGAATAAAATGATCTATTTTTCTTATGTGACCTTTTAACACATAACCTAAATGGAACTTTGCCTTTTCTCGATACTTTCAGTTTCACTAACATTCTACTCACTTTTTCCTTACTTCGCTAGGCTATGCAAGTCATGGGAACTGCCGGAACTGGTGTAAATATATATTCTTTTTACATGCACAATTTGATATTTAATCACAACATTTTAACAGTTTTGTGCCAGATTTATAATTAAGTTTAAAAAATTAAGTTACATGTGCCAACCTTTTAGAACATACACAGATACAAAATTATGATTCGAAACTAGCTTATAGCGTGATCAAAATCCTCCCATAAGACTCACATATAGGTATACATCTAAGAGGGGGCATATAATTAAAAACGTAACTGAAATAAGTGATAGCAATTGCACATAAATATACTCCATAATGTTTTGCACAAGTTTGCTAAATAATTTTAATGTTTTGAGCTATGGAACACGGTTTCAGTTATCGTTTTCGTTTGTATTGAGCATGTATTTATTTGTTATTGTGTAAATATAAGCTATGTTAATGTTGGGGTTTATTTTAGCCAATACCCACAAAACGCTGTTATAATAATACCAATAATATCATTTAAAACTTAATTGAATTATTATAACGTATGAATCAATATGAGGGTTAAGTCTTACGTGATAAATACATAAAGGTTATTTAGAATATTTAACAAACGATCTTTGCAATTCAAAATTACAACATCGCATTAGTAATACATTATATATTTATGATTATTATGAAAAATTCATTTATTACTGGCCCTCACTGCGATTCCGCATGTTTATTCAGATAAAGCTACTCAACATAAGCATGTGATTATGTTATGTATATATATGTGCTGTATGCGATATCGATTTTTTCGCGTTACGTGGGAGTTGGGCGTTGTTTCTCTGTAATGCTTGTTAAACCTTCAGAATAGGTATCTACTTCTAAACATACATAGCTCTATTTTGTAATATGTTTGTTTTGCTGGAAGTGATATGCGTATGTAAAATTGTGCGATTTTTCGCATTGCATCTACCGCTGTTTAATTTCGTATATACTTTTAAAAACTTATTATAAAAATAGTATATTATATATCAATTTACAATATAAACAAAGCCGAAATCTGTATAAAATATTATAATTATTAAAGATATTATGATAATTATTTTCTGCTATTAGCTATTACATATTGGGTATCTTAGAATAAAATGTATTCATATTAAGATATTTAATTTATCAATTTGCTTATAATGTTGTACAAATATCTATAGATATATTGTCTCAATAGTAAAGATTACATTGTTTTTGGGAATCACCTTCAAGAAAAATTTTAAACTGCGGAAATAATATGGTGTGGTGGAATAATACGGAATGGTGTGCAATAAAGAATATTTCATTTCATTCATTTTCATTCAATATAGTGTATGAATGCGAGTTATGTTTGGTATTAAGAATCGGACTATAATTTCAAAAGTATGTATGTATATGTGTGTGTATAAGCTTGTTAGTTCTCCACTCTGAAGAAGCTGGAAAGATTTGGATTTGGACACAGAGAGATTATGAACTCGAGTAACACAAAGGCTACTATTAAATGCATCTAAGAACTACGCTAGTAGGAAATAAAAATAATAAAATAAATTAAACATTTAAAAAACCCCCCATCCTCTTGGACCGATTTTCATTAAACATAGCTAAGAACACTCTCGACTAATTCATCTTTCAAACAAAAAAAATAAAATCAAAATTGGTTCATCCGTTCGGGAGCTAAGACGCTAGAAACAACACACAACGTCACACACACACAGACACGTCAAATTTATAACATCCCGTCGTTTTCGTGTCGGGGGCTTAGAAATACTCTTACCAATGTATTTTTAATAATTTTCTTATAATAATTACTTGCTTACGTTATAATAAATTAACATTAAAAAAGTTTACGTATGTAACATAAATAGATTAGGAGTCTTAAACAAAATAATCGCAAAACATTTTCTGGGTTTTTTATATAATTTAAGAATACTTTAACATAAAAATGTAGCTTTAGAGGAATGAACGTAGAAGCTTAACATTTTGGCAAGTATATAACCAAGGATTCGTATTACGGGGATTGTGATTATTGCAATCAATTGAATACTATGCGCTAGTCTGTAGACCTCGCTCGGAAACGTTGTACTTGTCGCTATCAATATCTTCTACTAAAATATTATAAATATATAGAATAACTTTAAAAGAGATATTGGTATACGACACTGCCATAGATAAACTATAATATAGTTTTTTAACCTCTGTATTTGCTTGTCATTCAGGCTTTAAATAGTTTAACGACGAGTTCCGCGGAACAACAATCGGCACCGCTACTACCTTCAAGACGGGATAGCGTTGGCGGTGCAACACTTAAGTAAGCTTAAGCTTATTTTATAATATAAAAATTTTATTGCACGTAGAAATACATGACTATTACATAAGGAGAAGTCGAGGACAAATATGTACTTATCTCTAATAGAGATCTCTTCCCGTCATCCTATCCAGGTCAGAAAGATTACCGTCGGAGCAGAAAAGGAAGTTTCGGAGGTAAAAAAAAACAATATATATTAAATAAAAAGAGAAGCAATATAATAGGCATAAATTACACAATTATAGAATATCTCTATCTAAAATACATAAATAATGATATCAATTTAATTATACATAAAAATTATACTATACATACAATATGTACATAGGGTAAAGCCAAGATAGATGCCCCACTTTTTGAAAAGGGCTTCTTATTTAAAAACTATGAAATAAGTATGTATGTATATACATAACTCCTAAACATATAGCTAGTTTAATCATTATTTTTACATTACGAACTATTTTTGTTGACCTATTTTTTTTTATTAATACATTTAGCTCTTGCAATAGATAAACATTCAGCTTGTCTGTTAGACAGTTCTCGATGTCGCTCAATAAAATGTTTGAACCATGTATGTATTTCCTGCCTTAAAAACTTAAAGCGCTCGTTTTCGTTCGTCGTTGCTTCGCACGCACAAACAAAACGCATCTATTTGTCACGACGGCTTTTGGTAAGTTAATGAAATGTGGCCCTTACGATTATTTCAATTACTGTTTTTTGTTGCGATTTCGGGATGTCAGGTTTTTAAAATCGAGGCATCTATCCCACTGCGGTATATATCTCGGCTTTACCCCTTTACTAATTATATATTTTATTGGCAAAATTAATAGAAAAAAAGGATGTAAAACTATAGCTCGTTTGTGAATATCTCCGAAACATTTCTTTAAGATTTCGAAACATTTTACGGAACGTAGAATTTTGTCACATAGGATATATTAATTATTATATCTATTATTTTTATATAATATATTCGATGTGACAACATAGGATGTATATCTTTATATACATCCTATGCATGTCCCAGAAATAAGAACCTCTAAATATAACAGAGTACAGCCAGCAAGTTTTCGAGAATCTCACAGTACACCGGAGAGCAGGCGCGTGTCGGTGGGCAGCGCGCACGCGCAGCGCCTGTCGCTGGCGTCGTCGCCGCACTCCACGCCGCACGCGTCGCACGGGAACTCCCCCTCGCAGCCCTTCAACCCGCTCATATATGGCAATGATGTTGATTCTGTCGATATCGCTACACGAGTTGCAATGGTGAGTCTCCTTAAGCTTTACATATCTACTTATTTTATATTATAAATAATGAAGATTGATATTTCGTATTAATTTTTTTTTACTTCGTTAGAATGTTTTAGGATGTAATCTGACTTCGAGAATTCAATTACAATATGACATTTCGATATCATCCTTTTGTCAGTCTATTAACTTCATTACATCTTTTCCAGATCCTTGAGAAGTTTAACATTAACTTATAATACATAAATTTATTTTAGGTGCGATTCTTCAATTCTCAGAATATTTTGGCCAACTTTATGGAACACACGCGCACACTGCGCTTGTACCCCAGGCCTGTAGTAGCATTCCAGATCAACAGTTTCCTTAGATCCAGACCGAGAACTACTTCTTTTTTGAATAAATTCGCCAGAACACAAGTACGTTCATCAATAATAATTTATTCCGATTACATTTATATAAAAAAACTGAAATTGTGAAAATTTAGGTTTGTATGTATTTTTAATGCCGAATCATAAAAAAATAAAAATAAAAATAAAAAAAATTGTCTAAAAAAATTTAATTTTTTTTTGGGGTGGACCACCTTGTCACTTAGGGCTATGAAAAATAGTTTACCCTTATTCTCAGACCTACTGAATATACACACAAAATTTCATAAGAGTCTGTCAAGCCGTTTCGGAGGAGTTTTGTTACAAACACTGTGACACGAGAATTTTATATATTAGAAGATTGAAGACAACAATTATTTACTGCCTAATTTTTTTTTAAATAATTGAAGTCCAACGTTAAAATATTTTATTTTCCAGGCTGTCGAATTCTTAGCAGAGTGGTCATTAACGCCTGGTAACGTAGCGTTTTTGAGAGTTCAAACTGGAGTGTTTGACCCTCGTCAAATCGGTGACAAGCCCAAGTGGTTTGCTGATCAGCTTCAACCAATTCGATTTGCTGTTTGGGATGATGGCAGTTCATTAAATGGTGCTTTAAGACAATTGCAAAGGCAGGAAAATCAGCCCACTGGTAAGACACGATGCCTGTCGCGTATAATATTCTATGTATATTTTATATTAACATAATAAATAGATTCGCAAGTCGATTTTAATATATGGAATTTTAATCATAATGGTTTTTATATAATATTAATATTGCTGCAACCAACAGTAGAATAAAATTAACTCGACAGGAATGGGACTATTTCTAATAAGTAGTATTATACTCGTAGGTATTATTTTTAATATCTAGTTAAGTGTGTGCTCAGAATTATGACATTATCCGCTATAACATGATATAATGTGTTAAAAATATACTATATACATATATATGTAATTTTAGATGAAAGTGGATCCGATTCAGAAGCCGCAGAAAGTACAAGTTCTTCATATTCTTCTTTAAGTGATTTTGTATCAGAAATGGCGTCTTCAGATCTATCTCCAGGTGAAGATATGTTTATATTAGAAGGAGTTCTAAGCAATATTATCCTTTTATAAATTATTAATCTTTATATATTTCATAGGAGGAAATCCCCATCAGCAGCATGTAATTGGAGAGACATATAATGCTGTAGTACAAGTACCCATGACCTTTTCTTCATCTTTAGATGCAAAAACTGTAAGTGTTGGGTTTTTGGTTCCTTAGTTAATTGATACCATACATTAAAACAACTATTAGGTTTCAAATTATATATAATTTATATTATTATAATGCAATTATTGTGTATTAAAATGCAAAAGTTTGGAATAGTTAGAGTTTTTAGAAATGCAAAAATAAAGACAATAACTATTTTATGTACAATGTATACATATATCATGTCTATTGAATTTTCTATTACAAAGGAGTAATCAGCAGTTTCCATGCAAGTTCTTTTTAATTTCAATGATCAATTTCCATTTTGGCATTCAAAATTACACTTCAACTAATTTTAAGAGAAATGTTTTTTATTCAAGCTTCCCCATAATTACATACAGGTATATAGCCCGCCATCATCCCTAATGTTTGGAGAAGAGGAAAAAGAGCGTAAAGAAGGGAGACAGTCGACATCGCCGTCTCCCTCTGCTTCGAGCTCGGAGCACAGCGACCTCTCGGACGAGGACGTGCCCGGCGCCATGGACCGCCCCGACCACGACGTCGGTATACAGCCGACACCTGTTAAGAAAAGTGTTAGTATTTACTTTTTACATACACAATAATTTTAAAAATACTTCGCAATAATTCTTATCATTGTTAGTCATGTTTTTAGCTTAAGCTAGGCTTGTACTCACTCCGCTCCAGTGCGCCCCTAGAAAAGACCATTTGTTCCAACTTAATTCTGAAATAGCATGATACCGGTAGATTTTTGGAAAAATATTAAAAATTATAATCTGTTTCTCAAAAACTATGCTGCAAAAATGCAAACATTAATTATATTATTTATATTTATTAATAATAACAGGACACTGAGGTATATATATAAATTTTGGTTTACTAACAGTAATTTGTAAGTTAAGATTAAAAATAAAGGGTCTTTTTATTATTAATAATCCCAGGACACAGATAGCGGCAGTCTCGGGCGGGAGTCAGACTCGAACTCCACGACCACGCCGGCCACGGTGGCGCCGCGCCGCGCGCGCACGCCGCACGACGCGCAGCAAGCGCAACGACCTAAGGTAAATTACCCTTTCTCTAATGGATTGCTAAGTTGGTAGTGCCAGGTTTGATTCTTACTTAGATCTTATTACTATGTAGGTAATTTAGCACCTTATATTGTCAGTGTCATTTGGTTAAAAATAAAAAAATAATAAGTAGATATTATGACTTTGAAAATTGTGTTTTTGGCCGTATTAGCAGTGGTATTTAAAATTATAAAAAAAAATATTACGCAATTTTAGAGTGCAAATACTGGGGTCTCAAGGCAAGAATCACAGACGTCTCTTCTAGAACAATTTGCGGCCCAAGCAAAGGAATTGGTACGAGAAACTACAAGGCAGAGTAGTCAAGAAGGATTGTTGGCCCATATGGACAAGGTATGTATAAACACTAATAATATATACATATAACATAAATATAAACTTTGTTGTGTATTTTAGAATAAGCTGTAGATAATAAATATTGCTGACATTTATATTTTTATCATTTATTTTATGATAACCATAACATGAAGAGAGGAAAAGTCGCACAAGGAGAAGATAAGAACCTTTTTGCTCCTTTCGACAAGGTATCAGTTAATGTTTGACGCTGTGGATACGGCAATATATTAGATCACTCTAAGTCACGCGTAGAACGTATAATATTTCATTATTGTATTATAAATACAATTTTTATAGCTATAAGCAATACGATAATAATTTACTGATCACACGTAATATGGCATTAGTTTTCACGCAAGTCGTAAAACATCGTAGAAATTAGATTTTAGAACATATCAGTTAGGAAGACAACACCTTATCACTATGCTATATTCCTATTCATGATACATATAATAAGCACATAATAAAATAAAAATGTCACCCATACAATACATTCAATACGTGCGTATTTGAAATTGTGCATGTGTGAATAAGAGTGATTGTGCCAAACTAAATAAGAGTAATTGGTACAATTATTATTTTTATAGAAGTAACATTATAGCATCAAAGTAAATTGTCCCTTTAATGTTGTTCCTGCCATAACGTCCTAGGTATGTATGAAATTGATTTTTTTATCATTACTATCTATGCAGCTAACTTTACAAGCTAAGAAAGCAGCAGAAGAGGCATCTAAGAGTGTTCAAGAAGCGTCGAAGTCTGCTTTAGAAGCCAGTAAGACCGCCACTGCCGTCAGTAAGAACACCTTTGAAGATCTCACATATGTCGGTAAATCTACATTTGGCGATTTTACAAAGAGTGCAAAAGAAGCAGCCACGAAGAAGGGATTGTTGAAGGTAATTATATACATCCAAGTATTCAAAATTTCCCTTTAAATTAATTATTCTCTTGCCAAACATAGCTGTTGCGTTAGGCCGTAAGATATTTTTATGTCGCTGTTGATAATGACTGATGTTACTTAAATAATCAAAGTCATATGACACTCTAAAATGTATTTATGTGTCCTATGTTTGATGTATTCAGTTCCTTTTAACGTCCTAATGCTGGACACGGGCCTCCCTTCAATACGAGGGGGATCAGGCCGTAGTCCACCACGCTGGCCAAGTGCGGATTGGCGGACTTCACATGTATTTCGAAAACTTGCTAGATTCTCTCAGACATGCAGGTTTCCTCACGATGTTTTCCTTCACCGTAAGGCAAGTGGTAATCATTCTGGAAATGATTCGCACATGAAAATATCAGAGGTGCGAGGCCCGGGATTTGAACCCGCTTCTCTCGGTTTCCCAAGCGAGCGCGTTACCACTGCCTATAAAGTTTGGCATTAAAGTGTTATCTTTATATGAACAGGGGGAAAGTCAAGAAGGCCCTGGACCCACCGCACGGCGGGACTCCACCGCGCTACAAACAACGAACATGCTCGCCACCACCCACAGGGACTTCTTCTCCAACATCAGCTCGGATCTGAACGGCCTCGCTGCGTCTACTTCCAGCATGTTTAGTGATTTCTTTGGATCAAAAGGTCATTTAATGTTATTTTTAACTAACTATAATAACCGAGCTAAATTATTACATAAGACAAAAAACAAAGCCGAATCGTATTTCGTCATTTTTTAAATAATCAAAGTCATATGACACTCTAAAATGTATTTAAGTGTCCTATGTTTGATGTATTCAGTCCCTTTTAACGTCTCAATGCTGGACACGGGCCTCCCTTCAATACGAGGGGGGTCAGGCCATAGTCCACCACGCTGGCCAAGTGCGGGTTGGCGGACTTCACGTGTCTTTCGAAAACATAGCCAGGACCGCCCAAGCCATTATATTCGCTTCGATAGACCTCAAATCCTGGCGAAAGAAAACCAATATCGCCCTAGAATGATTCGAGAAGCCATAGAAATTAAAAAACATCCAAATAAATATAATAATGGCAACACTAAATATAGATTACTAATTAATATTTTTAAAATTGTAATAATTATAAAAATAATAGCAAAAATTAAATAAATAATATTCCATATTCAATTATAATTAAAATTATAAAAATGTTTAAAGTTAAAAAATATTGTAATGTAATTGGTGCAATTTTCATTTTGTTAATTGTGGGTTACGTAGGCTGTCTGTAACAACTATACCTTCAAGACATGTGACACCTCAGTCTCTCCCGTGACCATGGATGCTGTAAAGCAGCTATACTCTAAGTGTGTTCCGCGGAACCCTAGGGTTCCGCGATACCTCTGTAGGGGTTCCACAAGAATTTAGAAAAAAATCTAAACACCACTCTCTGGTTGAACGTTTTGACTCCGCGGCCGCGCGTAGGTATATTTATTTATTTATTTGTATTTGTATAAACATGTGTTACAATAGCTGGTACAATATCTCATAAGTTTGGTATAAACATGTATACTTGTGAGCGCGCAGTCCCTTTGATAAAAGCCGCCTCTGAATTAGACGTTATAGTTGACAACAAGCGACTTTCGACTCTAACTTCAAAAAATAAAGTCGAGATTGTTTGCAATTTTTATATTTCTCTTTTTATTTTTGCTTTTTGTTTATCAAAGGCACCGACTCGAGTATTTTCGAGAATATTCGAGATTGAGTCTAGGACTAAGTATAAAAGCGGCGATCGCGCGTCGCACCTCTTCAGTCAGTTGATGATTAGCGTTCGGAGCGATAAGTTCCTACCTACTTACAAGCTCCCTAGCGAGAAACTAGTGTTCATTGTTCTACTGCCTGCTGTATTCTGTTGTCTCAAGTTTATACATTTCTTCATTGTACTAAACTTAGTCTCTTATACGCAGTAACGATTGTGCATTATTTAGACCCCACCATCCCGACGTGTAACATTATAAATAAAAGAATGGAACGTTGGCTTAAGGGTGTTAAACGTGTTGCAACAACATCTTCTAATGACGCTGAATGTTCAAAAGCAGTACGCGCGGAGAATATAGCAATCACCGGTCCAAACGAAGATGCCACGACGTCAAGCTTGACGGTTTCAAAGACGAAAAAAAGGAAGTATGATGAATCATATATCAGTTTCGGATTTGTTGATTCCAACGGCTCACCTCTCTGCATGCTATGTAGTAAACTGCTTCCTAATAGTTCCATGGCACCTGCCAAATTGCGCCGACATTTAGAAACTGTACACCCCGAGTCTAAAGACAAGATTAAAGATTTTTTTGTTCGTAAAAAAGATCAGTTATTGGAAAGTCAAAAAATATGATGCATGTAACACAAACTATCAACGAAAAGGCCACGGAGGCATCATATTTAGTTAGCTATCGCATTGCACACGCAGGTGAAGCGCACACTATCGCTGAGAATTTAATAAGGCCATGTGTATTAGACATAACAAAATGTATGCTCGATGAAAAATCTGCAAAACATCTTTCTACTGTGCCGCTATAAACGATACTGTTTCACGGCGAATCCATGATCTGGCAAGCTATGTCAAATAAGAACTAGTTACACGTCTACAAAAAACACGATTCGCCTTGCAAATGGACGAGTCGATTGATGTCGCTGGTTTGGCTATCTTTCTGGTATCGTGAGATATCCATATGAAAGTTCTTTTGAAGAAGACATGCTTATGTGTTTACCGCTGCTCACAAACACTACCGGGGAAGAAATTTTTAATAAAATAAATATATTTTTTGAAGAGAATAATCTCAGTTGGAACAATTGCATTGACATTTGTACAGATGGGGCCAAGGCGATGATAGGTAAAACAGCAGGAGCAGTGTCACGAATAAAAAATAAAGCGCCTAATTGTAGTTCCAGCCATTGTATTCTGCATAGACAAATACTTGCGATGAATCAAATGCCGTCAAATCTAAAATTAGTTATGGATGAAGCGGTAAAAATAATTAATTTTATCAAATCACGACCACTACAATCCCGATTGTTCTCATTATTGTGTGAAGCTTATGGCAGCAAACATAAAACACTGCTGCTCCATACAGAAGTGCGATGGCTGTCTCGGGGTAAAACTTTAACAAGGCTATTTGAACTTAGAGCCGAGTTACAGCAGATACTTCTTTTAATTTGAAGGACCGTTTGTATGATAAAACTTGGTTGTTCCGATTGTCTTTTATGGCGGATATCTTTCAAAAACTGAACGAATTGAATTTATCATTGCAAGGTAAACAGACAACAGTGTTTCAGGCCTATAACAAAATAACTGCCTTCAAAAGAAAATTAGATTTTTGGATTATTTGCGTTGGTAAGAAAAAAATAGAAAGCTTTACGTCACTCAGTGAGTTTGTTAGCGATAACGACTCAGAAATGTTTCAAGATGATGTGTTTGAAGAATTGGTCCAATATCTCAGTTCGATGCGCGCATCTTTTGAAAAGTATTTTCCCGAAGAACAGAATACAAAAATGAAACTGAATTCTTGGATTCATAATCCTTTTTTACCCAACTTGCAAAAGCCCGAAAGTATGTCAAACGAGATATATGAATCTCTTTTAGAAATGTCATCAGACACAAGTATGGAGTCACTGTTCAAAACGACGCCTCTCAACGATTTTTGGTGCAGAATCCGTGATGAATATCCAATGCTTAGCAAAATGGCTCTGAATATTCTTCTCCCGTTCCCAACAACATATTTGTGCGAAACAGGATTCTCAACCTATGCAGCCACGAAAACAAAATATCGCAATAGACTGGACGCCGAACCTGATATAAGACTTCAACTGTCTTCTATCAAACCTGATATCAACCAATTAATGAAAAATAAAAAACAGTTTCATACCTCCCATTAGTTAGCTTTTTTCTTTTTTAATATCTTCTATTATTGTACTTGCCATGTGGTAAAGTAAGTATTAATTAGTAACTGTTACATTGTACTTTTATTACGCTTATTAATAAAGAATACACTTTTAAAAACTATTGTTTTATTGTAGGGTTCCATCAAGTATTTTGCTTCCCAAAAGGGTTCCGTCACCAAAAAAGTTTGAGAACCACTGCTGTAAAGCATTCGAAACGTCGGGAACCAAAAATCAAAATAAATCCGCGAAATAATCCGAAAAGATAGTTTTATTTAAAAATGTCAAACATTCGCGTAAATCTAAGAAAGTATTATGTCTTTCGAAAACTTGTTAAGTTCTCTCAGAAATGCAGGTTTCCTCACGATGTTTTCCTTAACCGTAAGGCAAGTGGTAATCATGTTAGAAATGATTCGCACATGAAAATATTAGTTACGAGACCCGGGATTTGAACCCGCTTCGGTTTTCCAAGCGAGCGTGTTACCACTGAGTTAGACCCACTGCCTTTAGATAGTATATTAAAACAGCTAAAAACCTGTGCAGGTAAGCCAGCGAAGCCGCCGTCGCCGTCGCCGGGCGCGGGCGCTGCGTCGGGCGCGCCGCTGGCCGCGTTCGGGCCGTTCTCGCAGGGCGCGCGCGGGCTGGTGCAGCGCTCGCCGCTCATCCGCCACGCCGCGCCCGCGCCTGCGCCGCCGCCGCCGCACACGCGCACCGCCAACAGCGAGAACCAGGCCTTCCTGAATGATGTATGTTTACTGTATTATTACTATTGCTGTTTTTTGTTTCAATTGTGTTAAAAACAATACTCTTCATTCAACAATACTGTTACAACTGTCGAGTTTCTCGCCGGTTCTTCTCGGCAGAACTGCTTTCCGAGCCGGTGGTAGCTTCCTCACGGACTGACTCCACTGACTTTCATTAAATTGACGATTCAAAAGTACTTGTAATAAGTCTAATTGAATAAAGTTTATTTCATTTCATTTATATCATTTCAATAGTTGTTATGTGTAAGTGAGTATACCTTATGCAGATATTATTATTCGTAGGAGCTGTCAGTTTTTTTATTGTACTATATAATCTAAACCTATTTCACGAAATTAACACTACCTACCTACTTAAAGGCTCGAATCCTGGATCGGTATAGTTATTGGTTTTTTCTGTGAAGCAATTCTCAGTAAAAGTCCGGAGTTAGGAAGTTAGCAATATTAGACGCCCTTGCCTCGGAGAGCACGTAATACTTGGTCATTTCGCGGCGGTCCTGTCGAATTGACGTCCCACCGTACTTTAAGATTGAATAGAACAACGAGTGGGTTTGTGTTGCGCATATACTCCGGAGCACTATAATATCTTTTACACACATGGCTGAATGAAATTAGTTAAAAGAATTTTGTCCAACTTCATAATATGACTCATGTAATGTTCCGTTTTCCTTTTTATGTGTCGATTTGGTTATGAAATTATTTCCTATTTAATATAATATAAGTTTTATTTTCCTTGCAGTTAGTGCAACATGTACTCGAAGGAGAAGGAGTGGGCTGGCTCAAATTAAATCGTCTGAAAAAGCTAATGGAAGATGAGTCTTATAGGAATATGGTATTGAGTAAACTCAATAGAAACTTTAATCGCAAAATTACACCCAACGACAAAGTTGACGACGTGGTAAGCTACAATATAGTCTTCGAAGTCTAGCTTTTTAAACTTACACGGAACTTAATAAATATAACTTATTAAACATATGTACTATTTCAAAACAACTAACATATTAAATGAATGAAATACTTCTAGTAAATAAAAAAATAATTCAGTGCAACGTCCAAACGTTTTACAAATGAGTAACACTAACATAAATAAATGACCAACAGTTCATAAGCAAGCCGATATGGAAGGGTATGCTGAAAGTCCTCCAAGCGGTAGTCCACGGGCTGGAGCACACGTACTCCAACTTCGGGCTGGGCGGCATGGCGTCGGTGTTCCAGCTGGCGGAGATGGCGCACACGCACTACTGGAGCAAGGAGGTGGCGGGGCTGGACGGCGGCATGGCGGGCTCCGCGCTGGCCGACCACGCGCGCCACGACGACACGCCCTCTTCCGCGCCCTCCTCCAGGAAGAGCTCGCAGTCGGGTTTGTTGTTCACTCTTTGTATGTATGTATGTATTTATTCAACCATTTGTAACGTCCCACTGCTGGGCACAAACCTCCCTTCGAGACGAGGGGGATCAGGTCATAGTCCACCACGCTGGCCTAGTGCGGGTTGACGGACTTCACATGTCTTTTTGAAAACTTGCTAGGTTATCTCAGCCATGCACTCTTTAAGTGTTGTTAAAGTAAATATATATATTTCCTACCCCTACATATTCTCCACTAGATTTAACAGATTATAGGCAATTCGAAAAAGGAAATAAATACATAAAATTTGTAAAACATAGTTTACGTGTATATAGTATTTTTATATTTAAAATTCTGCCTGAAGAAAACATCTGATTTTACTTGTAATAGAAATATATTAAAAAAATAATAATAGAAATATTAATTTCAGATATGCCTGTCGTTAACTATCCAGAGATGGACTCCGAATCTCAAAGCACTACAGAAATGTTCAAAGACATGCTTAACCAAAAAAGGAACCTTCTATTCAGCAAGCTGACGTCTTTTGACTCAGATGTAAGTATATTTTATTATTTTTGATTAAAAGATGTACGGTAAATGTTGTATACATGCTACGTGACTGCATGGGCTCAAGACATTCGTAGGTTAATAATTGTTGTGTTTTTATTTTGGTCTATATGTATACTAAATTCTTCGCATGGCTCCTAAACTACACTATTTGGGTCCTCGTATATTTGTTACGCCATGTTCTGCAATAAAAATATATGTTGGTTATCTCTTGATGTTTATGTTGTTAATTGTGAGTAATTTTATTGCTTATCAGCTGGTAATGTTGATGTATGTTATGTCGATAATATAAAATACTGACTATCCCATTGGATACATTCCTTTTTCATAAAAAGATTCACTCTGTATACAGAGTTACTTACTTGTTACTGAAGTGCGATAAAGCTTTCAAGAGAAATGATGAGCCTCCGCGCGGATTTACCACACTAAAAAAATCATACAATAGACGATTCGGGCAATCATTTTATTTTAACCGAAATGCTATCAAATGCTAGGGTTGTAAAAATAATTCCAATTTTCATTGTGAATGGTTTCGGTTAAAGTACTGTAGTGCCATCTCTTGGCAAGTTACAGTCATACCTTAAACCGTTACCCATCTATCATATACGGCAGTCGAGTGCGCCTCACCAGAGTCTCACCTCGCTCGATAGCCCTGTCTAGACGCCTTCGTTAGACGAATGTATGGATTTCATTAGTCTATACTAATATTATAAAGAGGTAAAGTTGGAGACGTTGTAGGGGGTAATCTTCTAATCTGGATTTACTGAACCGATTTAGATGAAATTTGGTAACAAGATAACTGAGACCCTGGGAAGGACATAGGATACTTTTTGTCCCTTAAATCATCCCTTAAGGGAGTGAAAATGGGGATGAAAGTTTGTATGGCGAATCAAGCTAGGGGCAAATCCGAGCGAAGCGAGGGTGACTCGCTAGTAATCAATATACAGTAAGTAGGGTGAGTGCATAGGTATCTACATAGTATACATATAGACTCGGAGGGCTAAGGCGCGCGGGTGTAAGGTGTGAGGTGTGTCGCAGGCGGCGGCGTCGGAGTGTTCTCAGGACAGCGGCTCCATCACCACGAACCGCGCGACGCTGGTCGAACACCGCGCCTCGTTTAGGTCCAATCTCTCTGACTCTGACGTCATGTTCCTGAATGTAAGTCGTAGCTTGGTGTACGCTTTGTCTGTGCAATTGTTGGCTTAAATATATTTTTTGCATTACTTTTGTATTTTTATTAAAGTTGGAACACATTTTGTTATTGATTGGAACATAAATACATATATAGTGTGTAAGTATTACTGTACGATGAACATTGGAGATATATGGGAAAACCACAACTATATTCTGTTCTCAACTGTTGATTTTAAAGCAATGATTGTTTGACACTTTTGTTGACCTTGTACTTGTACCATATTGTCTTTTTATATTACTTATGAGTCTTTAACCATAAATAATATAAAAATACAATATGTATATGGTACAAGCAAATATTCAGACTAAACGAGACTATTCAGGCACCATAACGATCGTCACGTATAATACTTTTACGAGAAGTAATGCAAGAATTAGTAAAAATCCTTTGAAATTTAGCATGCTATTTTCTTTTTTTTTTTTACATCTCTATGTCTTACTAACACTGCCTTAGCATATGTATCAGCCCACGTTTACTTTCAGATAACATCAATGACAATTTGTTAAAGATTAAAAATAGAATTTTATACATAAAATGTATTTGTAATGTTTTTATTAGCAGTTTTTTCATATATCGATTACTATATTATATTGTACGTTTAAATTGTTTCCTTTAGGTGGGTCGAGCACAGGGGAAAGGTCGAACTGGGAGTGTATTTTCGTCCAAGTCGTCAATAAGTGGTCGGCCGATGGCGGGTGTGCCCACTACTTCGCCCCTCACGTCTCCAGAGACAGCGCGCACGTATCTGTTTCAAGGGCTTATTGGTAATACTTGACATAACTCTACAGCACCAATAATTCTAAAAATACAAGCCTTTAAAGTACTTTATAGTTCGAGCTAACAGCTTAAAGTAAAATACTGTTTATTATCCACATAAAAATATAAAAAAATGGCACAGTTAATAAAAAATTAATATTCAAGTAAACATTTTGTTCACTTACAAAACGTTATCTTTTTTGGAGACTTATAAAATGCTCAAAATTTAAATGGTTTAATGCATTTTAGGTAAAGAAAGATCGAACCTATGGGACCAAATGCAGTTTTGGGAAGACGCATTCTTAGACGCTGTAAGCCAAGAACGAGACATGATAGGAATGGATCAGGGGGCCAACGAGATGATGGAACGATACAAATGTCTGAGCGAGACAGAGAGGAAACGTCTCGAACATGAAGAGGACAGACTATTGTCTACAGCTTTATATAATTTGACAGCAGCAATGGTTCTGTTCGGAGTTGAATCGGATATAGTTCGTAATAAAGTAAGGAGGTTACTCGCAAAAAGTCACATTGGATTGGTTTACAGTCAAGAAGTTAATCATCTACTCGACGTTGTTCATAATTTGGTAAGATTAAATATTATACTATTTATTATTTTTAATCACGAATTTAAGAGGATTGTGAACCTGTAAATTTTCATACAAAAAGCGATAACGTTTTTCCCCCCTTAAACATAGTCTAATTTTCATAATTTTTGGAAATGTTGTAGATATAATCAAAATCTAGGTCCGTACGTTTTTATTTTTTTGAAATATTGCGTACGACAGAAGTTATTAGCATCTAAATATCTATATTTTTGACCTAAAAACTTCCTCCAGCGTTTTTATTTTTTTAAATTAAACTAAACTGAATTACAAAAAAAGGAAAACGTACAGACCTAGATTAAGGTGTACTGAATCTAATGAGACCAAAATCGTCTCATTTCGTTAATGTTTAGGGGGGTGAAAACGTTATCGCCCGAAACAATATTTCAAAAAGGAAATGTAGGTAATTGAGTCTAAGACTTGCAACTCTCTCTATCGCACCATACGGGTCGGGGGCAGGGGCATATTTTAGACTGTAGTGATGTTGAAGGTGCTATCGATATTATTATCTCCTAGGGAGGAGAAGGTAATATCGATATATCGATCGATACTGAAAGGATTCAATCCAAAGTTTAGAATTTTATTATACTCGTATGTATAGATTGTAACTAAGCCGTATCTGTACATTAAATATTTTTTGGAAAATAATATTGAAATAAACATTATTATCGATACAGAGGCCGAATCTATAGTTTTTTGAATTTTTGTCTGTCTGTCTGTATGTCTGTCTGTCTGTTACCACGTCACAGAAAAACCACTGGAGGGATTTTGATGAAATTTGGTATGGTGGTAGCTGGTTATCCGGATCAACATATTATAGCATTACCGCGGGAAAATATCTCATTTCTGAGAAAAAATACAAAACTGAAAATATATATATATATATATATATATATATATAAATATATATATATATACAGGGTCATTTTTAATTTACTGAAGACCTTTTGGGAATATACTATTTACATCATAACAACAACCTCTGTAACAAGAAAAAAAAATATTTCTTAAATTTTCATTTTCATACAAAAATAAAAATATTTTCTATATCATCATCATCATTACATCTGGCCAAGTTTGAATGAGTAAGGACCACTTCCTACACCCCTCCACCCCTCGCCCTCCACCCCTCGCCCTCCACCGGTCACGCGCTTTCTTTTGCTAATTGCTGGACTATTACCGTTTAGAAGGAGCAATAAAAATACTTTTATTTTTGTAAAATTTATATTTTTAATTCTATATTCGTTATAATTTATAATAATCGTTATAATTTTATGAAAATTATTACGAATAGTATGTGTATAATTATATATATATATATATATATATATATACACATACTATTCGTTATAATTTTTTCGAAATTATCGATATTTTATTAGTTTTTGGAGTTAATTTTATTGATTTTTCTGAAAAAAATGATTTTAGGGCAATTACAGAAAGAAATGAAAATCATTCGTAATCTAATCTTGTTTATTCATTAGTTAAAAATATATTTAAAAAAATTAAGTTGATATATTTTATAAAATTTAGTCATAGATATGTTAAAAAATCGTAAATCATCATCATTCATGATCAGGTAATTTTATGAATTTCTATTCCTTATATACCTGCTAACATTATAAAATCATAAAACTTCAGGTTTTCAATAAAATAATTATTTTAACAATAAAAGGATTCCGATGGGTCTATTAGTACCTACATAAACAACAAAAAATTCTATAACTTTCAACTTTTGGAACGAGATTTTTGTAATTGATCTAAACCACCTATTTATTTTTTTATGATTTTTTGAAGTCATCAATCTAAACAAGTCAAATTTTAAATGATATTCGCCACAGAATTGTAATTTAGAGTTATTTAAGTTTATGAATAAAGGTGCGATGTAATTTGTAGGGAATGTATATTGTACGCAAACCGTTAAAATAATAAATATTAGATAAACTTTGAAATTGCTCTTGCGCCGAGTCGCGCCGCCCCCGCCCCCGCCCCCCGCAAGCGCCCGCGCGTCACCGGCTGCTGCTATCATAGTGTGTGTGAGAATTTGCGTATGTTGTATTTGTGTTGTTCACTGCCGGGGGGATGCAAAGCGGTATGAAACAGATAGCATTTTTAAAAATACCTACTCTCGCCGCGTATCGGCACTTCACAATCCTCTTAAATTAAAAAATCACAACCAAAAATAACCTACTGCGCATAAATATGTTACATTTATGGAACATACATTAAATATATTCTGTACTTACTTATGTTATATGCTAACATGAGTTTTATGCTATTTTGACATATTATTTAAAACTGTCTTAGTCGGTCTTAGTTTAAAAAGTAGACAACCCATCGTGGGCTGACTATACAGATATCAGTATAGATGTAAAATGGACGATTTAAAAGTATGTACCACTGTATATTTATTGTTTTTATTTTGTATTTTACTCATTTATATATTTTACATGACTTATGGTGTATATCCAGTATCATGGCGAGTCAAAAAGAGAGAGACCATAGCGGGGCGGCATAGATTATAAATTCATAGATAATAAATATGTAACGATATGCGACCGGTCCCCCAGCACGGCAACGACATCACGCTGAAGGCGCTGGGGTCGCGGCAGGCGCGGCGCGCCACCTTCACCGTGCACGAGGGCGACGCGGCCGGCGCGCTGCGCTTCCTGGAGGTGCGCCACGACGGCCTCGTGCTGCGCTCCACGCAGGGTGAGCACACGCACGACACACACGCACAACACACACGCGCGCACGCGCTCACAAATGCGAGGGGTGATCAAAAAGTTATGATAATTGGTTATTTGCGATCCGCATAAAAATCGAAAAAAAAATTTTTGCTTCCTTATACACCCACTAAATCAGCATAAAAAACATATAACTCTACCACGATCCTCGAAAAGTGCGGTCATTTGAATACGAACTGTCGAAGAGATATTATCGAAATGTAGAAAAATGAAATTAGAGCAGTTCTCGTGAATCTCTGTTTCAACAAAATATCGACTAATGATATACACAATGAGTTAGAGGAAACATCGGGAGACTATGCTCCTCGATATTTCACATTTGCACGCTGGGCCAAGGAGTTTAAGCTGGTGATATCGAAATGATACGAAATACTCACGAAATAGTATTCGAATCAATGTTACAAGTTCGCAACCTATCATTTTCAATCATCAACTCGTTCACTTGAACGCTGATAGGAATGCTCCATGAGTAATACAAAATCAGTAATTATTATTGATTGCTAAATCACCTACAAGACTAAATAATTATGCAACTACGAGTATATTTGTGTTTTTTAAAATTAATATAAAAAAATTGTCTGGCAGGGACCATAATAGAAAGGTGGTGGTACGAGCGATTGGTTAACATGACGTACAGTCCTAAAATACGAGTCTTGTGCCTTTGGAGGAAGAACGGTGGCCAAACGCAACTACACAAATATTATACTAAGAAGGTAAGTATAGGTTAGCTGTAAGAAAAAAATCTATATCTACATCGGTATGTTAAAACTCAAACAAACAATGTCAAGGCTTTCAAACTATTTTTTAGAAAAATATTTTATTTGGATGTTGACAAAATAATAGGTCTATTTTGAGTATATTCATTTTTAGTCCATTTATCTGTTTATTTTATTGTGTATTTACTCAAGGACAGAGACATATAAAAGATAACATTTAATAAAAAAGATCCAGAGATCCACATGAGCTTCCCCTTATTTATCTAACTTTTTATAATATTCTTTATGATTTGCCATCAATGTAAAAAAATGATTAATTTATAAACTAACTCACTAACCCTGCACGTAAAATACTTTAAAGTTATTTATGCATCCCTGCACATAAATTCAATTGAGTACCGCCTATAAAAAACATACTTATATATACATAAATAAAGCATAACTACCACCATACACAACAGTGCAAAGCGCTGTACTACAGCATCAAGGAGGCGATGGAGAAGAGCGGGCGGCGCCAGGACGCGGCCGAGCTCGGCGGCGAGTTCCCCGTGCAGGACTGCGCCACCGGCGAGGGCGGCCTCATACAGGTACGCCGCGGGGCGCCGCCCCTGGCCACTGTAAAAAATGCCGCCCATTATCGAAATTTTGCGTAAAGTGGATAAAGTTTCAATAAAGTTTAATTACTTTTAATTATGAATTTTTTGAAAAATGCAAAAAAAAAATTATGTTTTAACTTTTTGAAAAAATGTACTAGTATTTTTTTTTAATACAAAAAGAATTTTCGATAACATTAAGAGATATATATTTTTTTTTTTCACCTTCTGAATTTTGCCGCCCCTGAAAATTTGCCGCCCTGGGCACTAGCCCCGAGTACCCCTAAGGTAAATCCAGCCTTGGGTACAATACAACTTGTAGTTAATTGTATTGTAGTTTTACATTATATTTTTTTGTACATATCGTAAATGGCCTATTTTTATATATATCTTATCACAAATAGAACCTGTATTAAACTTGTGATTCCATAGGTTTACCTTTGTATGATATCATTAGTAAAGTGAACATATGTACATTTAACTGTAACAAAACGCTGTTATGAATATTAACAATAATTATGGATAATAATTAATTTAGATTTATAACTGAGTTAATTTATCACTTTGTTGCCTATAATAGATCTTAATTCTTAAGCGTCCTATACGGATTAAGGAATGGTGAATAAAATAATAATTTACAAATTACTTAAAAAAAGCTCATATATAATAATCACAACAACAAGTAAATTTTATATACATATTATTAATTTTATACAGCGTCACAGTATACGTTAAAGGTACAGCACAAGTAAACACTGTGACGTATTTACTATGTGAAAGCTGTGACTTTCGAGATGTCAAAAACCTTAGTGTTTTGGTGTAAAGCATCAGAGCAAAAAAAATAAAATCACAAAAAAAATCATTAATTTTATTTTTTAGTAGGTAATTTTTGGCAAACTAAAAAAACTCAGTTCAGCGGTGTATGATGAAAGTGCAATACTAATATTTTCTAATCTTTTATAACTCTTAAATTATATAGGTACCTATACATTTGTAATGTTTGTATATACAATGTTAAAGGTCTGCATGGAAGGCGTCGGGCTCCTCTTCCACCACAGCAAGGTAGGCTTTTAAAGGAATATTATAATAATTTAATTTTTTGTCAGCTTTTATTTATATATATTTAACAATGATAAACCCAAATCTGAGTATCGAGATACTTTAGAACTACTTCAGTTTTGGTATTGTCATTTATAGATATCAGGTAAGATGTCTGTCAGTGTTCATGCTTTATTTTGGGAAATATCTCAATTCGAATAACAAATATAGAATGTCGTCCAACAAATTGTTCGGCAGTCTATGACGGGACCGAGTTCCTCGCTGGCCAAAGCTTTACCGTCTAAATATGCATATTATATTTTATCTCCGTACTTCGACGAGCTTCGGCATTCACGGAGACTCTGATGTCGTACGTGAGGAATTTAATTACTTTGTCTTTATCAGCTGTATTGCCAACATTATCATACGACTCGCTTAGACGACGCTCTCTAGCAAAAGAAATTTTGCAGTTTAATTTTAATATATTGAATGATATTATAAAAGACCTAGCAAGGACCACTCAAACTTTCCTATTTCGATTTTTATATTATCTATTTTATATATGTACTAACAATTCAATCTCACTGTGCTGATCATGTTCTCGTATTTTATTTTATTTCTTTCGATTGCGGTTTTTTTTTTATAAAACCTTTATATAAACTCAATACAGCTTATGTTCGAGAAATATCGTGTTTTATTCTATTTTTTTATCTATTACTAATTCGATGTAATAGTTAGCTATATTTTTTACTTAAGGTTTACCGTTGTCCGTTACGTACTCCATATATATGATTTGTGCATGCGCTGCGTCCCGCCGAGGCGAGGCGTGCTCGCTAGGAACTTTTGAGATGGTCCTTGACACGCGCTCGGCCGCTCTCAACTAATATCTTGTTTTTGTCTGTTCTACCCTTTCCGGACCCGCCAACCCGCGCCTGCGCTGAAGGATTTCGAGGTATTACATACTCAGTGGTTCGTAACCTAGTACTGGCTGGCTCCCGACGACCGCGCACCCTGCGACCTCGACCGAGACCGGTCGAGATCGTAGGGCCTACTTGTAGTTTGAGGCTTACCGATTGTTTTAGTTGAGCGTTGTTTTAGTTTCGGAGTGCGGCGAGCGCCCGCGCGTTCGTGCATGCACTTAGACATTGTTTGTACATTCGCACCCGATAGCTTGCATTCGTACCACGGATCGTCCGGCGAGCGGTTCCGATCTCTCACTCGCACTGCCGCGATCGGTCGGTCCCTCCTAGTACCCGAGCGGGCGTCGAGCCAGAGCTCGCCCGGCGCTAGTCACGAGGTCAGTCGTAGAGCATTCGCCATCTCACAAGTTCTGGCGCGCCTCTGATCCGCCACGTCCTTGCTCTCACACTCACTCTCCATTTCCAGCCCTCTCCCGATCCTGTTCCGGTCCACTCCCGACCCCTCCCTACCGCCCCGTCTATCCTTAATGTCTGAGGGTGGACGATCATGAATGATAAGTACGGTTCTACCAACTACGATCGAGTTACATACATAATATTTTGAATTAATATGAGTTTATGAAGTTGAAATTTGTATAGGTATATACGTTTTTACAACGCAATTTCTAATTAAAAGAAATCAATAGATACATTCATCATCGCTCACCTCTCATTTGATCCGTTTCAACTTCAAGCAAGCTTCGTGGAATCCTTCATTTAAATTGCTGTGTTTAATCCAGCTATGAGTCTCGCTTTATGTTATACTCATTTTTAAGTTGAAGACTAATGCGTTCGACGAAGATTTGTACAAAGAATATCTGCCTGTATGACAATAACACCCTCGCGCCGCTTCATTTTTCTGTAGCATGCTTGTATGCATCAATATAGCGATTATACTAAAAGATAAAACATTGATTATCTTTTAATTTAATACAACGACCATGTTTTGCTTCAGTTTTGATACTGTTTAATTTTGTAGATTATTTATCTGCTTTCACATAGTAAAACTGATTTGTTTTGAGGCACATATTCGTACGTGCCTACATGTTGAAGTGGTAGAGACACAAGTTAATAGTTTTATATTTATTATATACCTACTTATATGCTTATTATTTAATTTATGACTTGTTTAAGATAAAATGAATACGCCTAGTTGCATTTTCAATTTAAATTATTATTTATATATATGTAAGTATATTATATACATACATACATGTAATACCTTAGTACGCTGTTTATATCGTACCTACCTATTTAAAACAAAGATAATTTCTTTAATACACTTTAAGTAAATTACTAATAAACAATTACTTGATAGTTGTCTATACTTATAAGTAGTAAATCGAATATTTGACGAAAATAAGTTATTATTATTTCATGTGGTCCAGTTATGTTATCTATTAAAAGTATTAATTTATAAATAGTTAATAATATGAAAGGACTAATTTAATATTATTAGTAAAAATAGGTTGGCTAATTACACACTCATTTTAGAACCTCAAGCCAGCAGTAAGCCCTTTTAGCACAAACTTAGTGCACTGTCAAAGCACTCGAATAGGAAAAGAACCTGGCACGCTTCTCCGACACGCACTATCGAGCGCAATACCTACAATAACTGGAATAGTGTTACCAGATTACGTTCATTACTTTATCATGGCCATAAATATTTCAATGTTCTTTGTAAAATTAAATCTATTCATTTTATATTTTAACGTCATCTGGTAATTACTAATTATGGTATTCTTGCTAAGTAATAAGCTGCATAGTGACGTAATAAATGCGTTTATCCGTTTTGTGTTACATCCTAATATTCTGCTTTCCAGTTTTTCGTGCGGCTCGATCACATACGGAAATGCTTCACGCAGAACGGCGGTATCTTCGTTTTAGAAGAATTTAGTAAGTTAACTTATAAATTCATCTACCTAGCGATAGTGTTGTTATCTATCTAAAATCTACATCATATTATACAGCTCTTGTTAAATATTTCCTGCGCAATATTCGGTTGAACACTTTTTATTACAATGTCTTTATTACATTGCATATGTCATTTAAAATGCTCTAATTACCTATTTTTTCAGATCCCAAAACAAGACAAATAATACAAAGAAAATATAAATCTATAATGGTAAGTATTATTTTGTTTTTACTAAATCACCTCATCTCCTTTTTTAAGTTCATAGATTTTTTTATGTTGTAGGCAGAAAAAGTAGTGCTTGATCTTCATCGTTTCTTCTCAATATGGCTTACTCGGTACTATCTCGTTATCGAAGTCAATGGAAATCAACAGAATTATGCACATTACGTTTCATAGCTCACCCCCGATGTATGTACACGTCTTGTTTTTTTTTTTATTTTCTTACCTTTGGCTTTGGCTCTGCTTTTTTCTTGCATTTTTCTCATTTTCAGGCAACACATGTCAGGTTAATTTACTTGCTTCTGTATTATGTTTACTCTACTGAGTTAACAAATTGTGAAATTTAGGTACATATATGTACTTATTATTGTTACAATTATACTGTTTAAGTATTTAAAATTGCACTTTATATATAATACATCAATTTAATATACATAATTGTTATTAGTTTTCTATGTAAAAGTAGTCATAGAACCGCTTGATTAACATGCAAATACCTACTAAAATCGATATTAAAACATGCATATATAATATTTAATGGAACAACATACTAATTCTAACATTTTATAGACTTTTTTATGTACTTAATTTCAGATGAACTCAGGAATGTTTCACTTGAGTTCACTTGTTTATTAAGGTTCACAGGTTCACTAATGTTCCAGGTTTTATTCAAATAGTATAGTAATAAATAAGTACGATAAAGTAATGCAAATATACAGGCGGATCAAATATGCTACGCGGTGCTATGCGTGTTCTCGTACTTCGCGGCGGGGCACGAGCAGAAGAAGGCTATACTGGAGCAAGCGGCCCGCATTCAGCAGCCGGAGACGCCCGCGCCCCCCGCGCCCGCGCCCCCGCCCCCGCCCGCGCCGGCCGGGGGCGAGGGGGTGCAAGCCAAAACTACTCCACAAGTAAACATTTTACACCGACTAAAAAATAAATGTCTTTTTTAATCGTTTATTCAATAATCTTGAAAATCGATCCATATACATATAGTAATTGGCACAGCAAAGTATATCATAGACATTCTAATCGAGTCATTTATCTCTTTTTGAAATCGGTAAAAAATATAATTAAAAGTTCATACCCATGTAAAAAAAAAACCAAAAAAAACAAAATAATTATATCTGCTGTATAATTTTTCAATTTTTTACGCTGTAACAGCTCTATGGATAATAGTATAACGTAATTAAGTTATATCCTCGATATAATTTCTTTAAATTTTATGATACGAGTATATGACAATAGTTTATATTTTGATAACATACTACTCCATAGGCTGATTTTATCGACACACATCATTTATCACGGGAGTGGAGTAAAACATAAAGTTTAAATCTTTCCAACAGCTGGATAGAAGGCCATCAGACTTGCTTGCAGAAGACGTTCCAGAAAGCACCCGAATGCCGCCGGACAGGCGCGCGCCCGAGCCCGCCCGCGCCGCGCCGGCCGGCGGCGGGCGGGGGCGCAGCCCGGAGAGAGCGGAAGGTAATAGTTTAATTTAGAATTATGTATTATTGTATACGTGGATAGATAGTAGAATATCGAGTCATTGATTTGTTGGATCGGATTATCGTAACTTCTTTGCCAAATGAAAAGACATGATCTGTTCGGTTCAAAGGTTTCCTCCGAACACCTAAGCAATAATTCTTAACAGGTGTGTTATAAATACATCGAAACACGCCTAAAAAGGCAGTACAGTAGGCCTAAAAAGTGTTCGGACAGCTATCAAACCGGCTGCATTCATTATCATTCATTAGCATCAATTATCAGTGTGTATATAATTAAATCAATAAACTGTTCAACGATCTCAGGCTGTATTTAATTTATCAAGCATTTAGTGGTAGGTCGCGTCCCCTACATTTTTGGTCCTTCGAGCCGGACACAAAATACACAAAACATATGAATACATAAGGTATAATATGGGTAGATAAATCACTACATAGTATAAAACAAAGTTGTTTCCCGCTATGTGTTTGATCCTATGTATGCTTAGATCTTTCAAACTATCCAACATGATGCGGTTTTCGCGATCAGTCAATCACTTTTGCATTGTATATATATAGATAAGGTAATGGTTCCGTGCGTGGCCGCGGACGCCGCGGGCGCGGGGGTGCGCGCCGGCCCGCCGCCGCGCCGGCCGCCGCCGCCCGCGCGCGCGCTCTCGCACGGACACCCGCCCTCTGTGAGCATACCGCTTTACACCACTGCTACAAACTTACAAGCTTTAATGCTTTACGAGCTTTGATTCTTTTCCAAAACAGTCTAGTTATTTACTTTAAAAAGTCTAGTTTTCAAGTGTCGTTAAATAATATATTGTTTGTACGATATGATTTTTTTTTTATTTTTATTAAATAAAAAGTTATTTATTTTTTATGATTATGAGCTTATTTTTTTACGTTTGAAAGAACGAAAAAGAAAATTTGAATAACTTGAAATTTTTCAAATATCATTTAAACTCGTGTAAGGCAGTTGAGACTTGAGGTGTGTGTGCTGGCATTAAGTATTTGAAGAGTTTAACTTAAATAATTTCTAATTAATAAACCAATAAATAATCAACAGTATTTAAGTAAACAATCCATAAATTAATGAAATATCTCATTTAGAATCTTAAACGATGAGAAACTACCGTCAACAAATGCTATTAGTAATTGTTATTTAGTATCGTTATTAGTTTTATTAATATTTGTAACCAATCCAATTGTAAATATTTATGATTTTTAAATTATTAGGTTTCTTTGAATTGTAAGTCATTCTCAACACCTTTTTTTAGCTTAACCGGAAATTTACTATGTACTAGAAATAATGTACATAATGTAATTAAAATGTATTGTTGGCATATCTGATAAATAAATTAACATCAGAGTATGCCGCAGATCCCCCCGCGGCCGGGCGCTCGACCGGGCGCGCCGCCCGCGCTGCCGCCGCGCCAGCAGTCGGCCGCCGCGGACATCAGCACTAGTCCCAGGTAATAATAAATATTACTAACGACTTATTCTGGCCAAAGCCCAGGTTGTGTACTCATCAAAATTCGTTCTGTTTACCGAGAAAGAGTTACGAACATGCACACACAAGTATAAGCCCAGCGATTTAACATGACACTTCGCTCGAACTGGACGCTTCCCCCGTTGTCCCGCGCGGCGTCTCGTCGTCGCCAAAACATAATATAAAGTAAATACTGTAGAAATAACAGACTCAGGAAATCCATGAAAGAGAATTCATTATTTCTCTTGGAGGAAAAGAAAACTCTTCAGAAAGTGAAAGTGAACAAGATGACAATGATAGCGATATATCTGGAATAGAAGAAATTAATGAAAGTGACGATTCAGCGTAATAATAAAAATATAACGTTTTAATTAAAGCTAATAAATAAATCCAATACAAAAATACGAATAACTATTTATTTTTGTTTTATTTACATATAAATCGAATGACAAGTACAAGTTACTACTACCTAAAACCGATACATCTATGCAATTTAATAATATACATGCAAAAATTTAAAAAATTAAATATTATTCGTTTTCGTACGAGAAAGTGAAATGGAAACAAAAACTTTTTTGCAGACTGTACATGCACAAACGTCATTCGAGCCAGGCGTCATGTTTATTCGCTCGAGTTTTACAAACATTCAAATATTTAAATTACCACGTTGGTATACATAACCAACTAAATTAAATATTTATTTCCAGGAGCTCGGCAACATCCAGCCCTGTCCGGCGCGTCCTCGCGCGCCAGGGCTCCTTGGCCGCGCCCTCCCCCGCCGCCGCCGCCGCCGCCCCCGCCGCGCCCTTCGCCCCCACCAACCCCTTCACCGCCCCGCGACACGCAGAGTTCGTCATCCCTCAACGCAACAACGTACGGCGACAGTCGACCGATAGAAACTAACATTCACATTTCACACCGTGTTTATATTTACAAGCTATGTGGTATTTGAATATATTGATGATTAAAACAAATAAATACTAAATTGTCTTTATAAGAACAAAATATTATTTAATATTTTCAATTATTGTTCAGTCCTGTATTTTGCCCCGCCGTTGAAAATAAAATGGTGATAAAGTGTTTATATCGTTATATATTATGTGTACTCATATTTGCAATGTTATATCTCTCAGTTAATTCGCCGCGCTCTCCAAAAATGTTTTGCCTATATCGCTCTGTATTTTCCACATTTAACAATTTAATGTTTTTTTCGATATAGAACTCCAAACCTTGATCAGTCTCTATATGAATTAATTTGGCAATTAAAATAATTTTGATAATTTTGTTATATAACATTGTTAAAATCTGAGAATACAGTGCAACTTCACATCTTCATAGCTGAGAACATACAAAAACGTTAACTAAATAGTCCCATTAAAAGTATATGTCTCATTACTATTTACATTTGGGAATATTTTCCCTGTAGTTTTCATAATATTTTTGTAATTTCGGCGATCCTATGAAACTGTAGGCGACAAGATGAAAAATCACCGACAATAATGATACAGATAATGCTTCATGTGCTTACAAAACATAATATGAATTTTCCAAAAGATTATAACAAAAAATTAGTTTGTTTGCACACTTTTTGTTCATTCATGTTGTTGATTTAAATAACCTAAGAATTATAGTTCCTATCATAATATGTACCTAGAATATAGTGATAATTTGCTCCTTCATATCGTTTAAAAGAATTGTTATTATTGAATAATTCTGTTAATATATTATCTTTTTATTTACCGACGCGTGTATAATAAATAACATATACAGCTCAACCTGTACCAATAGTTATTTACATAGTAAAGATAATGGTGATAAATATAGAACTTAGTCGCGTTGTATGTAGGAAAAGTATTGAACATATTTGACGAGTTATATTTTCATAGAGAAGAAACTGGTTTATAAAAATGAAATTATAAATATGTAGACAATTGTGAACTATGTATTGGTTGTTATTATAGTATGCCTTCTAAGCTACTATTTACTTGGCAATTTTAAATATAATAAAATATATTATCAGCAACAGCACTCAGCAAACTTTAATTTCTTTAGTGGATGAGCACTTGCGAGTTATCAAGAAAAAATAACCTGACCCAGATACCCTAAAAGCTGACGTTGAATTAATAGTAAACATTATTAAAGTCCATAAGGTATTTTCTTTAGCTACTACTGGGTAATATAGATGTAAATCTGGGTCAAACATTAGGTACTATCCATATTTTTTGAGCACATCATATGTAATGGCGCTTAATGCTCTATACCTACATTCAGAGTTAGATGACCATTCAGGATACTTGTGACAAGCGATGGAGCATTGAACGCTAAATTTCAGGGTTGTCAGAAAAAAATTAAATTCAATAAACAATAGTGTGTACTTATATCACCAGTGTTTCATTTTTTTGAAATATTTTTCAACTTCCTTTTCTACGTGGCATTGACCTAGTTGATTACAGTATATAATATGATCATTACAAATACGCGATAAAAGTCTAACAGCAAAAGTTGTTACTCTTCGTATTTTATTCCATTTTTGACCGACTTCAAAAAGGATATCGCCAATTATAAATCGATTATCATAACCTCTATTTTATGCATAAGTTATACCTTAATGGTGGTCCCAAAAATATAGGAATGATTATTTTTAAAGTGATTTTAAAGTTACCTTTTAGTTTACCTTTTTTATCTAAAATCTAAGCTTCATCGCCATAAAGAGGTGTACATAATCTGGTTAAGTCAGGCTTAAGTCCAAAATTCGTTATTATATTAAATTCTCCTGTTTGAAAGTTATAGGTGAGAAAATAATATTCAGAAATAAATAAAAATAATATTTAATACCAATAACAGTCTAAAATCCAGCAATAAGAAGTAGGTATGCCGTTATTTATACATACAATAAGTTTTGATACTGAGCACTGTATTGTCACAGTGTACTAATCCATACAGTCATCTATAAAGACTAGACAAAGCAATCCAGAAGGTCGTGTGCGCCGCGGGCGAGGCGCCCCCAACTATCATGTGCTTTTATATGGCAATCGCAAAACGTGTTAAAGGGTACAACTGTAACTTGCTACGAGATAGTACTGCAGTACTTTAATTTTGAAATTTCACTATAAAAATTGGTATTTTTTCACAACCCTTGCTATGGTGGCAATTTCTATAAGTTCAAAAGTAATAACCTACTGTATGGATTTTTATACTGTGATAATATTAACAAATTCTAAATATAACATTTAAAAGGATGTTAATAACATTTAATAAGCATTTCCTGTTAACATACAAATGTTTGTGAACTTTTATGTTATGAGGCTTTGCTACATCCAATCAAATACAATTTTAAATTATATGTAGAATATTATAGTCCCTATAGTTATTGCAAAGTAAATTGTTTAAGAGAGAAATAATCTAAGAGTAACATTAACAAACACGGTGAATGAACGTGTGATATTAACAACTTTACTCGAGATCTAGTTAATGAAATTTAAATTTAAAAAATACACGAACATAAATTAAAAGAAAAAGGAGACATTTCGTCTCGTTTTATCCATAAATTTTAAATGAAAAAAAGGTTATGGCCAGATTACATTAATAATTACAAAATTGTAATAGATATTTCCAATACTATTATAAATTTTTAGGTATTTTATTATAGAAATTACTAAAAACATAAGGTTATACATATACATACTTTGGATTTTCAGTAATAAGCTATACCTACTTAAATAAAATATAATGGCTAGAAATAAAAGCAACTAAAGTAACTAGGTACTATTTTCGTTTGAAAACCAAATTAGAGTTTATCAAATATCACAGATTATAATCCTGCTGGAAAGTCTATGAAGTAAAATTATTTTAATAGTCTCAGTCTGGGTTTATTAAAAAACTAAATTAGCCGACAAGTTCAAAATTGTCGCTGTCAAGCTGTTGCAAACTTTTTTAAACTCTACCTCAAAACATGGAAAAAGTTTGTACAATTCAAGCGATCTAAATCGGCTGGTATGAAGTTAGTGCAAGTGGCGCCGCATGGAGTCTCATTAGGAAAAAAGAAAGAGATAATTTTACATCAATACTTGACATAATATGTATGGGGATATTTTCGATTTCAATTTGGTTAGATACTTATAATTAAATCAAATTTTCATAATTTTATTATTTTACTGAGGATTGAAAACTTAGTTGTTAGTTTGTACTGCGTATTTATAGATGGCGTTGTAATTTATTAACTTCCATCTCGGTTACAAACTGTGATAAATCGCTATTTGTATTGTTACTGCGTTTTACAATATACATATTTACGTGCACAAATTTTCATATATTATAATAAGCAGCTTTCTAGTTAGCAACACCTATAAATCAAATAAAATAGCCGAAGACGGAAGAAGTCCAATTTCTAATACGGGAATAGGGTCTTATTACTATTGTAGTCATATTATAATACCTTTCGTAGCTGCGTGGCCACCTGACAATTCAAATTCCAGTGTAGCTTTAGATAGCTTGTACGAGTACTTTGTGTGACATTCGTTCATAGCACAAAATTACGCACAATTGCATCGACATTAAACCATATTTTTCCGAATTATTATTAACGTAGGTACTTAAAGTTGTAAAAATATATTTGAGATCATATTGTAGCATAACACTTACATAATACTGCAAATCTATGTTAACTCTTCCGCGTTATATTTAATATTATTTAGTTGATCGGTCAACTCCTTGCGAAGTTCTTCCGACGTTTTGGCAAAAGACTCCATTATTTCCTCTTTCTTTGCAATTGTCTTATCCCAAAGAAATAAGCTTTCGTCAACTAGCGTCTGACTGGTTTCCTCTAATTCATTCAGAATAGTTGCCTGGAAAACGTGAATAAACATAAAAAAACGCCCTGGATTATTTAAAGAGCTCATGCGTTAACATTTAGTTATTAAATTTAATCGTAATTATACATTATTAATTGAATATTTTTTTAAACTATATCTAAAGTGTAAACATATTATAAAACAAAGTCCCCCACCGCGTCGGTTTGTCTGTTTGTCTAAACGCGATAAACTCAAAAACTACTGAACAGATTTTTGTACTGTTTTCAAAAATGGACGGCGTGATTTATAAGGAGATTTAGGTGTATAATTCATTAAGGTTTTGTGTAAATTGGCTCAAATATGACGATTATTGTTAAAAATTTCGGAAAAAATCATGCCGACTGGGAGCTCTATTGGCGTGCGCCGCGTAAATTTTTGCAGGCAGAACCACGAACTGTTCTAATAAATTGAAACACATAAAAAAATCTACAAAAAAGTCCGCAATAGCATATGTCTATCTTTTAAGGTGGACTCACACTAATAATATTATGGTTCTCAAATTGGTTCTAAAATAATGATTTATTTGCGAAGGTGTTTTTACTGACATGATGTTAATCGTTATCTAAATAAAAATATTAGACAACCTCAGCATTTATTTTAGGTCAAAACTGACCATTACAACGTTTAAATTAGATGAATATCTTAGAAGATATAGTATATACTATAGTAATAATATCGTGACGATAACGGTGATAGCGGGGGTAGTGACGCGACCGCCGCACCGGCGTTGATCGTTGTTGGTTATAACAATTGTTGTAATTTGTATGCATTATTGTTTTGTTGTATTCATTATTGTTTGCAATTAGGTGGTGAGGTTTTTGTTTTTTTTTAGTGTTGCTTAATTAAGACTTCAAATATCTCCAAATCAACTTTCACGAAGTTGCGGCCTTCTTTTTTATGACGGCAGATTGGGTCTCCCGCACTCCTGCACACTGCACAGCCACTCACTTAACGAAACGCTCAGATGCGGATACTGCTACTTTGTATTATTCTGAACGTCCTCATTGTATGTATTCATCTATATATTATTAAATGACTTACGCAGTTACTACTTACTAACCTTATTAGTACAGTCTATGTTTCCAATTTCTCTTTTAGGTAAAACATTTTTAAGTTTGCTTAATTTGTTTAAATATTTTACCTTCATCATTAAGTTATATTTACTGAGCAAGCCTTTTCTAGTTAAAACCTGTAAAAAGAGTGTTCATTATTATTTTAATGGAATTATAAGTATACATGAGAAAACATAACACATAAGGAAAGGTAAGGTTTTTTAATTCATATTTTAAGAATACTCTACTACATTTCTACATACACGTTATACGTATCGTATCGTATTCAACCCTTTTTAACCCCCGACGCAAAAAGAGGTGTGTTATAAGTTTGACGTCGATGTCTGTCTGTGTGTCTTTCTGTGGCATCGTATCTCTCAAACAGATGGACCGATTTCGATGCGGCTTTTTTCATTTGAAAGCCAGTTTCCTTGCGGTGGTTCTTAGCTATGTTTGGTTAATATCGGTCCAGCAGTGTTAGAGCACACAGTCATCAGTTACATTATCACTGTTTGATAATAATTTATACTTATAAATCGTATCGTTAATTGTAAGTTCTGATTAAATAAAGATTAATTTAAAGTATTAATCTTTTTTTATCAGTAGATGGCGGCATTTCAGCTTGATGTAACTCCGTGTTTACATTAAATAATTAACGGGTTTATTTTATACAGATAATTAAGGAATAAGCATATTGAAAATATTTATACTTACGTAATCAGAAGTCAGGTGCGTTGACAGTAATTTTTTATTCACCATGTCATCAGTAAGTGATTCAACAACACTCCACTGTAATAATATATGCTTTGGTACATACACTTTTCTGGCCAACACTCTGCAAATGGCAAATGGTGAAAAAAAAATTAATATTTATATGTGAAATTGCAACAGCCACTTGGCCAACAACAGTTTTTATTATTATGTAGCAACTACTACTAATATTTTGACCAGACAACTACACAGGACGCATACTACAATAACAATCATTGGAAACTTTTTTTTAAATTTAAATATTAATTTACTATGTTGGTCCGTCCCGCTATAGAGCATTTCGTTATTGTTGTTTAGTTTCAGAACACACGTTTCTCGTCCACTGAAAATTCCTTATTTCCGGTGGTTTGTACGACACCTATACAGTACTTACATATTAAGATCAGATCAGCAATTTAGACTTGAATAATTAAAAATAGATTAAAATGAAACTTATAAAATAAAATATTAACAATAAAAACTTATTTACTTATTCTATTAAAAGCTTCTTCAGTATAAAATAATAAATACTCACTGATTTATTTTATTGAAAGCTTCTTCTTCAGTATAAAAGTCTGTATACATAAATCCAGGAAATTCAAAGCTCAAATGGTTTGTTGCGTTCCGTCTGCCTGCTATCCAACCAATATTGGCGATATTTTTGCAAACAATCCATACATCTTTCCAGTTACCTCCACATCGCTCAGTATCGTTTTCATCGTCCGATATAACAAAAATGGCATCTTTCGGTACAGTATTAATTTTTGTCATGGAAAGAAACCTTTCGATATCCATGTCCATTTCGCAACGTGTCTTATTTTCAGTCTGTGACTGTGAACTACTCGGTAAATTATTTTCAAAAGATTTTTTATTAATTTCTTCTGGTTTTAAGACAAACATACTTCCTCCGTGTTTTCTTTGCAGTGATGTAGATGTCGTTGCTATATTGTCATTCATGTCAATTTTATTATGAATCAACATATCTTCTTTAGTTTTAGGCGGGACTATAATAAGCTTACGTAATTTTGATAGGCTTTCTGTTTTACTATGTTCTTGATCATTGCTACTGAGCAAAGATATCTTCGAAGTATTACTTTTAACAAGCAATGATTTATTTAGTATCAAAGATTTTTGTTTTAATAGACCAAATTTATAGAAATTATTTGATTTTATAATTTTTATAGGCCTCACAATTTTAGGCGATGTCTCTTTGCTTATCACGTGCTTATCGTTTAAAATATCAGCAGACGATTCATCATAGCTACTTGTGTCATTATCACTCTCACAAAATCTTTTGGTATTAGTTTCAAGAGTAATCATCTTCTCAACAATTTCTTTAGAGGGCATATATAGTAAAGGATTATTGATAACATTCAAATTATCAATTTCATTAGTAGTTATCCATGTACCTCTTGTACATTCCACTTTTCTCATATCATTCACGGTTTTTACAGTTTCTATGCCTAAAACCTCATCCTTTTCATATGGTCCTATAAAGACGTAGTTATTTTTACTACTCGGTATAGCATAGATTCCAAATTGTGGAGAAGTTTTAGTGCCACAGCATTTTTGTGAAGATAGTCTAACTGTTTTTCCTAAACGCTTAGCGACCGATGTTGCTTTTATAAGGCTATCGTACTTAACAAAGAATCCTTTTACAAAAAATTGAATTTCTGAAAAATCATCTTCTATAGTCATTAAAAACCACTTAAATTGATTAGAACTTTCTTCTGGTACATTATATTCAGCTAATTCTATAGATTCGGATACGCTATCAATAGTGTTTTGTGAATCTATCTCAAAACAATTCGAATCCAAAATATTCATGTTTTCAGACACATCTTCGGGCACTGTTAAACTTTCTTCATTTTCTTGTGTTACATCTTTTATGCTGTCATTTACCTTTGTTACTGAACCGATTAGCTCCCAACAAAATGATAGCCCATACAATATATAAAAATTGTCTTTTGTCTCTGTGGCATTTGTAAGTAAATTTTTAATTGTATCAGGAAATTTGCTAAGATCAGACAGCGCAATATCACTTATGTTTATGCAATTACTAAAAAATGGATTTTTTGTGTTCACTGCCATAAAAATACGGAAAGGTTTTTGTTTAGATATCAAAAATAGATTTTTTCGATCTCTATATCTACTTAGTATAAAATTCCAAGGATATAAGGCAATTTTGCCATATTTTGGAGGATCTAAACCAGTTCTCATAGGGCCATAATGTGTTTGATCTTTATAGAATTTGTAGTTAGACTCGAGCCATGATACTAATGATTCTTTATTTGGCAGTCTTTTTATATTTGCGAGTGGAAGTTGAGATTTACCTGCTGTTTTCGTCTCCACAACATGTTCTTCCTGATCCAGTAATTTTGGACTTATTACACTACTTAATAATTCATTTAGACTAGGTGCTGGACAACTTAAATCGTCCTTTTGTAAATCTTGATCCTCTGTCACTAGTGTGTTACCATTGTTTATTAAAATCATCATTTTTTTATGTAATTTCTTGTCATTTCTTTCCATTTCTAAAATTTTTTGATTTGTTACACGGTAATATTCTTCATCATATTTTCTTCCATCATAAGGCAATGTTCTAGCGCATTTCAGTTTGCTATACGAATTAGGCGGATGAGGCAATAATGGCACTATAACTTCAGATTTTTCATTACTGTTTCCAGAAATACGTGTTTCATGTTGAATTTTTGGATATGTTTTCAGTGTATTTGTCGGAGTATCGTTGCTTAAATCTATAGGGACAATCACTTTTTTATTTTTATCATCAACATCAGAAGCAATTGTTGATGTATCGGTTACATCATGTATACTTAGAGAACATTTTTCTACGAATTTGCCTTTGCAAAAACACTTATATAGATTATGTACCATACACCAGGGTTCTACGTTTTTCAAGTCTAGATTTGTACACACTATTGATAATTCTTGTTTATCTCGGTTCATAGCTTTCAAGGGCATTTTACTATAAAAATCAGCATATCTCTTCGAAGCTTTCCAATTTCGCCGTTTCGACTTTAGTAAAATGCTTTTTTCATTAGTTACTATAACAGTTTGATGAAATTTATGTTCTTCTTTCGCTAATGTTTGTCCCAGTTTCATGTCAAAGTTAACTAAGCCCGGCAGTATATCAGAACAATCATTATTAAATGAATCAGTTAGATTATACTTGGAAAAGTCACATTTACATTTGAACATACATTCGAAACGACCACAATGTCTTTTAAAAGTACTTGAAGATTTCAAAGAATCACATATACATCCTAAGTAGCAATGCGCATTTTGACATAGTACATCATTTTTAATAACATCAGAAGATTCAGCAATTGTAATAACAGTCACATCTAACCTGTCTAGCTCTCCAAATTTTCTTTTACCCCTATCTTTTAATTGATTTATATTGGTTGTGCAAAGACTATTGTTAATTTTAGTCACTTCTCTTGGTTCATCTACTCCTGAAAACATTTCATTCTGTTTCAAGCTAATTTCTACCGAATTTAGTATATCGTTCAAAACATTAGCGACTTCTGATATAATTATTGTCTCATCTTGTACTGGATCAGGCTTATCAGTACTAATTTTGATTTGTTGTACTATGTCACTATCATGACGCATTAGAATTCTACGCTGTAAACATTTGTAATCAAGATCAAAAGTTACGTTACAATCTTCTACAGTTTGAACTGGGGTGCCATTTTTCATTGTACCTAAAACGGAAACCGAAAAATTTGCCCAATTTTGAGATATCACACCATCGGCATTTAATAAAAAAGCATTATGAATAAAAGTATTAATTGCAGGTGCCAGTGGTTTTCCATAGGAGGGTTGAATATCAAGACCAGGTTTGGGCAAAGATACTAATTTCATATCACCAAACTGATACCTTTGGTATGTATTATCTAGGTATTTCTTTTTCGTCAATGGTCCAGGTTTAAACTTGATGTCTAAAGAATGATGCAATAAACTCTTTTTTTTAATCAAAGCATCTTTTCTTACCATTGATTGGTTTAAAGTCCTGTTTATTTTTGTGATATCACGTTTACAAATAAACTTCTTTCTTCCACCTTTACTTCCATTTACTAGGATACATTTACCATTCCAAAGAACATACTGCGAAGGAAAGGTATGTTCTTCAGGATTAATATTCATTATCATTTGCCATGCTGATTTTGATATAGGGGCAGAAGAATTTAATATATTTTTAGCTAGTTCTTTTGTTTTTCCATCTCTTGCAGAACCAGAACTAATTTTGCGCAAAAGTAAATTTTTTTGTCTTTCTAAATCGGCAGGCAAGTATGTATAAACATCAGATTCAAAAGCATTCCTAATATCCCTTACAGTTCTAACTTTTGCACTAATTCTTTTCCTTGGCACGTAGTGTTTATCATTTTTCGGTACAAAATCACAACTGCTTTTAGTATTAATGAGGGATTTACTTTGCAACGGTATAGCAGGAGTAACATTAAAAATATCTTTTAAATTATTTTTTAATTTATTTTCCAATCGAATTATATTTGAAGTAAATACTTTGCTTTCTACCACCATTGTCGTTAATAAGAACTGAAACAAACAGATTCATAAAATATGTCTAATATCTTCGAACATATTTAATATGTATAAGCAAGGTAAGGTAAAGATAAAACTTGAACTGTATAATCTATACGTTAACGGCTTTTTTTATTTTCTTATTATTGGTGCACTATGAAACCGCTTAATCTATACATACATTTAAATTCTAACGGAGTTAAATCTGTACATTAAATATTTTTTGGGAAAATCTTATTGAAATAGTCATTATTATCGATACAGAGGCCGAATCTAGTTTTTAGAATTTTTGTCGGTCTGTGTCTGTGACCGCATCACGAGAAAACCACACACGACGATAAAACATTTTTTTATTTTGATGAAATTTGGTATGGTTATAGCTGGTTATCCGGGTCAACATATTTTTTTACTGCGGGAAAATATCTTATCTCTGAGAAATCTATACTAAACGTTAAAACGTAACCAGGGACGAACTCGAGCGGAGCGAGGGTGAGTCTCTAGTATAATATATGGATAGAAAACACTTAAGCGAAGAAAGATATCAGTATACATAAAGAAAGAAAGATATAGTGACACGAACGTTAGAATCACGTTTCCTAAGTACGAGTGACGGAAAATAATATATATTAAACGATGACAGTCCTTAAATATGAACTTATTATGCATTAATATGCGAATGCGCGATGTTATTGCAATGCGATGTATTTGTACTTAAATAATAGGTATGTTATGGTGAGCTTAACTTTCAAATATCTCGAAAGCATGACGTTTTAAGGCCTCATATTGACTTTTTTTTTTGTTTGTTTTAATGTCCTAAATTATTTTTTATTAATGCACTAGGTAGTTGTGTTGTGTGCCACTACTTAAAAATACTAAGGGTGGCTAAAAACAGCTTACATAGAAAAATATTCGAACAATTTTTTAAAAGTATTGATCTCGAATATTGCCAATAGAGGATTTGATATTTATACCTACAATATATTATTTAAAGTATTTGTACTTATTCTAGTTTAAATTCTATTAGCTATTTGCTTAGATTACCCTTGCAAACGCTAAAAACAATATTGAAACTGTAAATAATGTATAAACTAGATCAAAATGTCTAGAAACGTTAAATCAAAACTAGTTAGTTCCGAAATTAGCCACTAAGAAAATTTAATCACCGCCAATTCGCAAACTTTCACGTAAATATATTAACAATTCAAAATCTACTCAACTACCTCAAAACTTGTTTGAAGTGTTACAACTAAATATTAGTGAAAAACGTAACGTGTAAAAATATGTGCCGCCAGAGAGATCAAGATGGAATACGTTTTATTTCGTTCTAGTTACCTATCTATTTAGTTGCACATACCTACCAACAAAATTTCTCCGAGCGTCATAACCTTATATTTTGCCGCGTCTCTATTACTTTTTCTCGTATAAACATAAAAAAAGATGATAAAAGAAGAGCAACTTGGTATAACACTGTTAATATATGTATCTACTTGGGCTGTAGGTAATCAATATATTTTTACCTATATGTATTGAGACATGTGCTACACTGAATTGTAACGTAAACAGCTAATCATAGAATCGAACCTTTGCCGTACAAGAAAGTACCATTCAAACACGTATTCCAGTGCGTCACAACATGTTGATATAAAAAAGAAATAAAATAAATAATACACATAAAAATATGTATAGGTACGTATTATATTATACAGCTCTGACCAAGGCTTGTCAAACATCTGTGAAACGAGTGATGCTAGTACACGCATATAATCTACTGTTTTGGTAGTAATAGTACTACTGCGCAACGGATCGGTACGATTTTCTTTCTGGGAAGAATAATTCTAATACGAGTATATATCCATTATATCTCCTCTAATTTCATGGAATGTGAAAAATCTATTATTACTGTAATATATAATTACTTGTACTTTATATAACATTACTTCCATACAATAACTGTACGTCATTTAAGGAAGTTGACATTTAAAGTTTGTGATAAATATTATCTAATTATAAAAATATATATTTAAAGCAACAATTTCAATAACTTAAAAAAATATTAAATTATACATAAAGAGACAAAAAATAATTAACATTACACAAATAAGTATGTAAATCATAAAACTGCATTACAGTGTTGCTATTATTCTTCACAGCAAAAAATACCGAAAACTACTATGGCTCATGACAGATGCCGCATTTAGAGCATGTGAGCATCAATAATTTAAGAAACCTATAAGTCTTTATAATATAATAACCGTACAAAACCTTTCAAATATTCCGCAAGATATCACTGCATTATTCATAAAGATATAATAGGTACCTATTTATCATAAATTACGCCGAAACATTGTCCTTGCCAATATTTAGATGCAATAAGTCTAAACAAGCACTATCTATTATAAAACACAGATTATTTTAATTAATAACACGTACCTTAAACTGTACAAATAACTAAATACGTTGATCTTTTAATGTAAAATTCTGTTTTATAAAATAAACACGAGAGATCACGTGATCTCATATTAAAATGGCTGCTAAATTTTAAGAAACGCTCAAAGAGTTGTCACAAAACTAATCCGTTTTAATCTTTCGTATAGTTTTAGATATTAAGAATATATTTACCTTCGACTATTATTTACATTAAGTTAAAGGTCTATATTTATGAATTTACTCATAAATATCCGAAAAACAACTTGATTCTGGATTTTTCCTATCGCACAGATAATATACTTACATTGTTGACAAGAATTTGTCCATTGACTTTGATAGATAATTAATAAAATAGCTAGAACTAAATATTGCATATATTTAGTTCTATATATATAATAATGATGAAAATAATTATTTAATATAAAAAATTACACGATCGTACGCTTAAATTATATTTGTTTTTTTAATTGCTATATCATCACCGTTGACAATACCTATTAAGTATTTCTATATTTTGTAGGAACGTACCATATAATATGTTTTAGATAATATATTACAGCCAATTTTTTTTTTTACTTTCCGTTTACAAAAAACCTTAATTATGATTTACCAAGTGAAAACTAGAGATGGGGAGGGGGAGGGGGGGGGGGTGTAGGAGTCTTGGCAAATACATATATATTACGGATCATAAAGTATAAACATATGGGGGTAAGAATGTATCACGTGTGTTATTTAATTTATTTTATAAAAAAAAGATATATAACATAGTCTTAGATGTTATTTGAGAATATTGGTAAAATGTTAAATAATCTCGAATAAAAAAAATCTTTTTTAAGATGCAATAGTATTTTTTTTAATATTAAAAATATTAAATGAATAAGGTTATTATTTACACTAATGTCAGATGTGAGTAAAAATAACTATGCAAGCTAGTAGTACAGTTTTATAATCCTTTTCTTTTTCTACACAGGTTAAAGCGTAAACAATGACGAGTTCACAATTGTAGTGCTCAGCTAATGGTATTTAAAATGACTAAATAAATATAATGTGCATATATAGACCTATAGGCATAGCATACTTATTTAAATATATATAAAAACTATAATTTTAAAGTAATAATATTATAGAGAAAGAGTTTCTCTTTGTTTAGGCACTGCTGAGTTTATCCCATTGAAGTATCATAAATAAACTTATTTTCGCAAATAAATCAGTCTTCCGTGATGGGGTCTTGTTGGCGTATGGCATTCCGGCCGGGAGTGAAGCCATGACACAACTGGGGAGCCCGGGGCCGGGAGAAGGCGATGTATTATGCGGGTTGCTCCTGGTACTTCAGGTCAACCGTCGGAACGTCGTGGTTAAGTGCGTCAGCGATCCCAGTGTATCGCAATACCCATTACGACACAGAGGTTCCGTTCGGTTTTAGTTTTTTTGTAAGTTTCCACCTATTCCAAAATTGGAGTTTAAAACTTGGATCTTGCAAAAACCTAGGTTGTTAGAAGTAAATGTCAAAACTAGGTTTCGCGGTATTAATTCAAGTCAGTTGTCACAATGCGCTTATATTCATAGATGACAAAAGTTATCTATTCTCACACTTGCTAATGCGCTCGCTACTTAGTCTAAATTTCTTAATACACTCTTTTTTATCCATATAGATTATAAACTATTGTAATATTTTTACTTATATAAAAAATTGAAATCGTCCTAAATCCTCGCATATGTTCTCACTCAGTCACTTGCATGGTCGACGGGGAAACCGACCCACTAGCGCGTTGCTAGAAATACCTAAAAAGACAGAAAAGGGATAGACGAAATACTTTTATCGAATTGCTTTGCGGCCCGAAAATCTGAAGATGTTCTAAATTTGATATTACCTACACGTAAAATTAAAGCTTCTAGTTTTATACATTCACTCGCTCTGCTCGGGTTCGTCCCTAGTTACGTTTTAACGTTTAGTATAGATTTCTCAGAGATGAGATATTTTCCTGCAGTAAAAAGTATCCTATATGTTGATTCGGATAACCAGCTGTCATCCTACCAAATTTCATGAAAATCTGCTCAGTGGTTTTCTCGTGATGCGTTCCCAGATATACAGACCAAAATCTGTAGATTCGGCCTCTCTAATATAATGACTATTTCAATAGGATTTTCCAATAAATAGTTAATGTACAGATTCGGCTCAGAATTTTATTATATGTATAAATATTTAGGTTCCTATTGTATCTACATGATTTAAAGTAGTATTTTATACTATAGTCTAGAATATATCTTGCCATCTCCATTTCTTACTCCACTCAAATCCGTCGAGTCGTCACAACTTGAAAAACAAACACTCAGGAACTTTCGCATTTATAATATTACTTAATATTGTATATATTTATAGGCATATGTTATGTATATGTAAGTATACATGTAGGTATATATGTTTGTATGTGTTTATAAATGTTTATTTTTGTAATGTTGCACAGTACCTACACCGCACTAAATTGACTTATTTTCTCACTTCTGAAGAGTTTCTGGAAGAAATCTCTTAAAGAGATAAGTAATCCTTTGTTTTTTATTCTGTTACTTTACTTTGTATAGCATATACTTTATGGTACGTAAATAAATGAAATAAAATGAATTAGAAGGAAAACATCGTGAGGAAACCTGCATGTCTGAGAGAACCTAGCAAATTTTCGAAAGACATGTGCAGTTTGCGTGCCGTGTTGCGCCAGCGTGATGGCTGATTCCCTTCATATTGAAGGGAGGCCCGTGCCCAGCAGTGGGACGTTAAAAAGGGCTGAATACAATCTTATTTCGACTATATATACTAATTCAAATTCAAAATATTTTATTCAGCATTAAATTATTACAATTTTTTACTGAACGTCATGAGTCTATTAGCAGTTCGGAAAGAAGAACTGGCGAAAGAATTGAATGGCGAATGATTATAAATTACTGTGTAAAATAAAACACAATTTAACTTTCATGATATTTTATTACAGTATTGTAAAAACATACTGTTTGTCAAATCTCAGTGAGATTTAATTATTACATTAAGAACCTTATTTTAACTTAACATCCTAAAATTCTTCAATACTTAAAACTCTTCTTATCTTCTTATTTTCGATTCGTTCGACCGCCTAGTGATGGAGAGTTAAGAAAATAGTAGCAATTAAATAGGACAATATTATTTTTTTTTTAAAAAGTATTTTAACTAGCAACCCAATACCTATATTCGCTTTTACTAAGGTGGTCAATGGAAGACAACGAGATGCAGCTCGGGTCTGAGTCTCACTGTTACTTGTGCCAACCTATAGTAACTTTATCGATGTTTTATAAAATATTCTGATAATAACAAGGCATTCGTTGATCCTGTGGCTAGAATGCGCAGCGGCTGGTCTGCGCGTCTGAGTTCGAGTTCTGGATAGGCTTAAGCAGACTTATTGGGGTTTTCTGTTAAGAAACTCTTAGTAATAGGGAAGTAAAGTCGGCACAGTTACACTCCCTCTCCTGCGAGATAACCTGACGCGTCTCTCCTGCGTCTCACTTTGAGAGTCTAATAGACGTCTCGTCCCACTTTGAAAGTGAAACAAAGTGTGCGAGTGTACTGCGCACACACAGAGCCCCCCGCGTCGAACTTGGCTAACCTCAGTGAGATAGGCATTATTATAAAATATACTGCATTTTAATGTTTAAAGGGCTTTGGCAATAAGGGCTTTTTTGATAAACTCTTTGTTAAATGGATATTTTGCATTGATTTTTGTTAAGTAAAGAGAAATGTTGTTAATGCAAAATTAATGGAACTACCGCTAGTATTTACATATATTAAAAAGGATATTGTTTGTCCCTGGGTTCTTCATGCGAGCGATCTCTGAACGGTGATTTATCCTGTACAAAGTCGTTTTATTATAAGATTTATAAAATTATTTAAATTTGTTAACACTGTATTCGGGATTAATATACTATTCTTCATTGCACTTATACATATGAAAAGTACAAAGATTAACAAACAATAAAATTAGTTAGCTAAAGTGGATTAATTACCCTTTTGTGATATTTTTCATAGTGGTGGTCTTCTTGAGAACCGTTCTGGTGACTGCTCATTTTAGCAACTGCTGAAATAGAATGAATATATTATAAGTTCAGATATAATTAAGGAAATCCAGATACGAATGAAGCTTTCTTATATACCTTTTTGTTCTTCACGGCGTCTCTTTTGTTCTAGAAGAGCCGTTTCTTCGGCTCGATCCTAAATATAAGAAAAGGTTCAATTAGTTACGATCCTCACAACCTAATTATCAGGTGTGTATATTTATATGAAACTAGTGATCAATAAAAGTAAGTAAGCAGTAATTGTCACACTCGTGCAATATAACTCTAGTTGTGTAATTTAAAGAACTTTGTATCGGTAATTGTTTATTATTTGTGTAAATATAATATAAAAACTTATAAAATATTTAATTTCTATTGGTTTAAATGTGTACAAATTACAATACGTAGTACTCACCCGCTTACGACTCATCTTACGCTCTTTCCTTTCGTCGCCCCTCAGTTTAGCCTTTCTCTTTTCCTTCTCTGGCGATCTTTCTTCTATTTCTTTGCTACCCTGCTCATTCAGAAACCAAATGTTAACCTTAAATACTAATATTAAACATTTAATTTCACACATACGCAACCATGTTCTTATGAAAAAACTAAAGTTTCGCAAACTAAAAAGAAAGAATCAAAACGTATATCAGATTAAGACAATATTAGATTGTTCATTGCGTCGACTCCAAACATGTGTCTCTTTGCGTTGTAAATATTTGGGCGCATATGTTGGCAGGAAATACGATTAAATTTTTCTCTATGAGGTGATCGGGATCCAAATCTGATACCAGTTAGTCCAACAGAAACTGGTTCATTCTAAAATCTCGACGGGAGGAATTGGTACACCCTCAAATCTAGATGTTTCTCAGAAGTAGTTTTTGGTAATTTCATAAGTTACTAACAGTTGTAAATATTGCAGTTGCAATTAAAATACAGTAGATTCAGTAGAGTAGTCTTCGTAAATTGTTCACTTCTGCGTTTCTCTGGCAATGTTGCGATTGCAATGTCACGTGTATGTTGCGATCACGTGTAATTTTCAAAGTGGGTCGTTCTTCTTAATGTAATATTTTAATAGTTTTTGTGATGATGTATTGATAGCAGATGTAGCGATGATATTTAAGTCTGAGAAATTCTATTATTTTTCGTCCATTCGGTGTGTTAAGTGTTTAAGCTTCACTAGATTACAGTAAATCCCACATACAATTTGATACACCATATGTGCCTTTTATAACAAAGCAGCATTAAATGGTGAACTCTTTGTTTCTCTTATATTCTATTTTCATAATATATTTCATTATCTCTTCAATATTGTTATATTTTCATAATATTTATTCAAGTTAAAAAAATTTTCAGAAGATTTCATTTTGTGCGTGTGTTTATTTTCCTTCTTTTCTTCTTCCCACTCTTTTTCCACGATTGATTTCGTCTTCGTGCTTCTTTCCTTCATTCTCTTTTTCCGTTACCGAATATTGCCTTAATATAATATACTTTTTGACTCCATTATTTAATATATGATAAAACCTTACCGGTGCTAGACTGGACTGGGCTGACTGAACTTACGACACGAGATTATATTCCTTTATTTTTACTTTCTATGGCGAAGGTTTTAAACTTTATTGAATTTATTATTATTGTTTTATTTGTTGTCTTGAAGTTATTGTATATTTTAGTATTTTTTGGGTTTTCAATTCTTGGAGATTTTTATTGATATTCGCGTTTCCAAATGCAGTACAGCTGACTTTTCCTGTTACGGTACTCTTAACTTCCAGGCATTATTTTTATTCTTCGTCGGGAAAACAAGTATTTTCTCTACGTAGCAGCAATTCAAATATTATAACAATTTGAACATCTTCTCGTTCTTTCCATTATTATCCATCCAAAATGCGTAGTTTGTGTTCACAATGCTTGTTCCAACTTCCCTGGTAATTGTATTTTCTTAAATAGCCTCCACTTGTGTTGTAATTTTGATTTTATTATTTTTAAATTTTTTTATTTGGTAGTCCATTACATATTATTTCACGGTATTACTAACAAATATTTAACACAAGATACTTTTTTTAGCACTAAGAGTCACAGTTCGGCACAGTCCGTGTCACACGGCGCGCAGCCGAGCGTCAGTCCGGCGCCGGCGCGATGCGAGAGGTATATATAAAGATACTCACCTTGCCATTGCCGCTGCTTTCGACTTTGCGGCGTTTCACATCTGAAACATCACGATTAATAAATACAAAATAAAATGTGCACAGTGCACAAGTATGTGCGACAAGTACACAAGTGCACTCTCTATTCCTGTCACTCACATACGTATTTTCTGGCAAGATTGTGGACAGCAAACGCACACATCGCTATATCGTATCATCAGTCATCTTTTACCCGACTGCTTACAAAATATAAAGTAATTTATATTAAACATAAAGAAAATCAAGCTATCCATTTACTAAAAATATAATGTATCTATCTACTGTGCAGAATCCTCTTGTAGTCTAAATCTATACCACACATTGCACAAGCATAGTCAAGCGTGTTTACTGGTGATAGGCGATGGTTAAAAAAAATATGAATCACATTATTCAAATGATATAGTAATATATGAATAAGATTAAGTACAATTTTAATGATTATCTTTCGGATTTTGTCGCGGTTTTAAAACCGAAAAGATAGTTTTACTTAAGACCAAAATAATCCCTGGATTTATCATTTCTATTCGTCGTTAATAATATTTATTGCATGATTGGCGCAACAGTATACCATTAGTTGCGCGCACCACCAGGTGTGTGGATAATGCTACGTATAATATATTGAAAATATTGTGTTTTAGGGCTATCAGAGATGAGTGTAAATCGTACGCCAAACCCACACTTTACAAAACTTTTGTTAATATATATAAAATATATAATAATCGAGCCTCTCATTCACTACAGATACACGACTTGTGTTCTGTTTTCTATGCTTTACCATATGTAGCACGTAGGCGTCCCATATATTTAATAAGATTTTTTTAATAAAACTATAATAATGCATTTGCATACCGCGATCTATGTCATCTGATGGATGACGATGGTCATGAGGCGGGGAAACTGCGTCCAGATAACGCTCCTCCTGTAATATAATTCTACAATACAATCTGCGTCTAACAAATATTTTATAGTAAAATACTACTAAAACAGAAAAATATCTCACTCTATGCGATCGCTCTCTTGGTGACCTATCTTTGCTTCTTACTTCTTCTTTATTTCTTTCTTTAACAGACCTAAAAAAATCCGTATAAAATGAAATTAAATATTTTAAACGTCTTCCATTTCTAAATCGTATAATTGTTCTAGATTTATTTTGTAAAATTTTAGGTATATTACGTACGATCTGGATTCCCGTTTAGGCTCTTTCTCACGGTCGGAATCGTCACGGCGTCTGTCACTTGTTCTGGAATCCCTCTTGTCCGTGTCTGTTGGAATTCAAAAATTAGACAACGGCGGAATTTTAGAAAATTATATTATAAATTAGAAAATTATATATAATATGGTCTAGACTACATAAAACTCAGGTATAGGCGAATTTGTATTATATTTGCTACTAATGTTTATGGAAGACTAATAACAAACATTTTAGTAAAATATATATAATTATACAATATTTACTAATTGTCATCATCTATCCTTTAATTAGTTAGTATTATTTATCTGTATTCTGTACGCGCAAGCACTAGTGCATTCTCTAGTCCTTTTACTCTCAAAGTCCGATGGGACGACACGAACGGCGAGAGTTAAGGTGCAGGACAGACGGCTTCACGTGATCTCCGAGGCAAGGGGCTGAAACATCGCCAATTTCCCAACTCCCGGCTACTTTTGAGAATATCTTTACACAAAAACTTAGTAATTAAACTTTCCCATCCGGGACTCGAACCCAGGACATCCGGATCTGCAGCCGTACATGCTAACCACTAGACAACCGAGGCATGTATATATCGTAGTCTATACTAATAATATAAAGAGGTAAATCTACTGAACCGAATTAGATGAAATTAAGAAGAAAGTTTGAGACCCCGGGAAGGACATAGGATACGTTTTATCCCATAAATCATCCCTTAAGGGGGTGATAATAGGGAAGGTGTGGTGCGCACTGACCGGCGGCGGCGGGCGGCGGCGACTGCTCCGGCGGCGCGGGCTTGGCCGGCGACGCCGTCTGCAGGTTCATCATCTACACGTACACACACACTTATGTTATATCATACATACATACATATAATAAATATATCATATATTATTGTATGCACATATGTAATGACACTTTAATGACATTATATATTTTAGAATTATTTAAAACTTAATATACGTCACGTCTTTAGTTTTTATATCTGTCTTAGAATATGAATTCGAGAATGTTCAGTAGATTTTAATTAGATTTATTTAAAGTTCAACAGATAATATTACAAAGATATATTTCTTCACTTCAACGGCAGAATAATTCCAAATTCTTACGATCCACTTTGAGGTTACCTCAGGAATTTTGTATGGACCTAGGAACCCTTAATACCAGTAATACGCATGTTGATTTCCACCTCAATCGGATCAATTTACTTTTTTATAAACTATCCTTGAAGCGTGCTCGAGATTTTATAAGGTGCCAGATAGTTTGATAGAACAGTGTGCTGGGCCAATATAAAACCAAAACCAAGGTTATCCTCCTTCTTTTCCCAAAACTCGTTAAGAATAACGTCAGTATTATTAACGCAATATTAAATAAATAATTATTTAATCGCAATAATAAAACCCATGGAGAGTGCTAAAAATGCTTGAAATTGTTTCATACCAAAATTAATTTATGTATCTCCATATTTCCTTTACTGTTACATTTTTTACAACATCGTATACATATCTGAATGTTTTTTTTAAATGTTTGATTTACGAACGAATAAGTATGGTGGTAAATATTATTTTACACGAATTATAATTAATTATACAAGCAACATACCTGATGGAAATCGCTTTCCTTCATCATATGCGGCACCTTGTTGCGCAGCTGCCCGCTGTACCCCGTCGCTAAGACGTACAAATCTTGTCTTTGAGATTTCTCTTCTTCTTTTACCTACATAAAAGTTTTTATTATTTTCGATGTAATATGAAAATATTGTGTCAACTTTAAGTAATCTCTTTGGTATGTTTTTTAATGTAGTATTGTGTGTGATCATAAATAGGAATACTATTACAATTAAACTATTACAAGTACCCACAATCTCAAAAAAAAATGAAAAATAAAAGTTTTATTAACGCCTTATTACCAGCAATATATTCATAGACCATAACGCTGCAATTAGATAACAAAATATTCTTTTTTTCAAGTCGGTTAAAAACGTACAACTTATTTAAAAAAAAATAAAAGAAAAAGGTCACTAACCAGGACATGAAATCGTCAAGATAAATATATCTATTGATAATTATCGCGATATTATCAAGATTATTATTCGATAATTATCAAACAAATCCTTGTGATAAAACTTAGCAATCCTTGTGTAGGTATTAGTATTTGACTACTGGCCTATCATAATTTACGTTAGAATAAATTACACCCTATTAACAGTCAAGGTGATCTTTTATTTTATTTTTTTCATAATTTTGACATATACAAACATGGAAATAAAAAGAGAATTTTAACCAACTACATAGGCATTTTTTTATAAAATTAATGAGTGGAAGATTCATTCTATTCTCTTCAATTCAACTGTTTTAACTCAGTTTCCTGATTAAGATTTTGATCTCATTGAGAGAGTTCAGTTAGCCGATCGACAATTTGAAGAGTTGCAAATGAAATATTTCCAATGACATTTATCTTCGATAAATATAATGATAACGATCGCCTCACCTTCTCGACCTTGCGCTCCACGATCTGCGCGAGCTTGGCGAGCACGGGGAAGTGCGGCAGGATGCGGATGAGCACGATGAGCGCGTTGCGGATCTGCACGTAGTCGCCCGAGTCCAGGCACACCACCATCGCCTTCGTGATCTTGTAGTGCCACTTGTGGCACACGTGTCTGAATATGTGGGAACATTAACACACGACACCGTCTAGTTCCACGGTGAGCTACGAGGCTTGTGTTATGGATACCAGGTAGTTGATATACTTCACATATATAACTTTAAATACATACATATTATAAATAGAAACACCCATGACTGGAGTACAAACATTCGTGCTCATCACAAAAATGAATGCCCCCAGCGGGACTCGAACCCGCGACCGCTGGCACAACAAGTAGAGTCACTACAAACTGAGTCGTAGCAAACGTGTCGTCATTATAAATAATAACATAAATATTAAATAATAATAATATGAATTGTACTTCTATGTATAATTGCGAAATTTTATGAATATGTATGTTCTTTCTTAACGGCTCGCGCTATAGAGGCTCATTAGATTTTAATATAAATTCTATCGTAAATTGATAGTTATACTATAACTTGAATTCCTTTACATTGAACATATAGGTTACTTTATTATATATTTTCACTCGAATGGAGTCGCGATTGAAGATTAGTTATATGTTGATCACTAATAAAAAGATTTTTTATTTTTATTTTATTTAAAGTAATTTGATGTTTTATATTTTATACAAATTATAATACAACTATCAATTCATTTAAAAGAAATATCTATTTTACTATCACATACTTTATAACATTAAATTGTTAAAAAACTAACGTATTTTTTACAAGCGCAACATTCTTAATAGTCAATCAATAATCAATAGAAAAAAAATCTTTGGCGTAACAGAACAAAAATAGTCAAAGATTTCATCCCATATGTCACAACTCTGTAAAAGGAATGCAGCTAACTTCATCATGTCGCTTTTCGGCCGTCGGTGTGCGCGCGCATAGTAAAAATTTTACATCTCATATTTTTTTCTAAACGTGCCAAAAGAAGTATAAGTTCAAAAGCAAACCAACAACACTGACCTATAATTCTCGTAGCCGACATGGTCGTTGGCCTCGGTGAACTGGTTGGAGACGCGGTACTTGGTGACGAAGCCGGGGAAGTGCGCGCACTCGGCGTGGAAGGCGGCGCGGTCGGCGTGCCAGCGCATGGCGGTGCGCAGCACGCGGCACAGGAACTGGCCGTAGCGCGCCGCCTCGCCCTCCGTGCACGACATCACCGAGTACGTGATGTCGCAGAACAGCCGGTCGTAGCACAGCAGCGTGGAGAAGTTGGGCGTGCGCAGCGCGTGCACGGCGTGCACGAACTCGGCGCAGTAGTGCGCGTCGGGCGGCGCCGCCACGCAGCGCGGGAACAGGCACAGCTGCATGAGGCGCGTCACGGTCTCGTTCTTGGCGGACTTGGCGGCGCGCGCCGGGAACCAGCCGCCGCACTCGCGCTGCAGGCGCGCGCGCACGCGCGACACGTGCTCCTCCTGGCGGCGCCGCTCCTCCTGCGGGGATCGAAACACCCTCGATACCTCGATTGCAGGCTGTTACTAGAAACTTCTTAACGGAAAAACCCAGTAGCTATACTTTGCCCGACCGATAGGCAGCCGATTAAAATATTAACGCACATACATTGAAAAAAAAAGAAGACTTTCTATTAGTATTGAATAATAATCCCACTATGCTACAAGCAATATATCGTAAAACTACATATGAGTGTTTTTCTTCTAAAAACACCAATAATGTCAAAATTATATTGTGATTTCTTTTTTAAATTTATACTACAAGACCTAAAATAAATACATACCTATTTGTTTTGTGGGACTTATTTTATAAATAAATTAACAATAAAAGCATTCTAGACTGTACCTGAAGCTTGTCTATTAGCGTATTAAATCTTTCTTGCTCTTTCTTTCCCTTTGTTCCTTGCGAAGAATCTTTAACAGCATTGGCAGCGGCAGATTTTAAGCGTTCTATTTCTCTTTCGTAACTTTCTACGGGCACTCGAAGATCATACATAGATAACGACCTAAAATATTTGAATTGAAACTGTTTAAGAGTCATGTTTATAATACATAGCTAAAACTGCTTAAAGTCAGATGAAAACGATTACTAAACACTATATATTTATTTATGTGCTGATGACCAATCGCACGGCGACTAGCCATTTGCATGGCAAATATCATTTTTATTTATTTATTTTAGGGAAACAAACAGTACATTATAACATAAATAATTAATAAATAATCTAGTATAACACATAAACCAATCAAGTATAAGTCCATATACTACAAATACAAATAAGAAATTATAGTGCAGTGTGTGTTCATTACGTGCACTCTATTCCTTTAACCCTCAAAGACCAATGGGAAAATAATGGGACATAAACAGTGGATTGTAGATAGATAGATGGAGCTACAGTGCGTCAACTTCTAAACCGATCGCCATGAAAATTGGCATTACATGATTATTGTATAGAATATATTTCCATTAATCAATTGCACAGGCGTAGCCTCGAACAATGGGTACTATTCAACAAATTATATAATATGCACATATGTGTAATTATTAAATTATAATTTATAAGCTTACCAAAAGGTAACATAAAATTCTGGTGATATATCTTCCCACACTCTGGCAGGCAGCAGAGGCGTTATCGACGTCACAATAGGCTCCAAGGCCTCCTTAGACGCAATGTTATATCTCTCGATACTCTTTTCGAATGAATCACTTTTGCTGTCAGAACTTTTTTTTAATGCTTCGACTTTAGCTGTAATTTTCTGTGCCAGCACTGGACGATGTAAGAAAAATGCCACATCTGCGTCTACGTGATAGTCTCTCAGCAATTCCTACGAATACACGATTCGACAATATGTCAACTAAAATATATTTATCTGAACAAAATTTAAAAACAGATATAAACTACAATAGAAATCAAATTTATGAAAGTACAGTGGAATCCGTTTATTATGACTCCAGTTATATTGATTGGTTTTAATATGACCTAATTACGTGCGAAGTTTGGTTTCCACATAAAATTCTTTACAACAAAATCGGATATCGGATATAATGACTCCGCTTATAAGTGACATGTCGCATATACCTAAATATGTTTAAAAAATTATGTTTGTTTATAGTGACCAACATGAACATTCCTAACACCTTCGCTCGTATGTATATCGAAAATGAAAATTTGCCCAGGGCAATGTCTTCTTTACACAATACTTTTCGGGACTGTTATTACAATCTAAAGAAAAAACAAAAGCGGGAAAAAATTAATGTAAGAATACGTAATGTAAATATGTATGTACATATGTATTATGTTCCCTTTTTATCGTTTTTCATAGATACATGTATGTTTGTTTTGTGTTTGTTCGTGTTTCTTTTTCTTATTTTTTTTAAATAGATACGCATACATAAAATGTGTAGTTATTCTCTCTATTAAACTAAATACTAACTAAAGACTTATGTTTTGTATGACGGCCCCACTTAGTATGACCCGTTTGCCACTTCCCTTCGATGTCATTATGGGCGGATTCTACTGTATAATAGAAACACAGGGCTCATACGCTTTCCAAACCTCTACAAACAATCACAAATCCGAACACGTGGAGAGGGAGTTAGTCTTGATTTGTGTAGGTTTGTAAGCATTCATGGGTGTTCCGATAGTGTTGGTTTCTGATGCATAAATCAAAGGAAGTTTGTGGTAAGCGCTTGACGTGGTTCAACCACACACTTGTGAGCAGTTAGTAGGGGGCAGGGCAGACAATTACTTATGAGTATATCAAATAATGTTTGAGAATGTGTATGAGGAAATTTTGTATTTACTCGGAATCTTGCATTTGTGAGAGATAATATAAATCAAACGTTATAACTGAAACAAGCTCGACGTCCATCATGCTTGCTTCTCCGAAACACGAGTGTATGTATACCAATGTTTCTATTATGAAATTCAGCAAATCATTTGTAGAGATGTGAACTTTGCGATTAGATTATATAGGATAAATAGATAATTATTAGTGTATTACAATATTGTACACCATTATTATTTTAAAAGAGCAACTGCTTTCTGAGCTGGTGGTAGATTCCTCACGGACTGACTACACCGACATTTAAATTTATAATATTGACGAATCAAAAGTGCTTGTAAAAGTGTATTTAAATCTATACTAATATTATAGAGGTAAAGTTTGTGAATTTGTGACGTCGTAGGGGGTAATCTCTGGATCGACTGGACCGATTTAGATGAAATTTGGTAAAAAAAATAGTTTGAGACCCTGAGGGGGGTGAAAATGGGGATGAATAGATCGGCATGTAGATCCGGTACGCCGTACCGGCAGCGGCGGCAGGCGCGCGGCGTACTCGTCGGGCGCGTGCGAGGAGGCGAGGAAGGTGCCGAGCTGCACGAGCGCGTCCTGGCACTGGTCGGCGAGGCGCCCCACCACCTTCAGCTGCGACCCCGACGCTTTCTCTTCCGCGTACTCTGCACATAACACACCTGGTTCACACGGCATTGTCCTGCACGATTTTTTTGTATTCGATTTTAAACGTACAATCAGCCGAGTGTTCACACGGTAGATTTTCATTCGTGTAAAAATGAACATCCGCAGCTCTCACACGTTGTCACAGTGAGAAGACGTCCGTGATGAATCCAATAAATTGAAATTCATTCGATTTGCTCGACAAGTCCGGTGAGTATTCGGTTAAAGGTATAAACGGTGTACGATTTTTTGCAGTACAAAAGACGTGTGAAAGGATCTATATACAATGTATGTACCACTATGTATTCGTTAAGACGTATACTGCAAAAAAACGTGCAGGACAATGCCGTGTGAACCCTGCATAAGCAAGCTGACAGGAGCAAGTGTAACGCTTGGTAGTTGGATACACACTGTTTTGTTATCCGATCAGAACCGCGTTGTATGCGCAAGCACTATATTTTAAATATAGCCAGATACAATAAATATATAACAATACGAAAATTGAATTGCAATCATATTCTTACCTTTCCAAACACAGCAATGTCTCTGTTGAGCCGATAGTATACAAAGTGCGATGTCTAAATTATTTCCTACCACTGCCTCTTTTAATCTTGCCGAAGAGCGTCTCGTATTACGAACTTGGGAAAAGTAGCCCGCCTAAAACATTTAACAGTATTTACTCAATTAGCTATATCTTGTATAATAAGTACCAACTAGAAGTTATTAAACGATTGAATTCAATAATTAATAGAAGAATATTATTAAGTTAAAGTATTAGAAAAATATTTTAATAATAGAAGTTGCAAATATATTAAATGATATTTTATTTTTACCTCGCCCTTGAGTAATTCGCCTCCAGCCATCGCATCTAACTGTTCCGGCGTCATTTCCTCTGCGGCTTCGATACCCGCCATTTTTTGAACTATCTCTTTTAAAATCAGTAGATCGTGACTGAAATAGGAAATAAATACATAACTAGCGTCTAGGTCTAATAAAACATATTATATAAATTATAAAACGTTATTATTCTCCATATTCAACGCTCCATGTTTATCTCTTACAATTTTAATACTGTACGTTACTTTAATGCAGCTCCTTTGTAAATTTACCTTTGCTGCGCTTTCAAGCGATTCGCCACAAATTGTAAGAGCGCCGTAAGCTCGATGTTATGCTTCTTGAAGGCGGCGGCGGCGAAGGCGGCGAGCGCCTGCAGCGCGGGGGGGTGCGCCGCGCCCGCCGGCCCGCGCCGCGCCGCCAGCGCCTCCACCAGGCAGTAGCCCAGCACGTCCAGCGACAGCGACGTCAGGTACTTCAATGACTCCACCACTGGCCCTATCAAATTATCGTAGGTTTGAATCTGTAAATCGACATCCACATTAAACATATCATTACTTACAAATATTAAAATACAAGTTTTGACAATATTTACATGCGACTTATTATCGCTTCACTCTGGTTCGTTCCAGATTCCCTATAAGTAGCCTATACATATATTATTCCAGATCATAGTGGGTGTAAGTCTGTTCAGCTATTTTAACATGAAGAAGTAACTAACACACACATAACTTTATCATTTATAATGGTAGTCTGATGTTTTAAGTTTTTGTTATCACTTCATCTATACATACCTGTAAAAGCATATAATCAAAAAGGAACGCAGGCGCAGCATGTGATAGCTTCCCAATGAGACGACCTTGAGGCTTAATATTTTCCTTTGAGACACGTTTCATAATATGCTTGATACGTTGTAGCGCATTACCGCGCACTCTCATGAGTGATGGGATCTTTTCACCTGATTCATTTTTCCAACGAGCATATAAGCAATATCTGAAAAACGCAATCACTTCTAAATGTGTACTTCACTTACAATAATATCCAAAAACAACAAGTATAATTAGAAAAAATATACATTATTATAATATATAAAATAATAGCGGCCCATCCTTGCTTCGCTCAGATTGGCCTCTAGAAAAACTAAAACAAATCACATTTTCCGGGATAAAAAGTAGCCTATGTGTTATTCTGATGTCTGAGCTATATTATTTGTAAAGTTTCATTAAAATCCATTAAGTAGTTTTTGCGTGAAAGAGTAACTAAACATCCATATCTAGAAGTTAAGACATACATACAAACTTTCGCATTTATAATATTAGTAGGACTAACCAATTAATATCACATTCCTTTATAAAATTTTATTGTTTACTTAGTTTTTATAATTATTAAAAAAGTTGCTATTTTTCTTTGTATATTTGGACACAATTTTTGGGATTAGCTGAATTTTTTTTAAAGCGGTACATATACCGATGTAGAGGACTCGGTTAATACTGCATTAGGTTATATTAGTCTCAAAAAAATATAGGCAGGATAGGAGTTTTTATGAGTTCAGTTCTCAATGCACCATGTGCTGTTTGGCAATCGAAGCCAAGAAGAATTGCAGGATATGATTTAAATTTAAACGCTTCTAAAATAATGTTTAAATGCATTTTCAACTATGACACGAAATTTAAACTGTACCTGCATTGATATGGATACAACTTAAGCAAAGTGTACACTTCTTCAGCCATACAACAGTTACCCTCCATTAAGGTAAGTGCTGGGAGTACAGCAGTATCAAGTACCGTTAGCGCTTCATAGTGTAGCGGATCACTGTCTAATGATTTGGCTGTTCTTAGAATACGAATTATCTAAAAAAATAGAATCTTATTATTTTATATTCATACTAGCGGCTCACTCTCCCTTCACTCGGGTTCGCCTCTAGAAAACCACAAACAGATCTATCCGACAGGAATCATTCATGGGATAAAAAGTATCTAAAATGTTGACCAGAGATATAAGGTTTTATATATTGGAATTTCATATAAATCGGTCTAACAGTTTCGGAGACTAGCCCGTACAAACAGACAAAGAAACAAAAAAATTGAAAAAATCTGGATTTGTTCTATTTGTCTTCTTACATGCCCCTGACTCGGTTTTTAGCATTTTTTTTCTATGTACAGACATTCGACCTCTACAGTTTTATTCTATGTATAGATAGATATTCGTAGGTACATAGCATACTAATATTATAAAATGATTTCTGTCTTGTTGATCTAGTCACTAGCGACTAACATGTACAGCTGCAGATCCAGACGTTCTGGGTTCAAGTGCTGGGTTGGATCAAGTACAATTAATGGATTTTTCTGTTAACATATTCCCAGTAATAGTTCAGACACAGTTAACGAGCCGACAATCCTGAGCCTGATTTCTTCGCCTCTCCATTGTTTAAAAAAATATTTTTTGGTATGTACTTAATAGAGATAAAATTAGTGTATATGATGTTATACGAAATTAATAAAATACAAAATATTGATGAAACATACTTTGTTTTGAATACCCAGAACCCATTAAGTATAATGATGAACTAATATTAAAAATCCAATTGCAAAAGCCATTAAATGTCATTTTTACCACATTATTCAAAGGCTAGTTCACCTCATAAATATCTAATCCAGTGATTGAATTTTTGTGCCTATCACAATTAAGATAGCAAATGTTTACTTACTTTATACATTAAAATAGGGTCGTAATGAAGAGATGGTCCTAGTAGTGTTAATGCTGGTATCACTGTTTCTTTCATATCTTCAAAAGATTTACAAGCAATTGGTGCTAAATGCGATTTTAAAGGAGGAACAGATTTACCGACTATTTTTGGAGCAATTCTGCAATGTCTAGAATAACGAAAATAAAAAATATTACATTAAGGACTAGTATTACATTATCTTATAAATATTATGTTTCTTTGATTGAAGTACAGTACAAAGTAAAAAAATGTTTTTTTACACTTACACTCTATAAAGTGGTTCAATTAAAGCATGGAGCATGGTGCATAGAGCAGTTGCTGGTCTCGGTGGTATACTCATAACTGGTAGCCTAGCAGATAATGCTGCAAACTCCTTCCAAGCTGTTACATTTAAGAGTGCTTCACAAAGCACCAGCTTCTGGTTATTCCAATACTCCTAAAAATGCATCATATATTTTGGTTGATATAAAGATATAAGATATTTTATGAGGAAATATTATGTACATATTATCTTCACATAGTATAAAATGAAGTCATTTCTGCTGTCTGTTCGCTTAGATCTTTTAAACTACTGGATGGATTTTAATGCAGTTTTTAGCAATAGACAAGAGTGATTCAAGAGGAAGGTTGTTATGTATAATACATGAGTATTATAGCACAGAAAAGCTGAGAAATTTAAAGATTTGTATTTCATACTAACTGTTAAAAAGTACCGTTCCGTCAACATTTCATACATATATTATAACAATGCAAAAACATCAACCACTAGGAAATAAATTTTACATACACAATATGTACTTATAGATGACAGTAATAGCATTTTATGGGTTATTTATTCCATCCACCAACAGTTATTATCATTGAATTTTTTATTTTTTATATTTCACTTATTTTACTTATATATTTACAAAAAAAAAGTGGCAGTTTTTGGTTTAGCATCCATCTACTTGAAAGGATCTAACAAAATAGTATCAATTAAGTCAGTCTATTTCTTAATTCCTTGGGTATCAGGATATATGTATATGTATTAGTATTTAAATATCAGCTGGTCTAAAAATTAAGGTACTTTACCTGTGGATCAGACTTTTCTTCAATAAATTCAGCCGGTGCATTACTCTGAGGTCCTTTAGTAGAAACTATGTTCAACTTACGAATATAATCTTGTACAGCTTTAAGCTCCTTGTCAGCTTCTTTGGCCATAATTGAGTCATCTGGACGTAACTAAACCAAAGAGGGTTGATTAAAGTATTACAATTTTAATTACTTAACTGTCAATTTATATAAAAAAATTAGAATTTTTTTTGTGTCTGGAGTGGATGTATGGGGTAATGAGGTGGTGGGATCCCATTCCTACTTTTCTCAAAACAATGTTTATATATTTCGATGTCCTGTCACCTTCCCTACTCCCTAAAATATAAACCAATTGCCCGATGTATCATGACCAAAACTTGCACTGGCAAACTAACCCAACTCCTTTTGAAGTTGCAAAGTTATCAGACTAGACTAAATGGAAATATACAAGTGTAAAAGTCACAAACAGAAGTAAAATCTATTAATATGTTATTTATACAATTATCAATGAATGAAATGAAAATGAATGAAATAAACTTTATTCAATTAGACTTAGTACAAGTACTTTTGAATAATTATGTTTTATTTGACTATTAATGTTTAATAATGTAACAATTTAAGCAATTATACAATATAATATGTGTTATAATAATACAACACATATTATGGTGTAATAAAAGAAATCTGAACCAACATACCCAAGGATAAATGTCATCTAATGATATAACTTGATGTTGTAAAAGTAAAGCTATCACAGTCATAAGTGGAGGTGGTTCTTTATAGTTTTCTAAAACTTCCATATTACTGAGTTTAAAACCTAAAACTTCAGATATCACTTGAGGATCACCCATGTAGTTCTTTATGAGTGAGATAAATAATTTATCTAAGTGTGGACGAGCTTCAAAAGATTCCAAAATTATATCTAAAACTCTATTCGGATCCAAATTAAAACATCCTGTAAATATAGAAGGTGGTTAACAATGAATATATTTAATTATATAATTACCATTATTTTTAAGGAAACAAAATAAATAAATACCTATAAGTGACTGAATAATTTCAAGAACAGCTTTCCACTCCATATCTTCAGATATTTCTTGATTTAATTCAACTATGAGCTTAGAGTACCCTTCACTTTCTTCTCTAAACAAGTTGAATTTACGTTGTTTGTAACTGAAAGATAAACCAATAAATTTTAAGATCAATTATATACAATATTGTATGTTCATTAAAAAATTATACTTACTATAATTTAGTTTTAATTTTTATAAATTTTGTGTAGAAATTTTTATTTTTTAGTGTTCCAACATCTTGCAATGTGTCAATTTCTAATCGTTCCTTCAATAACTTATCAGAAATAAAAGATTCTAATTCCCGTACAAGGTAACAAAAATTATTCCGCTCTTCACTTTGAACATCCATGGATGTTTCTGCATCAAGTATACACACTACATCTAATAATATGGAGGGTATATCTGCATGCATAATCTAAAAATATATAAAGTTATTAAATATCAACTTATTTTTTTACATAATATGTAGTAGTGTCAAAGAATACCTACAGTTATGTCTTTCAGTACAGAAATGACCGCATCTTTCTTTAAAACTCCTCTGAGACCACATAATAATAAATCATATATATTTTGAGATACTCCTGAAAGTTTACCAGATTTGGAAAATAAAGGTGTCTTCCCTTCCTCTTTAATGTATTGTGTCAAAGATTTAATGCTGAAATAACGTCTTAAAAATTAATAATTGTGCAGAACTAAAACATGAACTATGACATTAGCGTGAGCTCTAGTTCAGATTTTTTTAACAAATTACATTGATTGTTAAAAAAATGATATTTGCTTCATTCTAGGTTTTGTAACTTCTGACAATCTAGATATTAATATTTGATAGTACATAAGTGGTTTAAATGTTTTTATTAGTAATGGTCATCACAATTTATACCAGAAATAGGTAAATCAATGTTAAATTTAGATCAACATGTGGTAAAGGGAAGTTATTAAATTTGTTGTCAATACTTGTTATTTTCAATATAATGCTTACAATAATTCTCTCCCTGATTTTTCCCAAGTTTTGCAAAAATCTGATACAAATTTTGTAAAGGAACCCATATTTACATTGGGTGTTTAGAATATTTTTCACAACACTCTCACAAGCACAACATAAGCCGCAGCCATGTCCGTTTCTGAAACCATAGAGTATATTGCTACATATATAAATCTGAAACACAGCATAAAATCACAGAAAGAATACAGATTAAAAATCCATTTTTTTTTTATTAGTATTGTCATAATGGGGAAAATTTCTTAAAAGGTGGGCGCTACACGTATTATCTATTTACTTTCAGTCTGAGGCTACTTAAATTTTATATAAATCGAAAAAAAAAACCATCCACGCTATAGAGGTTTATAATACACGGAGGATCATATATACTTTTTTAATTGCTATTTTTTGATAAAATACGTATAAGTATTATAAACATTGTTTGTAGGCTCAGTAAACACCCGTAAATAATTTGAAAAGGTTTCTAGCAACCAGTCAAATAGCCTATACTTTATACATGTTGCATTGTTGCACAGACAAAAGAATAAAATCAATTAAATAATTTTATTTATAAATGTATTATAGGATAATAAATGTAAATTATTTACACTTGGCGAAGGCGAACCCGGTAAGGATAGAAAATAGACAAAGTCATTCCCAGTGCATACGCGATTTTTTATATATATATAACACACATATATTTCTTATTCACCGCTTTAGTCCCTTCTTTTTAGTCGCCGTTTTCGGCACTAACATTAGCGTTCGAACCGATTAGCGATTACTATTACCTGCGGAGGCTTTGATGTACCTACATCATTACATCGTACTTTTGGATCAGTTGACGGGTTAACTTTCTAGTCGTAAATTACTTAAAACAAAAAAAAATCGTCAAATTGAAAAGTGTCACAAAATTGAATATTATGTTGTAGCATTTTCTATATATTATGTCTTAGCAGTAGCCAATAAGCATTTTATATGTTGGCTTAAATATACTTTTGGATCAGTTGACGGGTTAACTTTCTAGTCGTAAATTACTTAAAACAAAAAAAAATCGTCAAATTGAAAAGTGTCACAAAATTGAATATTATGTTGTAGCATTTTCTATATATTATGTCTTAGCAGTAGCCAATAAGCATTTTATATGTTGGCTTAAATCGACTCATATTTAATAATTTAATTATTTGGATCCACTAGTGATAATTACATTGAAACATTTTTAAATTAATTACACAATTTAACTTAATCCTAAATGCATTACCTTTTAAAGTGGATACAGCATGCATTGATTTAATTCACCATTTTAAATTTTGATAAATTAAAATATAAATAAAATTACAATAACATCACTACATATAAATATGTGTTTTATTTTCAAATTCCGAATTTGAAAATAAAACACATACATAAAGCCTGTTAAATAATATGGAAGCATTAAACTTCAAAGAATAATTAATTGAATAATTGAATAATTAAAAAAAATCATTTAAAAAAAATATTGAGACATTATTAATTTTGTATAAATTACATTGCAAATGCCCTAAAATAATTAAATTGTATAACAAATTGTGAAGTTCAGTCTAAAGCTAAGCTATACAGCCTTATTTGTTTACAATACAAGAGAACACTTTATTTCGATACTTTCGCAATGAGTCCCTAACCATTTAGGGACTCATTATAATGATATCATATATATGAGTATAATCTCGTGTTCTCAGCACAAGTTATCCACGGAAGAGAAAATTGTTTTTTTTTACCTTTCGTGAAGTTATAAAAGTTTAAGGGACTGCACACGACAACTTCTTAACGCACCATTACCACCAGCCCCCAAAGTTAAAAAAGTGTCCAGCTGTAAGCAACAAATTACAATTCAAAAAGCACAACAAAAATATCGCTAGTGTAGCAAGAGGAAATGATATGAATTATAGTCATGATTTTTAATTCCACGGAAATATGACAGCTATCATTCTTTGACAATTCAGATATCATAAACCTTTTCTGCTTTGTATTTTTTTTTTAATATAAAATAACCAAAAATATGAAACAGAATTAGATCAAGTAAACTATATGTATGACATTATAAATAGTCTTTGTTTTGTGCATTCAATACACACTAACTATAATGTTAAAAATTTTAATGGTTAAATGAAAAAAACAGAGTAAAACAAAATATAAGAAATGAAAATATTTACTAATCATTATTACTTATATCATCCTTGTCGTCATCATCCACTCGGATTATAAAAGAATCACACACACACTATCCATCAGATCATTAAGAGGGAAGATTTTATCCTTTTCTTTTATAATATGGTTTATGCAGTCTTGCCAAAAACAATAATAATAAATCGTGAACGATCGTTGTGGACCTGTATTTTTGGGACTTTCCAATTCTTTTTGCCAATTGCAAAGATTTTACAAACAAAGGGGTTTTCCTAAAAAAAGGCTTGCAACCTATGTATTATTGAAAAGGGATTCCTATAATAGAAAAATAATTTCCTTAATAATTATTCTAACTTCGATAATATGATAATAAAAAAATAATTACCATTTTAGAGTTATCAATAATTTTTTAAGTCTTAGTATTTCTTATTGAAACCTTAAATTCAAGAAAGGTTTATTTTTTTATTATGCTAAAATGCTTTCTGTTTTTATTGACAATGTTTCAAAGCTGACAACATTTCTGAAATGTCAGAATTCCGCCGAATTAAAAACCAGACTATATGCAGTTGTAAACCAAGTGAAGTGTGCCGAGTTCTAAAAATATTTTAGGTGACTTAAACGATTATTGAAACTATTTACGTAGTCCAAAATAATTTAGTAAATATAACCTAAAAAACTTGATATACAAGTGTATGTACAAGTGATTTATTTTTTAAACTTATAATAATACTTCTGGCATTTTCTTTCTAATTTACCCATTTGCTACCGTAGTGCATCCCTAATTTGACGCTTTTCGACGGACACTTTTTCATATACAGACATGGTTCTCCTTACCTCTATCCTCCATCTGTGAAGTGTGTGTCATGGATGACATGTGTGTTGTTCACTATCTTCTGACGTAGGCTGTCAAAGTTTAAAATTTAAATGTCATATCACATATGTCAAAATTTACTTTTCTCGCATAACCTCACAGCACTTTGTTTATATTTCATATTTCTTTACGCGCATTAAAAATAAATTTATTTATTTTACAGAAATGCCTACGTATGAACTAGCTATGATGTTACGGACCATGCCAAAACCTGAATTAAAAACAACTTTAACACGAATCTCACATGCTATCTTTAACTACGGCGGGATTATAAGAAATATTGAAAATCTTGGTTTTAGAGCGATGCCGTATAAGACAAGTGCTCATGGTTTAGTACACAGAGAAGCCAATTATTTCGTTTTTAAAATAGATACAGCAACACAATCGGTCGCTGATTTAAGAGAGGAATATAGCAGAGATGTCGACATTATTCGACAAAGAATATATAAAGTTCAGGAAGATGCTAAACATGGATGTAGTCTTGAAGAAGAACTTAAACCTCCGGCTTACCGGAAAGAAGTTAAAGATATGGTTGAAATTGGAAAAACTCAAGTGAATCGCTTTACATACAAATTTAAGTATAACTCTGGTCTTGATTATTATCCTTTCCAAAAGTAAACTACTTTTACTGTCCCCAGTTGTATGTTTTCTATAGATTTTATTGTAAATATAGTTTAATAAATAGCTGTATCCATATATGACTTTTATTATCTTCATATATGACTTTCCGTAAAATAGTTTTTAATATTGCATATTGCAGTTGAGTGTTAGATTATCTATATAGATAAATAAAATTGAAGTGTCTGTTTGTAATGTCAAAATAACGGCTTTTTACTAAATGCATATGGATGTATACACAGTACATATACCAAAACATTTTTTACAATTTTTGTCTGTCTGTGTTTGTGTCTGTGTCTGGCTAATCTCTGAAATGGTTGGACCGATTTTGACGGGCCTTCACTGGCAGATAGGTGATGTAATAAGGAGTAACTTAGGCTACTTTTAATTTAGAAAAAAAATGTGGTCCTACAAAAAAAAGTAAAACAAAAATTTAATAATATCCGATTCAAGTAGGGAAGTTGTATACATATTATGTAAATTACAAGCATATGGATTTACTGGATCTCTCCTTACCTGGCTGAAATCATATTTAGAGGCTCGCTCGTTCTTTGTTGCTGTTAATGGTTTTCAATCTGATGTATGTCAGATCACATCTGGTGTGCCTCAGGGCTCACATCTAGGTCCCGTATTGTTTATCATTTTTATTATTGACATATCCAATTGTTTTCTGGCATCTTCTGTGTTTATATATGCTGATGATTTAAAATTCGCAAAAACGATTGATTCCCCGAGTGATTGTAAGCTTCTTCAAGATGATTTAGAAAGACTTATGCAATGGTGTGATATTAATGGTGTGAACTTAAATAAGGAAAAATGTTATCAAGTAAAATTTACTCGAAAATCGAGTTACGTTACGTATAAATACTATATAAAAGAACACGCTTTAGAGACGTTGGAAGTTATTAAGGATCTTGGTGTAACTTTCGATAAAAAAATGACTTTTCTTCCCCATATAGAAAATATAGTAAAACCTGCTTCTAAAATGCTCGGGTTTGTTATACGTAACACTAAAATTTTTAAAAGTTTACAAATTAAAAAGCTCCTTTATTTTAGTTTGGTTAGGAGTATCTTGGAGTATGGTTCAGTTGTCTGGCGTCCTCACTACGCTACGCAATACGCATATCCTAAGACTGGAACGTATTCAGAAACGATTTCTGTGGCATCTGGTTTTCAGTGACGGTAAAGCCAAGAAAATTTTTCTTACAAAGAAAGGTTGGCCTTCTTCGGAATGACTGCATTGTATGAACGTCGGGAACTTCTGGATATTTTGTTTGCTCGTAAATTACTGAACCGCTTTATTGATTGCCCCAAATTGCTAAATAAATTTAGCCTAAGAGTTCCAGTAAGAATTCCACGTAAGCCTATTACTCCACTTTGTCCTCCACTTCGCCGAACGATCCTAGGTGCCAATTCCCCAGTCCCACGGTTATGTAAGTCTCTAAATTCTTATAGCATAGATGTCGACATATTTGCTGATTCCTTAGCCAATTTCCGCAAAACCATTAGCACCAAATTCCTAAATAAATGCTTTGATAGTCTTAAATAATGTTATAATTGCTAAATTAATGTAACTGTGTATCTGCTCATTGATTAATTAAAAAACTGTTTACTTCTAAAATATATCTATTTTGTGTAATATTTTAAGAAACTTTATTACTGTGCATGCTCTGTTTATTTGTAAGTAATCACTACATTTAGTTCCTAATTTTTAGTTCTATTTTTTTTATATTGTGTATATTATTGTAAGTGATTGTAAATAGTATGCCTACATTTAACTTGTTTGTTTCATGTTCTATAACATCATAGGTTTTTAAATAGCATTCAGCACTCCATTTAGCCCTCTAAATAAGAATTCAAAAATGTACTAACTTTAAATATTTTTGGCCATAAAAAATAATAAATATTCATATTTTTTATACATAAGGGTAATTGAATCATAAACAAGAACACACGTCATAAATGTGCAACAATTATATTTATTTTAGCTACAAATAATGTAATACCTATACTTATTCATAAATAATTACTGAATAAGTATATTACAGCAATATTCATTGTAATCTGTTGTATTTTATAACCCTTAATTTCCTTTATTATTTAAGGCTTAAGGATTTGCTCTATTTCATCAACCTGGCAACCCTTAAGAGCTGCTTTCAGTTTTGTTAAACCATTACCATAATAATTACTTTTCAATGATAGTTTATACCAATCCAAATACCAATGTTCAATTGTGTCTGTAAAAATGTTGGTTGCTATAAATTAAATTATTATACCAGGTCCACATGCTTTGCTTGCCCGACAAGTTTATTAATTAAAATATTAGATTTAACACTAAACTTTACTAACACTTGATTTTTGCCCTAGAATCTTATAAGGATTTAAAATAGTAACTAAAAATAAATCACCTATAAGTTCCTCAAAGCATGATTCATCTTTATTAACATCTGATAATTTCAATATGTTCAGATATTCCTTACACAATAATGGCTGTGTTTCATCATTTATCATATTTGTATCCAAATCTAGGGAACTAAAAAAAAGTTCAGTGTACACAGTATTTAAAATTAATTAATTTAATATAAAAGCAGAGTGTTTTGTAGTGTAGATATTACCCAAGGGCTTTCCTTATTTCAATATCTTTTTTCTTTTCATGTTCAAATTTGAATCTATCTCTTATTTGTTGAAATGAAATTAAACATGCATTTTCGGGAACATCTAAAATAGAAAAAAAACGGTTAATTTTTTAGGATTACGTAAAAAATATAAATTTGAAGGTAACCTACCACAAGAAATATCAGCTCGTATACTTCTTTTAACACAACAATTAGAAATAACGGTTTTCATTACCATTATTGTAGATATATTGTCAGACTTAAAAACTGCTGAACCGCGCCTGTTGGAATAGAACGCTATTATAAATTATATTATCATCTTTGCTTTGTATGGGCTGGCACCGATTTCGAAAATATTTCATTAGGTATGTATTTAATAGGTAGGCTTTAATTACTTAGCCAAAGCACACCGACTTCGAAAATATTTGATAAGGTATGTATAGTAAATGAAAACTACCAATCAGTTATTTTTTACTTTTTAGTGCTTTTGTTTGAAGTCGGTTTTTATTTTTTTGTTAAAAAGTTTTTATTTTTCCCTTTTTAGTGTAGACAGTAGTAGCATAGTAAGGATTCTAACGTGTTAGGCTTGTCAAATCAAACAAAATAAGCCCAAACTCAAAGTATCTACAATTAGCCGTTGAAGAGTTCCACCTATACCCAGTACCCACCTTCTGGCCTTACCATCTGATCAGGTCAATAACACCAAACCACTGTACTATCAACGGAAATAGAAATACTTGCAAAGTTTCAAGTCAATATGACAATTAGAAGTAGGTTAAATTCATCATTAGTTGTTTTTCCACCCTTAGGGGTGGTATTTTTTTTTTAAATTTAAATGGGACCAATCTGGAAGTATACCCTTTCAAACAAAACAAAAATTGTCCAAATCGGTTAATAAATGACGGAGTTCTGAGGTAACAAACATAAAAAAAAAACATACAGTCGAATTGAGAACCTCCTCCTTTTTGAAGTCGGTTGAATTGTATGTAGAAGTTTCTGCCCACTATGGAATATGGACCTTTAAAGATTCCCGTCAGATCGAATTAGATACAAAGAATTACGCAGGAACATCAAAATTACTGACATAACCCTCCTAATCTCCAAGCTAAATACTGCCAGTATTAAAGTACGGATGGTCGATGAAACAGAAGAATTCTTAAAGTCGCAAACCGAAAGACGAAGATGTTTGTCCTCCAACAGTGAATTGCTGCAGTACACTGAATGACTCAAAAATCAAAATCATTGCTTGAAAAAATTGGCAGAAAGCGCTTAGTCCATCGAGTAGTGGACACAGGACGGCTACTGAATGAATATAGATAAATACTTACATCTTATAAATAATAACTATTTTAAACGATATAAAATACTGGCATTACTTTAATCACGCATGGAATGTGCTTTGACTGTACCTATACCTACCATAAAGTCATATAATGTTCTACTGATTGTATAAAGAAAAACACGAATATAATCTTTTTAACATTAAGCATGTGTACTATCAAATCTCCAAACTTACTGATATCTACAAACAAGATATGTCCCAAGAGTAGAATGGGAACGCGCAAAAACTATATTACTGGCCGGTCGAGGTAATTCCCCTGGCAATATTTCGGTTAACCATGACGTCATTTCAGCTACGGAAAAGCCACCCGATATGCGCATTTGACACCAAGACCTTTTAAAAATAATAATAATATAAATAGGTATGTGTGTAGGTATCTACATAAAACTTAGTTAATGTTAAGTTTTAATAATTTAAATTATTTGTACTGGCACTTAGGTAGTTTAATTGACCAAAAATCTTGAACCTTTTAGCATCCTCCACTTCTATATTTTCAAATTTTGAATACTGTGGCAATATCGGTAAATGAAGTTTTATTAATCTTGCCACTCTTGGTGATCCAGTGGGTAAGATATATATGAAAACCGAAATACCCTCCATCTTTGTTTCTTCAATAGAAACAACGCGGATACGCAACCAAAGTCGTCTTGTTCCAGCTTGACATCTGACTGTGGCTAGTAGCTGTTCATTATTTGATCCCTGAATAATAGATTAGAAAGAAAGTTAATAAAGTTAAATAGATATGTATTGTTAGCGGCTTATAATAAATTTTTGCGCCCATATCCCCCCAAATGTGCGTTCATCTTATGGGGCAAATATTAGCCTTCGGCAATTCAGTTGGAGCCAAGAAACGCATTGAGTGGCGGCCCACCTCGGTGGATATTGTGCCATACGAGTTGCTCCTGGTACTTCTCTCATAGCAGAGTGGACTATTGGAGCAACCCCATGGTTTTTGTGGTCTACTTCGGCAGACCTACCGTCGGGTCGTAGTTGAGTGCGTAAGCGATCCTGCGACGTTCCATTAAGACGGGGGAGGTTCTATTGGGTTCTAGTGGGTAGTACTGGCTTTGCCGGCGAATCTCACATAAACACCTGTATGTATACAGGTGGTATGCCTAAATGCATTGCATGGTTGTGATTTAGTAACGAAATTTTATTATAGCAAAATCTTGTAAAAGGATAAAGACCTGCGGTGCACAGGTACTTAGCACTGCAGCACTGTCTGTTTGTATCTCAAGTTTACAGTCGCAATATATAAATAGCATATCTAATGCAACTGCAGAAATTATTTTTGCTTCTTGCCATCCATTTTCACCTGCACCTGAAAGCTAATATTATTTATTATAAAAAGTATAAACAAATTTCGGTGTTTCCGTCCGATTATAATATGGGTGTCTTCAAGGCAAGAGTGAATAGGTGGCTACTGAATTAGTGCGATTTACCATCTACGACTGCGTTACCACTTACCATCAGGTGGAACGTAGTCAAGCACTAATTCTGAATAGTATAAAAAAAAAGTACGGAACCTAGTTTAGTACCTATAGTTTTGGGTTTTCAATACGATAAACTAAAAAGTTTAAAAAATACCATTATCGAAATTTTAAAATATTTATTTTAAGAAAGCAATAACTGTTATAGTTTTTAAGGTTGTTTATACAAGATTTCTTATATCAAACTTTTTATAATTAACAAGATTCTATCAAGTCATCCATAGAAATTAATGTAGCTAACGCTGGCTAAATCTGGTAAGCTGGAGACAGGCACATCAAAACAATGTACTAAAAATTTTAGGTCTTAATAAGGCCTACAGAAAAATCTGCAATAGCATAAGTCTTTCTCCTAAGATACACTCGCAATAACTATTCATATCTAAAACGTACCCAGAGTCGCACCCGAGGGAAGTGAGGGTACGTCACTATATTTTATATAGAAACTGAGTGATTCTCGAAAGAAAAAATAAATATAGCTGTAACGGAATGTACCTACTTAGAAGTAGCATCATTTTCATGGGACAACCCTTGTCTAGTTGTTAGTAATTCATAAAATCCAAAATCAGCCAAATCCAGTGATTATAGCTGGATATATACATATATACATACAGAGATATAGACTTCGAGGTATGCATTCCTAATTGAACTCGACTAAATTGATTTGATAGCGATTTGTCTGATTAGAATCAGATTTTTTTTCTAATTTATTAAACGTTGTTTTCATACTAATTGGCGGCATTAATTACTGATACAAATTATTTCTGGGACTTGCCGGTAGGGAATTTGGTCATCCACCATTGCAAATACACTTACCTCGTATTCAATGTCTAGAAGAGGCGGCGCTGATACTCCTCCAAACATTGACCGAGTGTTCTTTTGATATTTGTCACGCTCGTTAACAGTTTGTTTTTCTAATCGGGCAATTTCAGTCCTAAAAATCAGATATATAGATATCTATATACCTACATAAAAGAAGCTTTTTGCTTTATCAAAGAGACAATTTAAAGTGTAAATTAATTTGTACCTATATAAAATATGGTTTTATACTTATATACGACTAGCAGTACCCGCGGCTTCACCCGCGTTCAAACTACAAAAAAAATCTTTATTTTTCAACAAACTTTTTGCTCTTTGACTAATATTAATTTGATAACACGCCGACTGCAGCGCCACCTACCGGGTCCATTTGTGATTTCAAAGCATCCAGGAGCCCATTAAAATATACATACAAAATTTCATCCAGATCGGTCCAGTCCTTAGGAGGAGTAAGGTGACAAAGACACGTACAGAAAAATTATATATATTATTAAGATATCTATAGGTTCTATAATTATTTAAAAGTAACAGTCGACGGAAGTGGGAGTTGGATTTGTATCGGTGGGCATTAAATATTTTCTACATAATTCTTTTATTATTTATTAATTTTAGGTTTCCTTTGATGATAAAGTGAAATCCTGAACATTATATATGTCGTCAATATTTTTTGCATATCAAAAAAGGCATAATGCATTTTAAAAATATTAAAAATACATTTTATAGACTAAAAAGTTTAGATGTTTGGATGTTTGTTACTCAATCACGCCAGAACGGCTGAAAGATCTTTAGATGAAATTTGGCACAGACAGATTATACTCTGGAATAGACTGCACATAGACTACTTTTTATCCCGAAAAAAATACGATTCCCGTGGGATAGATTTGTTTTTGTATTTCTAGAGGCGAAATGAGCCGCTAGTAATTCATATTTTTATACTTACTCAAGTTTCGATCGTCTTACAGCCAGTGCGTCAGTTGATAGGTTATTAATTGCAGAAACAAGTCGTCGTGGTCTTAGACCAAATATCCTCCCAGAAAATGTAGATATAAGCAATTCAGGTTCTTCTGACCCTACGTAACCGCCTGCGACAGAAGTTACCGGTTCGCCAGAAAACTAAAATTTACAGATTTATAAGTTCATCATTATCGAATGACGTGATTGTTAAAGTTAGATATAGAGATAATAACGCAATGTGTATAATATAGATATACTTAGGCCGCACATAAGTAAATTTAAGTCTTGGTTTTTCAAGAAAGTTTTCTGTATTAATAAGATATAGTTGAATGGAACCATCATGTTGCCCTACAGCAAGATGCGTGCCGAAACTATTTAAAAACCACCCTGCGCACATAACTGATCCTAATCCATGTCCATTCACCAAGCACATGTATGACAGGTTTGTTCTGAAATCACCAAACCCATCTATTAGATTAACATCAAGTAATTATAAACTATTCATTTGCGAAGGTGGAAATTATACTTATGATATGGTACACTCTACTGCAGGTAGGTACTCGTACATAGTACCTGTAGAGTGTAGGTAGGTACTACTTGGGGGACTACGATATCCGTCGCGTCGCAATTTAAATGAATATGTCTACATTAATTTAAAATAAGAAGATAATTATTTTTTTAAACTCCACCAGTTTTCGAAAGTTTTTTTGCAAATACAGATTTAGTTAGGTGGATAGTATGGAAGATAATTATGCAAGATACTTATTATTTTATGATTCTTTACACAAATATTGAACAAAAACAACTTACTCTTCTTGAAATATCAGTCCTATAGATCCATCAGAGGCCCCATAATAAGCGCACACTTCAGTAGAATGTAAGGAAAGAGGCACAATGATACGTGTTGGTCCAGCAGCGATGTAAACTCGCTTCTGGGTTTGACCATTTTCAATTATTATAGCTTCCTTATTTGCAGTTATAACAAGTATCCGAACCCGAGTGTTCTAATAAAAAGTATAGGTAAGCACGTTAAGTACGTGGCCATAGTTAATTTTAATATAGGTAAGTAGTAAAGTAGCAATAGTGTGCAGTTACAACGTACATTTGGTGTAGCAAAAGCGACCGCGTCTAATACTCTGTCGTCACAAATATGAGAATATAGTTCTTTTAATTCTCTGTAGAATGTTACTGTCCTTCCACAGCATAGTATTAGATCACTTCCCAATACACACCTAAGGATAAAAATTCTATTTAACTATAATGAATTAGATAACAATACATCAATGTTATCTAATTAAATTCTATAATTACATAGACGTGATTGTCTCCGATACGGATGTTTCGATGCTGAGAAATACTTTTCCTTTTCTAGTGTAACCTTTTACTTCATTACCCGAAGCTGCGAAAATTTTATCAGCGTTTGTTCCTATTAACACAGCAAAGAGAATAAATAAATAATTTTCCATCGTGGAGAAAATACCACATAAATATAAATAATCATTCTCGTATTACCTGATGAGAAATTAATAAAATAAAAATATATAATTTAGTCGACCCACATTAAGCCAGCGTGGCAACTGTGGCCTAATTCCCTTGTATTAAAGGGATGCCTGTGCCCAGAAATGCAATGGCTGACGTTAAAAAGGGTTGAATACAATATTACTATTTAGTCATAATAAATATTGCATTTCTTTAGTGCAGTTAATTTCCTACATTAAAAAATCGTCACGGCTCAATTGTGACAATATTTAATTTAACTAGTATACAAAGCAATAACACCAAGCTACCTGCTTCTAGCTGAATCTTAATAATATTGGACTTTTACATTTTATTGTACATAATAGTTAATATAAATAAATAAATATGTTAGGACATTAAGACACAGCGCCATCTAGTTTCATGGTAAGCTACGAGACTTGTGTTATGGATACCAGATAGTTGATACACTACACATATATATGTAACTTTAAATACATACATATTATAAATATAAACACCCATGACTAGAGTACAAACATTCGTGCTCATTACACAAATGAATGCCCCCAGCGGGACTCGAATCCGCGACCGCTGGCACAGCTAGTAGGGTCACTACAAATTGAGCCAAACATGTCGTCAATATAATTGCTCATTTTCAATTATCGCGTGAATGCATAAGGCGGTCGTATTTAACGATTTATCATTCTATTTTAGGATAACACTTATTCAGTCTCTAACTAAGACAAATAATACGAGTACCAATAGATGAAGGAAGTTGAACTGAAGTTATAGGTTTTCCTGGTAATGTTTTAAAATGCACAACTGGCTCTTCATCTTTTATACTTAAACACTGTAGCACGCCGTTTTTATCTCCAATAGCAAACTGAAAAATGAGAAATCTTATCATTATATTCTTTTATTCCTGTCAATAGGTACTTATAAAGTGAACACTTATTGTGTTTGTTAAGCTTGGATGAAATTTAGGTAAACCGTTAAACGGCTTTATGTGGAAATCTATGGCAGGAACGGAAGATGTTTTTTATCCTATTTATATACTCCTTAGGGCTTAGGATATCTCATAGTAGTTCAACTTTAATATTATTTTAGTTTTGAACTCATAAATAGATGGCGCTAAACACTTGTTTATTTTCTACATCTTATACTTTATATTGAATGCAAATTAAAACAACATTTTCTAGTGGATGCGGAAATTCCGGATGAGGCAGAAAGAATGAATTTCTACTTAATATGCTTGTATTACTTAGTATGCTATGCTTAAGCTCAAAATAAACAAATAGTGTCTACTTGCCTTTTGTTGTATTTTTTGTTCAGTAGCAGGTAAAATTTTCAAAGCATCTGGATAAGTTATACCACAAAGAGTATAGTCAATCCGACCCAAATCATAATCCATTTTCAAAAGACTTAATATTAGGTACAGAAGGAAGGAAAACGATTAGTAAGTTAAAATTAAAATATCAATAAACTATTTCCCTTGGATCTTCACTTTGGTATCTTAGTAACGAGGTAATATATACAGATAGCTTTAATAACATGTAAATTTTTATAGTTCTATTTGATTTCTTATTACAAAATAGCAATATTTGAATATTTTTTATTTTAAAAAGAAAAACAGTTTTTTAAAATACTTGGTTATGTTATTTTCTGCTGTATATTTGATTGTAGTAGATTTTCATATTTTTAATTCACAAGAATGAATTATGAAACAAAATGTTCTTAAAACCTAAGTATGATTAAAATAACTATAAATTTACTTAATAATAGCAGTTACATTAAACATTTCTTATTATATATTTTATTAAATTAGATGTCATTATATGTATTTTTAAACCTTTTAAAGATTGATGTAAAATACCATAAGGCAGGATTGCAAAGCAGACTTTTTGACAACAAAAATATAACCTATCTCCTGGCATCTGCCAAATGCCAAGTGCCAGCTGTCTATTTAAAATTAAAAAATCTCTAGTAAATTACATTTATTAATTTTATATTTTTCTTCCCACGAAGAGATGGAAAATGAAAAAGAAAATGTCATTCAAGCAGTGGTTATTATGGATTTATTTAATAATAATTTCAATCCTATAACCAATAAGAAACCTATGGTACGTTAAAAATAATGTCTTGTGATTATTCGTTTAACAAACAAGATAAACATTAATAAAAATAATTATTTCTTAGGGACTCTTTCCAGTTGCAGGGGTACCGCTAATTGATTATGTATTAGACTCTTTAGTATCAGGAGGTGTTGGAGAAGCTATACTGTTTTGCTGTCATGACAGCTTAAAAATAAAAGATCACGTAAAGTAAGACTAAAACGTAACAGAAACAAAACTTAAATGTTTTTTGAACTCTCATTGAATAAGTCTAATAATATGTTTTATTTTAATATTTTTAGGAAGAGTAAAGAACAGAAAGTGCCATGGACTTCTATGTTGGATGTGCAAATATTTTCTTCTGATACTTGCCAGACTATGGGAGATGTAATGAGAGAAATAGATGCAGCAAGTTTAGTCCGAGGCTACTTTATTCTTCTTGGAATAAATTCAATAACAAATATGAATTTTTCTGCATTATTAGAACAACATAAGTACTTTCTTTTATAACACTAACATACAATTCTTTAAATTAATATTTAAACATAGTATGTAAATGCTTATTGAGATCTAAAATTAAAATATGCTGTTGGTATATAATTGTATTTAATTTGATTAAATATTTTATTTTTATTACTTTCTTGTTAGACAAACATGTAAGAAAGATAAAGGAGCAGCTATGACTTTGGTTTATAAAGAAGTTGCATGGGAGCATCCTTTGATAAGCAACGATGAAACTCTTCTATTGGCAGCTGATGGAAGAACTCATAAAATTTTGATGCATCAGAAATATAAACCGAAATCAAGTGAAACTATGTTTTCTTTACCTTTAGTAAGTAATTTAATCCCTCCACAACCGCGGACACGCCGGCGTTACATGTAACAATAGATTTCTTAGAAATTTAATTCATTTCTTAGAAATTTACCTGGAGGTGTCCATGAATGACTCGACATTGTCCATGAATTGCATGAAATCTACAGTTTATAGTATCATGCTTCCTTAATAAATGTGCTATAAAATTAAAAACAAATTTTTCAAATTCTACTAGCTCTTTGAGATCAGAAACAAATAATGTTTATTTTAATTAAAATCTATATTGTCATGTGGTAAGCATATTTTATTGTGTTTTTAGGAGTGTGTATTGCATCATTCTGAAGTCCAATTACATCATAATTTGGTAGATGCCAATATAGCACTTTGTTCACCTTCAGTTCCACCTCTTTTTTCTGATAATTTTGATTTCCAAACAAGAAATGATTTTATCCATGGAATTTTGATAAATGAGGATATTTTAGCTAGTTCCTTATATTACACTTTATTGAAAGGAAATCAATATGCAGCAGCAATAACAAATTGGAAAACTTATCAAACTGTCTGGTAAGGCACCATTTTTAATATTTATTTATTTTTATAATAAATAATGTTATCATTTTCTTTTATTTTACTTTTTTAGTTGGGATATATTGCACAACTGGGTCTATCCAATTACCATTGAAAGTGGGTCATTTTATAAAAACAATTACATGTATATGGGTAATCATATATTTAGGAAAACCAATTCAACACTTAGCAGGTATATATTAAGTTACAATCAATATTTTTTATTAACATCAGTTTGTATTAACATATTACTTGATATCCATATTATACTTATAAAATGGATATCATGTAATATGTTAATACAAACCACAATGATTTTTTTAGATCTTGCACACTAGTAGAAGATGTACTTATTGGGTCACGAACTCATATAAGTGACATGTCCTGCATTTCGAAATCTATGATTGGTGATAATTGTACCATTGGAAATAATGTGGTTATTCAAGGCAGTCATATAATGAATAATGTTGTTATCAAGGATAATTGTAAAATTCTGAACTGTTTTATTGATGTTGGATGCACAATTGAAGAAAATTCTAATTTACAAGGAGTTATAGCTTCAGATTGTGTTTGTGTAAAATCTGGAAGTCAACTTAAAGGAAATATTCTTGAAGAGTTAAAAAGTAATGCTGGTATGTTAATTTCTTTTATATAAATAATTTAATTTCTGACAATAATTCTTTTAAGTATAGATCAAATCAAAATTACTTATGATTTTAATTCAATTCAAACCATTAAAAAAAGAATTGAATTAGAATTTAAAGTTTCAATTTATGTTTGTGACGAAATAATATAATTATTGCCCTCGACACTAAATAATATTATTTCTTAGTATGAGTTATTGGCATATTACCAAACCCTAACTTGTTTTTTTGTTTTCCTACTTTTTTTTATTGATCTGTATACTTTCTACTATGATATGTTGCTTGTAATAGAATAAAACAAATAAAAAAGTAAAGAAGTGTGTAAGAGTTGGGTAACAATTAGTTAAAAATCTTATTTTTTAGAACACACACCAGTATCAGAAAATGCTACAGAATGGGAGAATGAATCATCAAAAGATGGAGATGATGAATTTATTGGTTTTGAAAAAGAATGGAGTGATAGTGAGTCATGTTACTCTTCTGACAGCAGTGCTGAATCTTCTTTACCTGATTCACCTGTTCCAGAAGATACCAACAGTAAGTATAATAAACCAGATGAAATAATTTTTGAAAAAAATATTTATACTTATAAGTTTTTTTTGTTATAGATTTTATTTACTATTGCTATATTTATAAATCAAATACTATTCCTAGTGCAATTCACATAATCTTGTCATTTACTGTTTTATCTGTATGACTCATTTAAACTCTAATATTTCTTTTTAGTATTCCTTCAAGAAGTAATAGATAGTTTAGCAAGAGGATATGAAGAAAGTCTAAAGTGCGACTATCTCATTTTAGAAATAAATTCATCAAGATATGCCTACAATATTCAATTACATGAAGTAAACTTCTTTGTTATTAGAGCTCTGCTTAGTATGCCAGCTTTAGTTTCTAGCAAGAGCGTGCTAGTTACTCTTAAAGATATTTTAAAATTCTTCCGCCCAGTCCTAGCAAACTACATCAAGACAAAATCTTCAATTATGGATTGCTTGAGAGCTGTTGAAGTAAGTAATTTTAAACCTTTTGATTAATTTTTATTCTACTTTGGTGCAGCTAAAAGGAGGATTGTATTTGACCTGTATGTGCGTCTGCTACTATGTTCTCTCATAATTAATGGATTAACCAGTTTTGACATTAATACTTTCTTAGATTTATGCGAATATTTTATTTAAAACAGTTTTGACAATTCATATGTCTTTTGATTTGTCTTCATAAGATGAGTGTCATAGGCTATATAAAAATATTTAACTACCTCGGTGGTGTAGTGACTAGCATGTACGGCTGCACACTCGGAGGTCCTGGGTTCGAGTCCCGGTTCGGGCCAAGTTTCGTTATTGAGACTTTCTGTATAGTAAGTCTCATTAACAGCCCGGAATTGGGAAGTTGGCGGTGTTTCACCCCCGTGCCTCGGAGAGCACGTAAAGCGGTCGGTCCTGCGCCTGAACTCTCACTGGTCGTGTCGAGCAGTCGTCCCACTGGAGTACGAGAGTGACAGGAATAGAGAGCGCACTTATGTCTGCGTGTACACTTGTGCACTATAATATCTCCTGCGTAGTTGGCTATTCTCAATGAGATCGGTCGCTATAGCCGGAATCGGCTAGGAGAACATCATAAAAATAATTAAAAATGAAGATGGTAGATTCCAGGCACCATTTAGTGTCTTTAAATTTTTTATTGCACAATTGGTACTTGCTGTGAGTCTTGCTATGTGTAAGTATGTGTAAATTAGTTCAACTAAATGTCTATAGATGACATTACATGTATTGATTTGTTATTTAAGTTAAATTAACAAAAGACTAGATCCAAAAAGGTCTATTATTGTTTTAAATTATAGAAATAAAAAACCTGACTGCATAAAAGGTAACTAAAAAGATGAAAACAAGTTCACGATGAAATATAGTATTATGCAGTCGAGGCATACACATTTCATCTTTGCCACAAGATGTACATACTCATATGTATTTAAAATTAAATTAATTAATTATTGTAAAATTTTCTACATTCTATTTATTTTCCATAAATTTTACTTTTATATCATATCATTATCAGTATTAATAAAATTTATTTATTTATAATCCTTTAGGACAGTTGCATTAACAATGAATGGCTCTCTGGAAAAGCTGGCCAAGTAGTCCATTTACTATATGAAACTGATGTTGTAGATGAAGACTCATTGTTGGAATGGTATGAAGACTTAAAAGACTTTGAAAGCCCAATAATTGCACAAACTTCATTAGTAAAATTCTTTGCTTGGTTACAACAAGCAAGTGAGGAAAGTGAGGAATCTGAGTAAAAAACATCTCATTTACTTACAAAAAAAATTATTATAATTTTTAATTGTAAATCCGGATAAAATAAAATAATTGGATATTTACTAGAGTTTACATTTAAAGTCATATATCAAATTAAGGTACAAAAATTTAGTTAAAGCTTTATTGGCTTTATCGAATTGTTGCATACTGCTGAAATTGTACAGTTGAGAAATTTCTAAATTTGTTTATATCAAAGGATGTAGGTTCACAAGGAGAATGTATTTTTATTTGCCTCATATGTGTATCTCGTCCATTCTGGTGATTGCTTAAAACTGCTATTTGAATCATATAAGTTCTAATTGGTCTATCATGAATATCTTTTATTGGTATCATTTCCCAGCCTTTAACAAAAATAAGGTGTAAGTATTTTATACATAACATAATGTTTTCATTATTAGTTATTATTAAATATTAAGAAATATTCTTACCACTGGGTTCTATCAATTCAATAACTTCTATTTCTTGTAAATCATTAAAATGTGTTCCAGCTCTTATAGAAATTCTGCTGGGAGTATAGCTTTCATCAAGTTTATAATCTGTATAGATGTAAATATGAGAAACCATTGTTTTTCTTTGGAATTGAATATTAACTAAGTGGGGCAACTGGCCATCTGATTGCCAGTATGTATCCATACAATCATCTCGAAGTTGATCTATGCCAAAACCTGTATGTAAAAATCCATTAAAATCCAGTAAGGAGTATTACAATCTTGTTATTTTAAGTTTAAAAATGTTGTCATCGAACCTGGTTTACAGGAAGATAAACTCCATATAGCGTGATTACCAACTTCTCGTACAGTGCCTGATCTTTCACTCACAAGTGGATCTTTTTCAGAGGTCATGGTAAATTAAAAATACTATACTCAATTTCGTTGCGTTTAGTTTGAAACGGTTAAAATAATCCCAATAATTTTAATATAGTTCAATTCTTTTGTTTCGTTTGGTGATGACTAATTGAGTATAATTTACTATGCCAATAAAATTAGATTGTACGAGGTAGATAAAGATCATTTAAGAAAGAAAATTGCAAGAGCGAAGCTATTACTTGTTTAGTAATGCAAAATATTCGAGTAACCGTCAAATTTAACAACTGTCACTGACAAATGACACATATTCATAGACAACAATCTAATACTTGTATAATAATTCAATTTATACCATCTTGGGTATCTTTGAATAAAACAAAAATACTTCTTTTTATTTTATGCTATAGTTTGTTTTTTAATCTCAGAGACTACATTGACACATGCAAATATTAAATCAGAGGCTGAAACACACATCTATACAAATAAAATTGTAACTAAGCCGAATCTCTACAATAAATATTTTTTGGAAAATGTTATTGAAATAAACATTATTATTGATACAAAGGCTGAATCTAAAGTTTTTATAATTTTTGTCAGTCTGTATGCCTGTCTGTTACCGCACCACGAGAAAATATATGGACAGATTTTGATGAAATTTGGTATGATGATATGGTTATCTATTTTTTATAATTGCTAGTTATCCGGGTCAACGTATATGATCTTTTTTACTGCGGGAAAATATCGCATCTCTGAGAAATCTATACTAAACGTTAAAACGCATGTAGGGACGAACCCGAGCGGAGCGAGGTTGAGTCGCTAGTATATAATAAAATGGTAACTTAGCAAAATCTGCACAAACCCAAAACAAAAATTTTGTCTGTAAGTCTGTTCGTCTGTTTGTGTATTCGGTTTCATGCAAAAAGTATTGAACCGATTTTAACCAAATTTTGTGTAGTTAAAAGTCGGGTCAACATTAAGGATGCCCTTTACTGCAGCAAAATCTTTGTTCCCACGGGAAAACACAATAACGGGTTCTTCTATAGAGTCGTCCTTAGAAATTTACATAGCTAACGCTGGCTTAACTTTATGAGATACATCAAAAGAATTTAGTAGAAAATTGTAGGTCTTAAAAATGCTTAAAGAAAAATCGGCCATGCCATAAGTTTTCGCACCCGAGCGAAGCGAGGGTAAGCTGCTAGTTATAAATGATAGAAAGAAAAATAGTTTTATACTTTTAGACCGATCGGAATCCGTTTATTTTTAAGAGAAAAAAATTTAATTAAAACCTCAAGCTTCAAGCCTTTAAAACGTTAGCAGGTACATAAGAAACAAAAATCCGTGAAATGCTCCTTGTCCCTGTCCCAGCTACCTCCGAGAAATGGGGGGATGCAAACGTCAAAAAAATGCTATTTTTTTTGCAATTTCCGGCTCACTGTGACATCCTATCGAAAAATGTTCTGTACAAAAGTTGTAGGTCTAGTAAAATACTACAACTTTTATATATATGCCACTTTTTATAATTACTAAACTCTTTATGTCGATTTTTTCCTGAGATACTTTCAATAAAAAAGGATCGTTTTCTTTTTTATCATCAATATCTTAGCATTTAATGGAAGCACAGCAGATTAAAGGGTTATTTTATAAATTTAAGTCATATATCTAAAAGTATATGCCTATCATAGTTTTTAGAAAAAAAAGTGTTTTTTATTTTTTTACATTTTTTATGATTTTTTATATATTAATTTTATATATTAATTTTGTAACTTAATTTTTTAAATATATTTTTAACTAAAGAATAAACAAGATTAGACTATGAATGATTTTCATTTCTTTCTGTAATTACCTTAAAATCAAATTTTTTTAGAAAAATCAATAAAATCAACTTCAAAATCGATCAAAAACTAATAAAATATCGATAAATTCGAAAAAATTATGACAAAATAGATTTTACGGCAAAAAAAATACAAAACCCCTGGTGTATTTTACGTGAATTCCACCTTTTATAATTTTTTGACGACTCATCAATCGAAAAGTTGGAATGTTTGCGGCGACATTGTATAAATAATAAACGTCAAATAAAAAACCTAAGGAAACCATCTTTTTCGTTTTTTGCCGAAAAATACGTTCGTGTAATCACTAATCAGTTTATAAAAATTTGCCCAATAAAGTGCACTTCTTTAATAATAATATTGAAAAAAATGTAGTTTACAAAGTAAAAATTATCGATTTCTACAATGTTTTTATATTTTCAAAAAGTAGAGTTCAAGACGAAAAGAATGAGCCATATTTGAAAATTGAACGATTTTTTTTTTAAATGTAAACGCCCACTTGAAGTTGGGGGTGATTTTCAGCCTCTCGAGACCATAAAACATACTTTTCTACGAAATGGCTAAACATTTCAATTTCATTTTTTATTTATTTATTATATGTATTCAAAGATTTCATTCCCTTAGTTTCATGGGAATCAAAAGATTATTCTAGAAATAAAAAATAAAAAAACAAGAAACAATTAAAAACCGATTTTTTTTTGCAAATATCTCGAAAACTTTGAGGTTATTGTAAAAAGTGTTAGTTATTAAAGTTGTACATTTTACTAGACCTACAACTTTTGTAAAAAAATATTTTTCGATAGAACGTCACAGTAAGCCGGAAAATGAAAAAAACTATTTTTCAACGCTTTGCGTCCCTCTATTTTTCGGGGCTATTTAACTATATGGCTATATTTAACTGGGCATTGAGGGCAGTTTACGAATTTCTATTCCATAAATACCTGCTAACATTTTTAAATCATAAAACTTCAGGTTTTCAATTTTTTTTCTCTTAAAAATAAACTGATTCCGATTGGTCTAATAATAAAAGTACAGATTATTCATTATATTTGAATTTGATTTATTAATCTGTATTAAGACCTTATTTCACTGACACATCAATTAATTTAAATTTTAAAAAATAAAGCAGAAAAACTTAGGAATTTATTTCGTAGGTACTCACTCATTATGATTTTTGGAAAAAAGCAATTGGAACAACTGTCTGGATTTACGGCTTCTTTCCTAGGATTTACGACGGCTAGTTTCATAAGTATGGTATATTTTACAGATTGGAAAGCTATATGTGCTTATATTCCATATTACAATCAAAAGTTTACAGAAGACACACCTGAATAATAATGTGTTTTTTTCTAATTATAACGCATTTACTAGTATATTATCATATTCATAAAATTATAATTGTAATTAGGCTCAACGGCACATGCTGCGTTCAGGGCACGCGATTACTTGTTCTGATCCTATTGAAATCTGAAAGGAGAATTATAATAATGACTAGTTTAAGACATCAGGTGTGTGGGGATTTTTGTTATAGTGTCAACCGGCTCGCGCGCACCCGGCGCGGTCGCAGCGCACCCGCAGCTGCTCGCCCTCGGCCCTCCTCTGGCGTGCGCACTCGCCCTCTGAATAAATACACCTCTTTCATTTTATTGTAATATTTTTATTATTGTTATTATGCTTTAAAAGTCATAAAAATATAAAGTAACTACTCTGATCTGTACAGCTTTCATTTTTAAACCCAGAAAATTTTCATTTTCAACCAATTGATTTGTAGATTTTTAATATCTATGCATTAGTTATTATAAGAACAATTTTGAGATATTTTTTTTACTTTATATTGTCAACTATTTTAAATAGAAATATCTCAGGTGTCGCCTGTCGGTACTAATTAAGATATCTAAAGCATGGTAATGTTATCTATCTATACCATAATAAAACAGTAGAAGTCGAATGTCTGTACATAGCAAAAAAAATGCTAAAAACCGAGTCAGGGGGATGTAAGAAGACAAATAGAACAAATCCAGATTTTTTTAATTTTTTTCGTTTCTCTGTCTGTACGGGCTAACCTCCGAATCTATTGGACCGCATTAAATGAAATGTTGCATGGTGGTACCTTATATCCCCGGGCAACATCTTAGATACTTTTTATTCCGGAAAATTAAATAGTTCCCGTGGGATAGTTAAAAAACTATAATAACTTATACAACTTATGCACCTAATTTAGTAAAATTTTACATTCTGATACCTTATATTGCCGATTATTTTGTGCCGTTTTACTATATTGAATATTAATGAAAATAAAATGAAAATTACCTTGAATCTTGACTGTTACCAACTCTAAATCGTATACTTACCTTAAATAGAGTTAGGGTATAGCCTACCTGTGGGCTATCAGCCCGTGAGGGAGCTTCCATCGGCTTGGAATGCAGTTTTGCTGAGAATGCCGGTAAGAAACTGTACAGTTGCTCTTTTAAATGCGTTATAACATTATCATAATATAATATTCTACACATTATTATCTACAAGAAACTCCCGAATAGACAATTATTAGGTAATTACTAATTTATTTTTTCTGTCTCGGTGGTGGAGTGTCTAGCTGCACACGCCTACACATTTGGAGGTTCTGGGTCGAGTCCCGGGTCGAGCCAAGTTTATTGAGTATTTCTAAGTATATCGAATCCTAAAAGTTATTGAATCTTTCTATTAGAAAGTCCCAGCTCGGAGTTGGAAAGTTGGCGGTGTTTCACCTCGTGCCTCGGAGAAAGAGCACGTAAAGCCGTCGGCTGAGCCTGATCTCTCACCGGTCGTGTCGAATTATTGTCACATCGGAATTTTTGAGAATAAAAGGAATAGATAGTAGTGTACTGGTGTCTGCGAGTACATTTGTGCATAATAATATCTCTTGCGCAGTTGTCTAATCTCAGTGAGGTTGGCCGCCGTGGCAGAAATCAGTCAGGTGGACATCATTACCATCAATATATTTTTGATTATAATTTTCAATTGTTGAATATGTCGATTCGATATAGTATGTGGATGCATCGCATACCTATTGAAATTCCACAAACTATCACAGAACTTGGCATAAAAGGCATGAAACATTTATTCATCTGTTGATAAGATAATTACATATTAATAAGATTTATTCACCTTTTAGAGATTTTTTTGCTGGTATTACCAGTGCATTGAAGTATTATACTTGGACAATGCTCTGTCTACACCGTCATAGTTCGAGGTATTATCAGCAAAGAGTGCTATAATTGCACTATACATAGTTATATCACATAGTTGTTTCGCATAGGAAAGTTAACAATACGTAAAAGAGAAGAGATCCTTGTGGAACTCCCATCATTAAAGTAGATTCAAAAGACTTCGCATTATTCATATAAATTAATGAGAAGGTCCAGAGGGATTTTCTAATTAGTTTATGAACAACAAAACACACTACGTACATATGTGGTACCTACTACTGCTAATTTTGCTACGTGTTTACTGTGTATATTATGTTTAACTTGTTTCCATCTTTTTAGTTAGGTACTTTTTTTATTAATAGTAATTTTTATTAAAAGTGTTTAAAATACGAATTCTTGTGTACATAGATTATAGTATTTGTAGACACATACATTTTTAAATAATTTCGGAATATTTTTTACTTAGGAACACTAGGTCATGATTTCTTTGCCGCATTCAACGAATGTTCTAATTTTTAATTTTAAATGTTTAGGAAATATCTCAGTATTAATAATTATTTAATAACAAATTGAAACACTTTAATAACTAAATTTTCTGGCTCATCATCAGTCAAGTCCAAAATGAGTTATTTTTGTGCTACATTTTTGAAAACACGATATATGATGAGTTTTATATCCCTTACTTGAGAAACGATTGCTCTACCCCCACTTTCACCCCCTTAAAGAATGATTTCCGGGGTAAAACTATCATATGTCCTTCCCAGGGTCTCGAACTATTTCCATACCAAATTTCGTCTAAATCGGTTGAGCGAATTAAGCGTGAAAAAGTAACAGACAGACAGAGATACTTTCGCATTCACATATATATTAGTATGAATAATATAAATGAACACATAATAGTAAAAATTTATATGGCAACATATAAATAAATTCAATGAAAATTAAAACTTTAGCAAAATTTTTTGTCCACGCGAGCGTAGCCGCGGGCGAAAATCTAATCAAAATAAGAATGATACTTTGTTGTATACTAGCGGAACCCGCGGCTTCGCTCGCGCTAACACTGTAAAAAATCTCTAAAAAGGTAAGTTTCATACAAACTTTCATCCCTATTTTACCCCCTTATGAGGTGAATTTTGAAGAGTGCTAAAACATGTATTTATTTAATTGTATTGAAGAGCATTACTACCAAGTTTCAAGTAATTCTGATCGTAAATATTTTTTTGGACTATATTATAATGTGTTTTCCCGTGGGAATTAGGTAATCTTTTGCACTAAAAAGTAGCCTATATCACTCTTCAGCCCCCCAACTGTCTCAACACAAACACAAAAAATCACGCCAATTCGTTACTCTGTTTCGACGTGAAAGAAGGACAAACAAATAAACAAACATACTTTCACATGTATAATATTAATATAGATATGTAAGTAATTTAAAAAAGAAGGTCTGTAAGCTTTAGATGTACATATTATCATTGGGTCTTTAAAAATAACGTAGATGTCAGCCTATTAGTTAAAAAACCCATATAAGCCGACTTACATGAATCTAAAGTCGTAAACATTGTATGCAAGTTGTATCATTGTACTCTCTTACTCTATTACACTGACTGAGAAAATTTACTATAGTAATGTATATTTTTTTACACTATCAGAAAGTAGAGATTTCAACGAACAAAAAGCCCGCCCACTTTTTTAAAAAAGCAATTATTTTGACGGGAGAATTTGCGATTGAAAATTAGGGTGCTTTTTCGATATTAAGTCAAAATAAGGTGAAAAAATAAGTATTTGAAATAAAAAAATACAGTGTATTTGGGACATAAAAAGGCAAGTTTTGACTTAATTTTATTTATTTTATTTATTTATCAATCCTTTATTGCACCAAAAATAAAAATACAATATAAATGAATATATAACTTAACAAATATTAGTGTATTGACAAATATTAGTGTTATGTATTAGGCGGCCTTATCACTAAAGTGATCTCTTCCAGGTAACCTATATTATAAAGAAACTCATAGGGTGACATGGATTATGGTTGGTGAAAAAAAAAATTTTGTGATTTTTTTTTGTAAAAGATAAAAATAAAAAATCAAAAGCTTCGTTATTTGAATTTTTCACATAAATTTTGAGGTTATGTGAAAATGTGTAAATACTAAAGTTGTAGATCTTTTTATTACCTACAACTTTTAAGTTTACCTTTTTTCCATAGGACTTGTAGTTTTTCCGGAAATCGAGATACCCTTAAAAGGCCACCCCCTTCCACTTCTCGACCTCAGATCGCTCGTAAATTATTTTTCATTTTATTTTCGTTAAATTCTCTTCTTTTTCCAATGGGTTTCATCCTACTATTATTTTTTTCCACTTTTTACCATTGTCAAAATCTTCAGCCCTGGTCTATAAGAAATAATATGAAAGACGATTTTATTTTAGCAAATAATATAGTGTATTTTGCGAAATAATTTTTTTGTAGTTCGATCACAGGCGAAGCCGCGAGTTCTGCTAGTTTCTATATTATAGAAACTACACAAAAAATATGAACGGTCTCCAAGCCAAAGGTACCGTAGAGGGGAGGTTCGTAGGGCTTCGAGCCTTTACAGTTTACACGCACGTTCCAACTTCCAATACGCAGTAGTTTGACAGAACAGTGAACACACTTGTCTGTTGGGCCGCTTACGGGGCGGCTGTGTCGGCAGCAACGGTGTACTACAATTTGTTTTAAAATATAAACATTACGCGATCTATGAATTTAAGCTTAGAATAACTTCAGTTTTAGTACTTGTTGTGGTGTTCGAGTGATATTGTGTGATTAAAATGGATTTATCTTGTGGAGAGAATCTACAAAATTCTGGACATAACAGCAACTCTAGCGGGAGGACAGTAGACATGTGCGTCGCTGGGCCTGACAGAGCCCTGGATCGTGATCCAAGACTTTTGCTGAACCTTCTGACTCTTGAGAGGGTCCATGCACTACACACAGATTATTTTCAACATGTACAAATTGATATACAACCTTTTATGCGAAAGGTCGTCACCACTTGGATGCTGGAGGTAATATCATTTTTTTCTTACTTCTCTTTTGTTATGATGATGAAACGTACTTAATTTACTAATTTAAATAAAAACTTATTATGAATATTATACGCCCTTTTCAATGAAGTTAAACTATCGCCTACAACTTCCGACAACAGCTGATTAAAATTGAAGTGAATGACCTTAAGTTTCTGAGAGCGTAACTCGTAAGTGAACTTGAGCTTCTAGAGATCTTCGTTTCATGGCTTATGTAAAATAAAAGAAAAGCTCCTTCTCAAGCCCTTGTCATTATAAAGTAATGACTTAAGTTTATATAGTAAATAATTTATAAAATGTTGTAGGTACATCAAATATCAATTGAAGCTTACCTGCTTCCTGTAATTTTATGATGACCTGCCGATCGTTCTTTGTAGACAATATATTAGTAGATAGTTATGTGCTATTTAAATTATTATATTCACTACGAACTTTTCAAGTACCTAGCTTGTTTACCATATTATTCACATTATTTGCATAATGTAAATTGTAAAAAAAATTGTAATTTATAGTAAAAAAAAGATTCTTTGGACTATTTTTCCTAAGGAACATTTAATAGTATATGTGACAAAGAATGAAAGTAATATATGATGTAACATTCACAAATCTGAATCAAATTACATATTTATAAACCAATTACATTTAAAGATTAAACTTTATACAACAATAGCTACGATGCACGTGTGCTCACGTTTGCTAGATATGAGCCCTTAGAATCGTTGGCTGTGAACGGAAACTTTTTTACCTAACTTTTTACGAAAGCTCTGTTCAAGTTCAACGAGCAACGGAATCTTTATAATGTAGTGTAAACGGGATTGCAAAAAATGTCCATAACTTACGATGCTATTCAACGGCTCTATATATGTACCTACTTATCAGAAAGCCTTAAATAAGTAGGTATATTGAAAATGAAAGTAATAAATATTCAGGTTAATTCTTGCGTATGCGCATCGCATTTTAAGTGTCTACGAGTATAATTTTGTGAGTTTAAGAAGTAGACTTAGTTAACATAACTGCTAATGAATGATTTAATGAAAATATTATTTGTAAACACCGTAATTTAAGTAGTTACATGTTAGATTTTTTTTAATCTAAATAACACATACCTAAAAATAAAAATTTAAACTGGTTCATAGTTGCACATAGAATACTTTACGAGATTTTTTAGTAGATGTTATTAGAACTTGAAAAAATATATATGTTTTAGAAGATGTTTGTATGTTAGATAAGTCGCGCATCATTCCGGAACGGCTTTCATTGCGACTTTTTTATTAATCAGATTTTAGTCTTATTAAAAAAGCTAATATACTTTTCAAATTTATAAAGTAGGCAAGCGCAGCAGGGATTATGGTTTGTGATTCAAAATGCGAAAGGTGAAATCACAGGCAGTTGCCATAGTTGAAGGTATCTCTTTAGAGTTTATTCTATCGTATTTTTTATCCCCGACATAAAAAGATAATTTCATAGTGAATCTCCTGGTCACTTTCAATGCATGTTAAGATAATGTATTTTTGGTAAAATCTCAGCTGAAGCAGTTGTCAAAATATGGTCTACGTTTATTATTACTCGACTTTCAAAAAGGAGGAGGTTCTCAATTCGTCCGATTTTTTTTATGTATGTTCACCGATTACTCGAAGACGGCTGTACCGATTTGGATTTTTTTTTGTTTCAAAGGGTATACTTCCCAGGTGGTCCCATTTAAATTTTATCGAAATCGGTCAAGCGTTTTTTTTTAAATCAACAAATTTTTTTTAAATAAATTGCTTAATTGAACATGTTATAAAAAAAACTTTCTTCTAACAAATTACCCTCTTATTACGTCTACACTAAAAATGGACAAACAAAAACTTAAAAAAAAAACTGACTTCCAGGCACTAAAATGTAAAAAATAACTAAACGGGGGTTTTCATTTAGAATAGAAACCTAATCAGATATTTTCGAAGTCGGTGCCAGCTGAAAACCCCCGTTTAGTAATTTTTACACTACCTATACATATAAACGCCTAATTATTATTAATATATAATGAACTTTTATCATTGAATAAATATAGTAATTATAAAAATAAAAAACTTGTCTGTATAAAAGCTAATTAAAAACAAGTTGATGAAGGAATCTGTCTATCTATATTATACGAGTATTATACATAAAAAGGCAAAAGCGATTACTGGCTAGAAAATTGAAATTTCGCACACGTATTCTTCATATGACGAAGGCATCCACTAAGGAAGGATTTTTCAAAATTCAACCCCCAAAGGGATGAAATACGGGATAATAGTTTGTATGAACTTTTTATTCCTTGTATGCAATTCATACGTATGTATGGCAAAAATAATGAGTTATATACATCAAAATCGGCCCACGCGTTTGGTCTGGATGTTTACAAGTTGTGTTTTAAAAGATGTGTACAAAAAAAAGCTGATACTAAATGATGATTTCGAGAATTTTTAACGAAATGTATCTAATCTACCTATGTGTATTCTATAAGACGTATCTTAATGTTTGTAAATATATACTAATATTATAAAGAGGCATAGTTTGTTTGAACGCGTTAATCTGAGGAACTACTAATCCAATTTAAAAAATATTTTTGCATTAGACACTCCGTTTATTAAGGAAGGCTATAGGCTATATATCATACTATAATATAATATAGTTTATCTATTCCATACTAACCGTTAAAACGTACCTAGGAACAACAACAAATACAAGTGATAAGTTAAAAATTTAAAAACCCCCGACCATCTTGGACCGATTTTTATAAAAACATAGCTAAAAACTCTCCCGACTAATTCACCTTTCAAACAAAAAAAACATACAAACAAAATCGGTTCATCCGTTCGGCAGCTTACGCTGCAACAGACAGACACACACAGAAACATCAAACTTATAATACCCCGTCGTTTTTGCGTCGGGGCTTAAGAACTCAATTACATATTTCAAAGTACTTTATTAATTAAACTAACATAAATTAGACCTTTAATGTATTGTATTTATATTATCAGGTCTGCGAAGAACAACAGTGCGAAGAACAGGTGTTTCCTCTGGCCGTGAGCTACATGGACAGGTTCTTGGCACAGCGCGCTATCTCACGGCAGCAGTTGCAATTGTTAGCTGTGACTGCGTTACTGCTGGCCTCCAAATTCCGCCAATGTCATCCGTTGTCAGTGGACCTCCTGTGCGCGTATACTGACAACTCAGTATATCCACATGAAGTCAGGGTAAGACAGTAATCACAAAGATTTTAAATATACAATTATACTTCATGTTGTACTTTATTTTGAAATTTTTAAGACACAGTTCTAATGGAGTATAAGGAAGGAAGAATTTTTTATGAGACGGGACGATACTAGTTTAAGTAGATTATATCTTGTGAAAGGTTAATTGTAAGGTAACGCGTCGCGAGGCACCATCACCTTACATCCTGCGACGACCGCAAGTCGCTGTATTGTTTTGATTGTGTGTGAAAGTGAATGAACTCGATTAGCCGAGTCAAATGTCATATCTTCACCCTAAGGCCTAAGGGGACAACCTTATATTACCCGTTTCCTTAAAGTTTTGTTTGTGAGTTTCCGGTAATTACTTCTTCCGTGATGACGAATTCTGGGGGAAGTCATACCTCATGTCGCCTTCTTACAAGTACAAAGCTGCAACATGTGACGAAGTCTTGAATTAGTCGCAACTTCCGACGGAAATGTGGGTAGCGAGACGTCATGATAAGACGATTCTTCTTACATCCGTAGCACTTGATGTACGAGTATGTATAGTACAGTAGTTCATTCATTATAATCCAGCGCGCACTATTGTGTTGTAAACATTCACACAGTAGGTCATTACGAATGATTGTCATAAATTTATAATGGTAATATTGTGTGAGCAGGTAGACAGGTGTGATCTGATCAATTAGTTCGCTAACACTCGTGAGTTTTTGACTTGTTGCTTTATTCACACGCAACTACCACCCTTGCTAAACAAATGTCAAGCTACGAGTACTTTATATATATGAACTAAATCTTAAGCATCTATTAAAGGATATAAAATGCAATTCTCACGTAATACTGGGCAACATATTTTTATCGTAGGTGATAGGTATGATAATTCGCTTTGATATTTGGTAGCATGTTATGTATGTCTTTTGTGAACCGTGACCGTGAGAAAGCGCTCATCGTTCTTTGACGTGGAGGACTGTAGGTAGGTACCGTATGGCGTTGTATCATATATTTCCTTACAATTAATTCGAGCGATGATCCTGATAAGTCCTAATGAACATGTTAATGAGGTCGAAGGTATGGAATAGTAGGTTCCCATACTTTGGCTCACTATTTAGCATTTTGAGTTGCTTTTAATGTGGGATAGTGATCATCTTTTGTGGGAAATGTTTTATAATTAGTACAATTCTATATATATACTTAGTACCTCTTGATATCTCTTATATTTTTATTACAATGTATCTTTATGACATACATCTATTTACATTATATTATTACAGAATTGTATTAAAAAGTTTTAATTTATATGTTGGTACATTTTCTTATGTACTTTAAGTTCGAGAAGTTCGGAAATAATCTTAACTTATATTTGAATAAGAGACGTTTGTGTGCTACTAAAGAATATTTTTAAATATTCATTTCAGGAAGTTCTTTAGTGGTGAAATAAAATCGAAGCTAGTAAAATATACTTTAATGAGGTTAAAAGATAAACAAAAGAAACGATATAAGGTTTCAATGTTGTTTTTACTTACTGATAATGATAGTCACCCCTTTTGAACTTCTGAGCTTCTTTGCATTAGTATCCCTAGAAGGCGCTGCCCTATTTTGCCCTTTTCTTTTACAATTCGCTATTTTTGCGGTTTCCGTCTGTGCTGTGGTGTATGACGGTTACGAGTACTTAAAGGTATTCCTGATTCTCTTATAGTTTGATAAACAAAGCCTTAATTACAAGAAATAAAGTAGGGGCAGTCAATGGGTGGAAGAAATACGTATGTTCCCAGGCTGATTTATAGTTTATGAAACACTTGTATATTCTTTATAAAGTCATACATATATACTAATGTGGAACATTTGTTATAGCAATGGGAAGTGATGCTGCTTCAGCGACTGAACTGGCAGTTATCAATAGCGACCGCCTTCGACTTCGTGGAACCTCTTTTAGCTCGAGTGCCATGGGGTCGGTCTAACCCACTAGTACGGACTCACGCGCTTACACTTACATCAGTCTGTTATACAGGTAATAAAATAATTTAAATATGTCTATATAATACAATTTGGAATATATTTTTTCAGTATTTGCTAATACTTTGTTGTCACTATATGCGGGTCGAATGGAATTTGGCCTTCCTTGACTTCGTGTTAATTATGGTTAATCGATAACTCTGCATGGTCCTAATACTATATTTAAGTATGTATTTTTTTATAGAGGCTATTGAAATTGTAAAGTTGATTATATGAATTAAAAAAAATGGCTGTCCTCTCATTATTACAATACGATTAGAGTGCGTGCAATGGTGTGGTCACGAGCATTTTATGTATATGGGAGGGTCGATGTATCGGAACGCACATGCCACCCGTGCCGTGATATCGTACACCTTGTGCTCCCACCCCATGTATTGACCCTTTCAAAAATGCCCTTTGTTAAAATAAACAAATTATTGCAATTATGTTTTTGTAATCGAATGTAGGTATTTTCAGAATGATTGTTTTGTTACAGATATTTCTCTTAGTTGGTATAAATGTAGCGAGTTAAATATAATATCGCTTGATAAGTTCCACTGTACTAATCAACATTCTAGTTATTGTTATGTTAAAAACTTATTAGATAGTAAAATAAACTTGGCTAAATATAAGTTTTATTCATTGGTATGCTGATAACACGAGAGGCCCGATATGTGTTGGTTCGACTTTACTAGCCATTACGTTATCTGAATTCAATCTGATTTATGGTATTCCACGCCATATGCTCGATACGGCCCTGTTGTAGCGTATAAACGTGTTCGTCAAGTTTTGGTCCAGATATTTAATTTATAATTATTATTTTCTTTATTTCACTTCAATAATATGTAATAGTAGTAATAACAACAAAGAGGTTTTATTTTTATTTCTTTTATTTAGAAGCATATTAACTTTAAACACATTAAAGTACAATTATTACGTGAACGGTGCTATTCACCACTTTGTTATTATAGATAATACATATAATAATATAGCTTTTATAAGACAATGTTTAATTTAATGTGAATTAAATACAATTTGAGTTTATTGTTATATTTCTGAAAATAATTTAAATTTTTCTAGCTATAAGCGTCTGAAATTGTTATTTTTACATACAAGCATTTTTTAGATCTATGATATATTATCATAAATACTCTATATTGCACTATCTAGTTTATCTCTAGCTATTAATATCTATAACGATAAATTTTGATACTTTGATGACACTTAACCCCTATGGTCCATCGCATCTGGATATAAAGTTATTTATACTTCTCAGCTGGCAACTCTGGATTGGCTGAACATACCAAGTGTTAATTAAAAAGTATACCTAATTATTTATTATTTGGACATAATGATTTATCCAATGAACAATAAGTTATTGGTTCTTACACGTTTTACGAAATATATAAATACTAGCGCTGCCCGCGGCTCCGCCCGCGTTCAGATGACCAAAAACCAAATTCTTAGGTTTTACATATTAGTATACCCTTAGATTGCGGTTTTTGTATTTTTTCTCAGAAAAGAGACATTTTTCCGCAGTAAAAAGTATCCTATATGTTGACCCGGATAACCAGCTATCATCATACCAAATTCCATCAAAATCCCTCCAGTAGTTTTTCTGTGATGCGGTAACAGACAGACAGACAGACAAAAATTCTAAAAATATAGATTCGGCCTATGTATCGATAATAATGTTTCCAATGATAATGATAATGATTTTCCAAAAAATATTAAATTAAAAAGCTTAGTTACAATTTTATTATATGTATAGATTTAGTTAAAGTAAATTAAAAGTTAAAGTGCCATATTTTTAATTCTAACATTGTATGAGTATGTTTGCAACATTAAGTTTATTCTGAGAGAAGATTTGATTACTTATCCTTTAATAGTAAGATTTAGTTACGAATCACATATAGAATGAGTGTGTTTCACACTTCGTCAAGTATTTTGTCCTACACTCCCCTTCATATACCTAACTTATTAGAATATCAGTAGTGATTGTTATCTCTGTAATGTAAATGGCACATATTTTTTTTAAATTAATTTTAAGTAACGAAGTAAGAAAATGTAACTCATTATGCGAATAAAATATTTTTTACTTATACAGATAAAAAACAAGTTTACCATGTCGACGACTTAGGGAGGTAAATTATAACTGAGCTCGATTTTTTCCTTTCGATAAATAAATTTTTCAAGACAATTTTAATGATCGCTGCAATGAATCCAATGCCAGGGCAGCTGGTTTCCGCAGGGAGAAACGATCATGGGATGTATATCGGCTCCTGCAGTGGAATGTACGTATTTTTACGTGAAATATCTTTAAAGATAGCAATCAAACAGCGCTTGTTATTATTTTGTAATTCAAGTAACCGTGTCACGGCCGCGGTGACTTATGGGACGACTTACGAAGGGGAGCGATCGCGCCAGCTGAGTGGCGACAATACGTGAAGACGTCCCGCGGCAATTGTTGTTACCCAAATACCCAGGCTTGTCCCGACCTCCGACAAAGGGCCCCCGACAAAGACCGTCTCACTAAGCACCTGGTGTCCCGTCCCTACGAGTACTATGCTATCTAACCCGATACTATTCGTTTACGATAGGTTTTACTTAAAATCAAACCGTTTCTTATTTCACTTCCGATTTATTGTAATTTACTTACTCATTGCATTTTTATGAGTATAATAACATATTTTTTCATGAAACGTTTATAATTTACAAAGCCTTTCAATATTATCTAATATTTAATGATTGACATATAATTAAATGTTATTCATACAAATTACGAATTGTGCATATACTATTGCCGCTTTCAATATGTAAATATGAAGATATATACTAACAATAAAGTAACAGATTTACGACCGACCGTTTGCATAACCCTAAACTAACTATTCTACTTAGTACAAAATAAGACATTAGGCGTATTCCGTATTATATTACAACTAGTTCCACACAATTAGATAATGATATTAACTATTTGCAACCCTTGCACTTTTGCATCTATTTGTAAAAGGTAAAGATTCCCATTAAGGGTGATGGGAGACAGGTTCTACAAACGGAACTTAACGGTTAATAAAGTCTGTTGGAGAAACGCTCATTACGTGTGCTGGGGTAATTAGAAGGAATAGGGTAAGACGGGGGTGTAGTCTTAGGCGCGTGGCCCCTTGACTCGTGCTAGCAGATGTCGGCTCCAACTGACGGACAACCTGTCGCACAACGTATCGCTCCGGTCCGGTGCTCGCGAGATTGCCCGATATCGTTTACGTTCATTTTAGATTCGTTAATATGCTGCCTGCTTTAAATATTATGTCGATTTATTGAATAACTAATATCGTTATGCCAATAATAATAAAACAGTTCTATGAAATATAACAAGTCTGGTAAATGTATAAGAAAATTTTGGGGGCAATCGTTTATTTTTATGAATTATTACGTTCATAACCTTTTTTTTTTAAATTTAGGAAGAAAACGAAATGACTAAAAAGTCCTCAATATCAAAAAACCCTCAGGCCTGAAACACCAGAAAGTGTAGCTTTAATCACAAGTTACTTTAATGGCGATCCGTATAAGGGTAAAATTTGCAATTAGATTTGATTTCCTTAAACAGTTGTTTACAGTGCTGTTAACTTGACCTTAGCGTTTCATTTCGCATTTTTAATGGGAATATAGAGTCGGTCGCGTGTTACGATATTGTTTTTTCAACTTAGCGTTAAAGAACTTAAAGGGCTATCGTAAGAAGCATGTAGGCGTTCAGTGACCCGTTCGTACCTACTTAGAGGCAGCAAACGGAAGGGTCGTGCCAGGTGTTGATACATCTGCCACCTTAGCTCCCTCGACTTACACCCAAAGCGACTTACTTATATATTCTAAGTTTTTACACTTCATCACTTGCTTTCCACCGTTAGAATATACCTAAGGAGAGAATACAAGACGTTATTAAATTTTATTAATCCAAAAAATGTTTTAAATATTATAAATAAATCTTATTTAAAACTAGCGATTTACCCTCGCTTCACTCGAGTGCTTCCCTAAGTGTTTTTTATTTTTTCTGAGTAGTCTTTGTTACTCCTTATAATATTAGCTATCTGCCACTGAAAGTCCCGTCAAAATTAGTCCAGCTGTTTCGGAGATTAGCCGGATCAAACAGACAGACAAACATAAAGTATTCACATGCATTTAGTAAAAAGTTGTTATTTTGACATTACAAACAGGCACTTAAATTTTATTTATCTGTATAGGTATATTCTACCTAGTCACAATAATTGAATAAACGTTTATCTTTTTATTTATCACTAGCGACTTACCCTTGCTTCGCCTACCTTTTTTGCTTTACCTACTTTTTAGTCCTAATTCTTTTTCTAAAATAAAATTAGCCAAAATTATTTATAATATCAGCTTTCTGTCAGTGAAATTGTTCCAGTCGTTTCGGAGATTAGCCAGTAGACAGACAGGGAGACAGGTTTTTTTAAAAAAAAGTGTTTTTTATACTTTCTGCATTTAGTAAAAAGTTGTTATTTTGACATTACAAATAGACACTTCAATTTTATTTATTATAAGATTATTTATCCTGCATTAAATATATTAATATGTATGTAAGAATTAATTTCTTGCCAAAAAGGTTAAATATTTATTACATGATCATGATGCTTATTGCTTCGGAGGTAACAACGGATTAAAGCACAAACTTATTTTTATTTGTGACATAACGATATTTGATTTAAGTTCAATTGATTAGGCGTAGTGTTGGAAATCTTCTGTATTTTATTTTAACAATAGAAAGTTCTTGGTCGCGGTAAATTTGCAGCTGCGCCCTTGGCTACTGAACTTAAGATGTAAATTACCATTATTCTCAATCTATTGTCGCGAGGTACACAACGCACAAAGATGCAGACGGGGACGGCATGCACAAATCTGGCAGCTGTTCGATTTTCCTTCCTTATTCTCAAACAACAATGGCCTTCGTATTGTGCAAAATGTATCGCGTTTTTTTTATGTCGCCCCTAAGAAGAATGACCTTTACCTTTAAAATAAATCTCGTCGCGATACGAATTAATTTCTGTTGACTTTTCGTTTTTTGTAGGCGAGTTAAAATATAATATATTTGACGGCGGACAGAATAAGTCAACAAAATAAAACATATTAATGCAAGGCCGCTAAGATGCAAGGTGCCCAACCACCTGTCCACCGTAGGTAATTATCTTGCAACAGATGTGCTCTACCTGCCTCCGCGTGCCTTTATACCTTCATAGTAATGCTACAACAAGAGTAATAAAAAATAAATATCAAAACAAAGAAGTGTCTGCAGTTCAACTCTCCGTCCTTGATGTCTAAATATATCTGGCCAATACAAAACATATTGGCTGCTTTAGTTTGTGAATGTGATACTTAAATATTATTTAAGTTATTTGTTATTGTCACTAGAAAGTTGAATAACCTGAACGTATTATTGTTAACAGAAACCGAGTTCCTGTTAGTGCCACCGTCGTTGATCGCCGTGGCGTGTATAACGGCAGCGGCGCGGGGGCTGCGTGTGCGCATGACCATAAACGATCTATGCACCCTCACTCGGACGCCTGCAGCGGCCGCCGAGCTAGTCGCGAGGCACGTTGAGCGAGTGCTCGCGAGAGAAACCCAGCCACAAGAGCCGAGGAGCAGACACGTTCAACCAGTGAAGCAAGCGACGCCAGAACAAACACAGCTCCCAGACACGCCAACAGACGTTCAAGACGTACGCTTTTGAACAAAAAATAACACTATTGTTATTTCCGCCTAAGGCTGCATCTCACAAATATGAAGTCAATTGATCTCATCGGTATTGATGGCATTGTTGTTGTGAATCGTTTTGAATGAATTTCTTTGTTACGATATTTTTTCGCCGCGCACCACCTGGGTGTACTAGAAAGATTCTGGTTGTAAATAAATTCTCTATTCATAATATGCCTTTCCTCAGTACTAGCTCGAGACATAGATTAGAAAAATTGCCCTTGATCTCAAATTAATATTTATGTAAAATAGCTCGTTAGTAGATATGCATTATTTATAACTGTAAACAGCTTATAATAATTTGACAGTTCGCAGGTTTCGATACTTCTGTTGATCTCCATTGATTCCAAAAATTATATTTTAAGCCTGTTTGTTAATGTTGTTCTAAGATCTCTTTGGTGTACAATATTCGACGACACGTTTGGCTCAGTTTGTAGTGACCCTACTTGCTGTGCCAGCGATCGCGGGTTCGAGCCCGCTGGGGACATTCATTTGTGTGATGAGCACGAATATTTGTACTCCAGTCATGGGTGTTTATATTTATAATAGGTATGTATGTATTTAAAATTATACATGTGTAGTTTATCAACTATCTGGTATTCATAACATAAGCCTCGTAGCTTACCATGGAACTAGATAGTGCTAGGTGTTAATGTCCCAACATATTTATATTTATTTATTTATCTATTTATATAAATGGGTTCAGACGCAAATATTCAACGTAATATATGTATGTAGTTATTTGATATTTATTTCATTTAAAAGTTATTCTCAAAAATGATCATGAGCCAGTATAATGATGAATGTTTGCGTTAACCTTAAGCAGGTAGAAAATTACTGACACACGGAACACTTAGTTATAAATGGTTGTATTATTATATTATCATCAATCTGCCAAGTGTTCGAATAGATATAATTTCAAAAACATTTTTGTGTCTTAATTGTTTATAATAATAGGATCTCAATTATTTAGCAAGTTCCAAATGAAATGTGTGTACAGCGTAAATGTTTAGTGTATAACGTTAGTCGGTTTTCAATGAAAATGTTAAAATATGTAATTTTTATTTAGGTCGATGTTAAGTTTAGTAAATTCTAGTCACATGTTTTACACATTCCTGTTTTCGACCAAACTTTATATTTAGAATTACTTATTAATAAGTTTGTATTTAGAATAATATCAAAGAATTATTTGACTTACATTCTCTCTTAAAAATATGTACCATTTTTAATATTTTTATAGAATACTCATATTTCGAATAAAGAGAGATAGTGTGAGGCGAGTGTCCTTTGAGTGTAATTTATTTTATATTGTATTTAATAGTTATAGGTAATGCTTGTGCTAAGGGAGTGAGCTGAAGGAACGAGGCGCGTCGAATGTTGAGCGATGTTGGTTAATCTAATTAGGAGAATTAATGCTCGTGTTTATAAGTTTCTCTTTAAGTAGAACTCATAAAAGCTTCTTCGAAATGTTTTTGGTTTATATAAAGCTAAATACTTAATAAAATTTTGCGTAGATCATACAATTTATTTAATGTATGTAGATAATATAAAGGCATAGTTTCTATTTCACTTTTACTACTGTGGTTGTGTTTTCATATTTTCAAAATTATTTTTAGAAGCCATTGTATGTAATAAAACAAAGCAAATTTTACTGTTTTTTTTTGTATTTATGCTGAGTAATAAATTAAAAATAGTCTACAATATACCGATGTACAACTTTGGTTTTAACATTATTGACAAAATAAAAAAAAGCCTAAAAACAAATGCTTATCTTTATATTACAATGTCTTGTATTTCCAAAAAAAAGTTTTTAATAAAAATATAAAAAGCGACCTCAAAAAAACACTACAAAGTAAAAAATAACTCATTGGGGGTCGTCCATTAATCACCACCACGTCGTTCATCTTTCTTTCGTTGAATTCAGAAGGCTGGAGAAGTTCTCACAGAACTCAGAATGTATGGAATAATATGGTATCAACGGTCATGACATCGTAGCCCGATCACAGAGCTGAAAGCTTTATTCCAGACCTGCCTTCTCCGCGGTGGTATAGCGAGCATGTAGGAGAGAGCGTGTATTCGCTTCAGGTACTGCAACCTTAATGTCTGTCTGGACATTTGCATTATTTCCTAGAATTAAATTAGATTATACCGCTATGTAAAGTTATATTTCGATTTTTTTTTAAATACTTTGTATTAAAACAAAAATACATTAATTTTAGATAGGGGTGGAGGATTAGTCTAAAACCTAGTCTAAAAATAATCAATTTCTGATATAAATATTTTGTATTTCTAATATATTTATTGCTTGTAGAATTTAACGCTTCGCTCAGTTGTGTCCGTTCCGTAGTATTTGTTGCAAAGTAATTCTAACCAGTTGATGTAGTATCAGTATATTTATTTATTTATTTATTTACTTCTTTTTACACATTGTATCAATTCAATGATCACTTGTGTACGTCAATTAGAAGACTTAAACTAAAGCTACGAGGGTTCGTAACGCGCCCTGGTCTGAGAAGAACCCACAAGAAACTCAGCCAAGTAACATTTTTTTTATTGTGATCATTGTTTCACAAACATCCTTACTTCAGTATAAAGAGCAATTCATTCCCAAGCTTTTTTATCACTTAAATAATCCTTTACATTATAATAGGATTTATTTATTAATTGTCTTTTAATGTAAATTTTAAATTTATTTATTGACAGTTTTAAAGTATCATCTGGTAGTTTATTGTAAAAGCGAATACTATTACCAATAAAGGAATTACCAATTTTATGGAGCCTAGTGGTGGGCTGAACTAGCTTATTTTTGTTTCTAGTGTTTACATTATGCAGGTCACTATATTTCTTGAATTTATCAATATTTTTATGTACATATATTAGATTTTGATAGATGTATTGGCAGTGTATAGTCATTATTTTAATTTCTTTAAACTTATTCCGCAAAGATTCTCTTGGGCCTAAATTATATATAGCTCGAACAGCCCTTTTCTGCAGCACAAAAATTGTGTCAATATCAGCAGCATTACCCCATAGTAAAATACCATATGACATAATGCTGTGAAAATAGCTAAAGTATACTAACTTAGCTGTCGTTACATTTGTTAATTGACGTATTTTCTTAACCGCGTAGGCTGCAGAACTGAGCTTATTCGATAATTGAGAAATATGAGGGCCCCATTGGAGTTTGGCATCTAATGTAATGCCTAGAAATACAGTGGTATCAGCTAGATCTAGTTCCTCATTATTCAGTCGTACATTGGTTTTTACACTTTTAACATTTGGTAAAGTGAATTTTACACATTTTGTTTTTTTCTCGTTTAGTAAAAGGTTGTTGACATTAAACCATTGTACCACTTTGGATAAAGCAATGTTCACATCGTCAATTACTGCTTGTCGTCTGTTAACTTTAAAAACTAAAGATGTATCATCAGCAAACAAAACTATCCCGTGGTCATCCTTTACGAGGTATGGTAGGTCATTTATATAAATGAGGAACAAAAAAGGACCCAAAATTGAACCTTGTGGTACACCCATTTCAACAACTGATCCAGGGGAACGCTTTCCATTCACGTCTACCCTCTGGATTCTTTCATTCAAATATGATCTAAGTAAATCCAGAGCCTTATCTCTAATTCCGTAGTGGTGTAATTTTCTGACCAACGTTTCATGATGAACGCAATCAAATGCCTTGGACAAATCACAGAAAATGCCAAGTGCATCACGTGACTCCTCCCAGGCCTCAAATATATTTAGAAGTAACGCGACTCCAGCATCGGCTGTTGAACGACCGCGAGTGAAACCGTATTGCTTTACATGTAATAGTTCATTATTATAAAAATGTTTCGTAATTTGAGTTAACATTATTTTTTCAAAGATTTTACTAAATGTAGGTAATATTGAAATAGGCCTAAAATTAGTGGCATCAGTATAAAAACAATAGTAGGTAGTTATTTGTTATCTCTATGTAAAAATTAGGTAAATCAAACAGTTTTACCCTATTGGGTATTGCTAGAAAGACAGAAGATTTCAAAAAGTTATAAATCAATTTTAAAAATCGTCTAACAAAAATTTTGACTTTAGAATTAAACTATAAAACTAATAGTTCAAAAAGGTAGTTTTTGAAATGTAAGGCTGTCGGTTCAGGTATCATAAGTATTTTTCTTATTATTTTTTATGGATATAAGCTTGTCTATTTTTAATGCTACATTCAAATCGGGCTCATGTGGATACGAAAGAACTACGAATCTCGTGGGTTGATTTGAACGCAGTTTTTCGTATCTACCTATTTGGTGTTAACGGATAATTTCTCCTAAATACTTGTAATTTTACCATAAATATTTCGCTTTTTTCTATATAAAAAATAATAAAATTCTCGCTGTCTTCTTCTATCTGTTTCTTCGGTAATTTTTTCTAAATCACCTAACAGATTTTAATACGGTTTTCACTATAATAATTTTCTTTCGGAAGGTTTATATTATGTAGGTATATAATAATGTATGCATATTATAGTAGAGAAAAGCTGAGAATTTCAAAGATTTGTAATGATGTCGTAAAACATATTCTTGGGCGTTTACATTGCTAACGCTGGCTAAACCTTACGAGATATATCAAAATAATGAACTAGGTACGGGATGCGATGGTATATGTTAGGATATACCTAAGGATAACTCACAGTAAGCTTTTTTATTCTTTAAATAATAATTATTACTAAAAATTATGGATTTTAAGAAGCTATTTTAAACAATACAATATTAAATATATTACTTGAGTATCATTGCTATCGACCGGAAATTCTTCTTCTTCTATTTTTATTTTCCGCCAACCGTCTGGGTTCTGAAGAAAAGACAAACAAACATAAGAACAATAGATTTGGTACCACTTAATTAATTATGGGTAGTAATATAGATTGATTGATTTTTAGTTTTAAATACATATTATATGTATATGAATAAGTACATAAATATTTTTATATACAGATAAATTTTAAAGCCATATATCGATGACTTCAAATAAAAAACAAAAGGAAAATAAGAGAATGGGAATAGAACTAAGGATTTAAATTTTGAATAAAAATAGTTTTCAGATGTAAAGAAATGTAAAAATGGAACAATTTATTTTAAAACTAAGATAATAGCGCCATCTCGTATTCCAGAAAGACAAGTTTTCATAGATGGCACTGTGATTTAGTTAAAAAAATCGCCAACAGATGGCAGAATGTCAGAGGTAGTAGTATTTTTTCAGTTTTTATCCACAAGATGTCATGACCACCAACTAACATTTTAGAAGCCAATAAATATTTTAGTACATTAATTGTAGATGTCGCTACTAAACGTTAATGTGTCTTACGAATATTTTTTTACAAAGTTAGACCGATTTTAAAATTATGTTGTCAAAAATGTTTATTTCACTCTAATAAAATGATTTTTTGAAATTTACACTCACATGTGTAACATCGCATCACATAATATTGTACTAACTATAAGTGCATACATTGCTTGATCCGGGCGTATTCGGGCTATTTTTGTTTATTTGAATAATGAATAGATAATTTAATTTATGTTAATAATCTGCAAACTTTCAAGCTAGTTTATTTATTAAATATAAGCAAACAAAAATATGATTAATACTGCGAAGGTCATCGTTTATTTAATAAAAAAAAAAAAACAATGATTTTAATAGTTTTTAAACGTCTACCACGTTTAAAAAGTATTAAGCCTACTAATTCATAAAAAGAAAAAGCCTTATCTATAAATATATCCTACAATTTCATTAGAAATTATCTGATTGCTAATTTTAGAATATTCAGAAAATGACGCAAGTTTAATTTACGAGCACATTATTTCGTTCACGTTAACTTAAGAGATTTTTTAAAATACCTTTTTCGGATCTATTTTTATCTTTTATTAATTTTACACAACTTCAATAACAAATTAATAGATGTAATGCAATCTATTGACATTTTTTTGAATTTTATTTGTTCCTGATGAGAGTCCATATAACACTATCCATTAAAAAGAATCATGATAATAGCTTAACAATAATTACAGTGATTATATTTTGTAACCTATGATCTGTTTGTAAATTTTAATACGAATTGAGACCGTTTCTTTTATGAAATCGTGTAATATACTTGTCCTATTCGAACAAGCTTAAAGGTAAACAAGGTTCACATATTATACAATATTAGTACGGATACCACTTTTTACCTCGGATATTTTTAACAATCCTATTAAAGTTTGGATAGAATCATAGATGATGGATGTTTGATTGAAATTTTGTTAGTTTCTGATTTCTGCGGAAACTGATTGAATTTAACATACATAGTAAATAGGGTACGATTAATTCCTGAATTACATCTATCTTGGGCAAAGGATAAACTCTGGCGATTTATGAGATAAATTGAGACAATTGAATTGATAATATGCTTTTAATAGCGTATGCATTTAAGTAGACCACTTTAGCCTTGAATTGGTTACGGGTAGAACACTAAACAGGGTAGGTACTTATTGTCCTTTTATAGTCGAAGTAGGAACATAACTACGTTTTCGAAATAAGTCCAAAAAGCCATATTTGCTCATAGTTACCATACTCACTAATATTTTTTTTAACACTTGTATTATCTATACATATAATAAAATTGTAACTAAGACGAATCTGTACATTAAATATTTTTTGGAAAATCTTATTGAAATAGACATTATTATCGATACAGAGGCCGAATCTATAGTTTTTAGGATTTTTGTGTCTGTCCGTCCGTCCGTCTGTTACCGCATCATAGAAAAACCACTGGAGGGATTTTGATGAAATTTGATATGGTGATAGCTGGTTATCCGGGTCAACATATAGGATACTTTTTACCGCGGGAAAATATCTCATTTCTGAGAAAAAATGCAATGTAAGAGTATACCAATATGTAACACCTAATAATTTGGTTTTTGGTCATCTGAACGCGGGCCCAGCCGCGGGCAATGCTACAATGCTAGTTATATATATGTTTCATAGGAACATATTAAAATTCTAAAAAGCAATCTGAATTTTAATAAAAAAATTATTGAAAGTTTCATTCTGTATCAGACATAAGAACATATAAAAATAATTACATGTAAGTAAGACATGGACAATCAAGTATTATAATATTTTCTTTATATTTATAGGTATTATTTTCAAACAAGGCAATGACGCGCGATGAGCTTCGGTCGTAATTTTTTTTTGTGAAAATTACTTTAAATATTGTTTTACATTGTTTTATATTTATTTCAACTAGAATAATTCAAATAGAATAATTACCTAAGCAGACTTAGAACTTTTGCATAGGATTGTGTATTTAGGACCTCTTTTTGATCTATGATACATACTTATATAAAAATTATTATCATTATTGTCCCCATACAAGAAGCGTTTCTTTATAGGTTCTTCTTGCTGTTGCTCTATCGTGCATTGTTTGCACAAGTTTCGTAAATTACTTTGAATATATATTGAAATATATATAATTCTTTTGTACGAATGTTTGTTAACCTTCTCCTCCTAAAGGGCTGGACCGATTTGGATGAAATTTTGTGTGTATATTTCAATGGGCTCCAAAACAACTGGTGCGATTTTGATGAAATTTTCAGGTAATCTTCAGATTAGCCCCGCGGGTGATCCTGTGATTTTGTTAGCGATCGGAAGTTTGGACGCGGGCAAAGCCGCGGGTACTGCTAGTTGAATTGTAAAATTATTAAAAAATAAAATTGTGGCCCCTTTATCAAGAATAAATTAAAATAGAAAAGGGTCAATTTGAACATCTTGTGATGATCCACTTAACTATTTTTTTTATATACTTTTATTGGTCTTACAAAGAAATAATAATTATAGTAATCTTTTTATTCATATTATATATTTTGACGTCCTTAATAATTGAGTCACGTACCTACTTATACGAGTATGTATTATATACATACGCTGTTTTTTGCTGTATTAGGGAAAATAGTTTTTGATAGACGGACACAGACGCGTGAGTATATAGTTATCATGGTTCTTCTAATAGGATGTGCGGTACACTTAAAAAATTACCGATAAATATGAAAATTAACGTTATTATTTTATATTAATTTTAGAAAACAAGTTAAGTAATATATTTTACATTTACATTTTCCGCAAGTTTATTTAAAATTTTCCCCATTTGCACTTGAAAGTCCGATACGACACTGAGGGAGTAAACACACGACAGAAGGGGGGTTTTTGGGGACTCCGCAAAGCCAGGCGTACGAAAAAGCTAGGCGAGGCGAGCTCGGGGCGTCGCGTCGGGGCAAACACACCGTCTCGGGAGAGCCGTTCATTAGTTGTTCAAACAACCCAGCGGCGGCCACTTTGACAAGCGAGAGGACCGGCGTCCTCCGTCTAGAGGATTCTTCCCCTTCACTGATCTAAGGTTAACTAAAGAGCTATCGGAGCTGCACATTGTAAATAGAGCGGTCTGCTGAGCTAATGAACGTTTCAGTTGAATAGATAGTGCGGTTGTTTCAAGAAATTTAACTCTCCGGTTAGAACTAATTATGCTGTTTAATATTAGGAACTCTAGGTATTTGTTAATATTATTGAATTTTATCTCATACTAGCATTGCCCGCGGCTTCGCCCGCGTTCAGATGATCAAAAACCAAATTCTTAGGTTTTACATATTAGTATACTCTTACATTGCAGTTTTTGTATTTTTTCTCAGAAATGAGATATTTTCTTGCGTTAAAAAGTATCCTAAATGTTGACCCGGATAACCAGCTATCACCATACCAAATTTCATCAAAATCCCTCCAGTGGTTTTTCTGTGATGCGGTAACAGACAGACAGATAGACAAAAATGCTAAAAACTATAGATTCGGCCTCTGTATCGATATTAATGTTTATTCAAAAAGATTTTCCCAAAAATATTTAATGTACAGATTCGTCTTAGACTTTTATTATATGTATAGATTATTAATAAGTCATTGAGATAAATTAAAAGTTATAATTTTAATGCCACATTTTTATTATAGTACCTATCCAAAATTATAACAATTACAATTTTTACCACGCTAGGTTTACCGTTTAGTTAATTTTTAAACTTCAGTTACAAAAAAGAGATTTAATTTTATGCGATATATATTATGGATATATTTATTATTGTATATTATATATTTGAAGGTGCAGAGCGTTGTCGTGGCAATCAAGGCAATGGTTGGCTCATCAATCACAGGCGCAGGTGCCGCGTCATACCCGTCACCCTCTGGACTGAAAACTCTAACGTCTATTGTACAGATTATGTACAACTACGTTGTTATTATATTGTTTCTACAAAACATATTTAAAAAATTATATAATAATTTTAAAATGTATGTTTTAAGATGTATTTATATACAGATAAATACTTATTATACGTAAGAAATGTACCACCAAAGTTGTTTAAATATAAACTACGACCCGGCCGCGTTGGCTTTGGTCCACTCTACACTGCTTGCCAAAATATTCATAAAAATTCTATCCTTATCACTTGGGAACCCTTGCTTTTACTCGGAATAAAAAAAAACTCCTGACAATTCCAGTGGAATCTTTTACACCCCCCCCCTCTCCCTCCCTCCACTAAAAGTACCTTTAAAACAAAAACTTTTAATTCTGCAATGTCCAGTACCTACCAGATCCAAAGGTTCGAATCCTGAGACAGGCTCAGAAATTCTCACTTGTGGCTTAAAATTAAAAAGTTCTCTTGGCGAGCTTTTTTTCCTGCGCCTGATCACTTCCATTTTTCCGCTATTATATCTTTCGGACCGATGTCAGAGAAATCAATCGAAATCAAAGACCGTGACCTAAATAGATCACGAGGAGGAAATTACATACATATATACAAGTGCTTATGAAATTACGTTAAACAGACATAACGTTAAAATGAGACTGATGATTGACATAAAAATCGATAATGTCGGTAAATAAGTAATATGAAATAGAGTTAAATAATAATCATTTAAATTTTAATATCTTACTGTTACAGATGTGTAATTTTAAAGATGAGAAACTTTGCGACACGTAGTTTAGTTATTCCTTAATTAAAAACAGTAAGCAAGTACGGGGCCGCTCGGCATGTGGCCTCGGGGGCGCAAATTGAATTAGGAGACGCACGCATTCGCCCATAACCACGCATTATCCGATTAGTAGTTGCAACGACGCTTCAAGAGAGCGCGATTACTATTTCTTTGTTTGTTTTTTGATTTATAATCCTCCTATTAAACATTTAGCATTTAGATGTAGTATTTTAAATGAACTAAATCCGTGTATTCCAGAGAATGTTAATTGTTAATAAAAAATTTACTTTACATGTTTGACTTACATAATATCTATAATTAAAATTATAATGCGACGTACTTTTTCATATTTTATCACCTTTACCTATAATAATCATGGTGACTCTATCATAAGTGTTTCCGGAAATATACTAAGTACTTATCGAGATGAATTTGATAAATGTCAAAAGTCTTTTAATATAAAAACTTTTTAACAAAAAAATAAAAACCGACTTCAAACAAAAGCGCTAAAAAGTAAAAAATAACTGATTGGTAGTTTTCATTTACTATACATACCTAATCAAATATTTTCGAAGTCGGTGTGCTTTGCTTTGTATGGGCTGGCACCGATTTCGAAAATGTTTGATTAGGTATGTATTTAATAGGTAGGCTTTAATTACTTAGCCAAAGCACAATTAGAAGTAGGTTAAATTCATCATTAGTTGTTTTTCCACCCTTAAGGGTGGTATTTTTTTTTTGAAATTTAAATGGGACCAATTTGGAAGTATACCCTTTCAAACAAAACAAAAATTGTCCAAATCGGTTAATAAATGACGGAGTTCTGAGGTAACAAACATAAAAAAAAAACATACAGTCGAATTGAGAACCTCCTCCTTTTTGAAGTCGGTTGAAAAGGCCCTGCTAGAGAAACCTGTCTCACGTTCACTGTGTCTGAAATATAGTTGGTTTCTTTATTAAAAGTGCTCCCCGTGTGAAATTATGTATTAAGTTTTCAATGACTTGTGTTATATTATTCTATATACCAACCTATGTACATTCCTCAGGCAACAATAGGTACTGATTATCCGAATACATATTAAGGTACCTAATAGTCTTAAGATATAATGTTTTTTTACATACATATATGTAGGTACGTATGTATGTATGTATCAATTTATTAACTATATACTTTTAATCAACTTCAAAAAAAAGAAGAGATTATATATGTATTTGGGTATGTATGGTTTTTCTTTTATGTCACGCGGAATTTTGCCTATTGTAAATCCTTACGGAAAAAATGTTTTTTTTTCTTTTTTTTTTAATAAATAGGCTTTAAATACTTATCTCAATGGTGTAAAAGTAGTGTGTGATGTTAGTTACTTTTAATTTTTAATTTAAAAGTATTTTTTTCTGTTCCTCCTTAAAACTTATATCAGGAAAAAGTGTCTGTAAAAGTGAAAAACTACGTAGCAGTTGTTGTTTGATTGCAGGTCGCTAAGTGATCACATATATTACATGGGACTTGTTTTCCATCCCCTCCTTTCTACGAGGTAAATAACATACCTATTAACAAGCTGAGTATTTTTTATTGTTCTAAATAATGTGTTGATTGCCACTATATATAAGCTTACTTTAGTAATTTTAATTGTTACTTAAATCCTAAAAAAAAAACTAAAAATACTATCTAAGAAATATGTAGGTATATATAAAACAGCTGCATGATAAGATAGGTATCTACAGAGCTAAGTTATGTGGTCTCTTCTAGTTTATATAGCTATATATCGGTTAAATAGACGATCAAACTGTCTTATAGACATAAAAAAAGGTAAGTGAAGAGGTGCTATTTTGGATTTAACTCCTTCATTAACAGATTTTGTTCTGATTTCTGCTTGCCGCTTCACTATAATATCTACCCTTTAACCAAATCGCTTTCTAAAATACCAAGTAATAAGAACAAAGTGTAAGGCACAATTTTATATGTTTTTTTGTTTACAAATAGTTTGTAAGGGTTCATATAGGAGTAGTGAATAAGAGGGCAATGCTCGTAATCTACATCTTAATTCTTATCAATATTTAATCACTAACAAAAATTACACACTAAAATGGCAATAAAGCACTACATGCATTTTTCTAATACATCAAACAGAAAAATAAAAAAGGGAGTAACAGTATTGCAATTACGATGAATAATAAATAAAGTGGCGGGATGCGTCGTGCGTCCCGCGGGACGACGCCACGTTGCGTTGCGATGCGAATATTACACGCGTCATTTTCTCACGTATTCTATACTCTGTAGACCTTGCTTTTTAATAATTTGATTGATATTTATTGTCGTAACAAAATCGTTATCTTCTCGAATCATTAATTGTTGATATCAATAATTGCTGAAAAAATAAAATTAATCGCATTTAGGTACCTACTTCTTTCCTATGTTTAGAGTGCAAGTAGAAAAAGTATTTATAACATTTCTATAATCAAATATTATATACTTATTTATATCAATAATATATTTAAATATTGAATAGTTTATAAAATTTAATTTCAATCGTAATATTCGCGTAGATTTTCCATAATAATGAACTTGTAGAGTTACCTACTTCAGTTGAAAGTTCTTACGAGCGCAGTTCTCCGTGGCCACCCCAGAGAAACGATCAATCACATGCGACTCGAAGCCTTTTCTCTACAGAAAATCCTTCAAAACTTTGAAAGTATACATATTATCTGCGTTTCTCGTAGTAGGTACCTGTAACGTTAACGGCAAGTTTCGGTGCCATAGCAATCCGGATTAAATATACCAACAGCCATTCATTAGTACCCTACCTGGATTGTTAATTACAACTTTTTTATTTTCCTCAATGACAAAGAAACTGTCGGCGAAAAGAAAAGTAGACAAGTGTCGTGACATGCACCCTCGAGCTCGCCGCGGAGGGGGAGAGGGTGCGGGGACCAATGGGGCGGCCTGCTCGGGCAGCAGGCGCGCCTATTGGCCCTCCTGGGGGTGCAGCCCCGCCCCCTCCTCGAGGCTCGCCCTTATTGAATTAGGCTTATCATTCGATTTCAAGTGGGGCAAGCGCGCGGTCCTACGCGCCAGCAAGCTATCCTTGCGATCCGATATCATCTGTAATCGACATAATTCGATATACTCGCGGCTCATCCAATTATGCGGCTGTGAGCATTCGCGACCTCTGACGCGATAAGTTAGCGCCCCGCGTGGCGCGCCGCTTTTGGCGGGAGCGGAGAGTTTTTCGGTTGTCTGGGTTTCGGGGCCGATGTTAGGAAGTGCCTGTAGATAGCTTGAACCATGGAGTACGGATACCTCAGCGGCGCTGGCGGCGGATTCGATAGCGGATGCTTAGGCTCGGGCGGTGGCGAGCTGTCGTGGGGAGAGTTGGCTTCGTGCGGCCAGATGTCCCAAGCGGCGTACCGCTACCAGGGCATGCGCTACCAGCCGCCGCCACCTCAGTGTGCCCGGCCTCAGGATGCCGCTATGAGAAACCATCATATTTTCCCGCCGGCTATGAACTTGCAACGTAAGTAACATCTGTTTATGTTTATTTCCGTCGGGGAAAAATACACATCGACGTTTTGCAATCAATTAATTATTAGCTTTTAATTTTTATAAGACTTTAATTTATAAATTCATTGAGAAAATATTATTTATTTCCGACTATTAATATCCAATAGGTATTCTAATAGATCTACGTCAGAGTACTACCTATTTTAATTGATTTCATTAGATGAGAAGTAGGTACCAGCCTTAGAAAATTATTTATAAGTATTAATTAATATTATTCTTTCTTACATGAATTAATATAAAATATTATAAAGGCTTACTTGTCATGTTATATAAATACGAGATACCTATGTAGATAATATGAAATACGAAAAAAATTGATAAATAGAACATGAGTAAAGCGAGCTAGATTATATTTTACACGTAAGTTAATAACTATAAATGCGAAAATATGTTGGTTGAAAAAACCATCAGTTTGTTAAGCATGAATTGACGCGATGTTTTGCACAGAAATATTTTGTGTCGATGAGTTACATGGGCTAATGTTTATGGTATCAATTAAGTGGTTCGTGGGATTTTATAATGTTTCCGGCCACCCCTGAGTGAAACGAGGGCGAGTCAGTGCCTCATAGCTATGTGTAAATAATTAAGATATTACCGTACCTACATACCTATTGATATGATTACCATTTGCCTTACGGTGAAGGAAAATATCGTTAAGAAACCTGCATGTCTGAGAGAATGTAGCAAGTTTTCTGAGAGAATCTAGAAAGACATGTGAAGTCCACCAAGCTGCACTTGGCCAGAGCGGTGGGCTATGGCCTGATCCCCCTCGTATTGAACGGAGGCCCGTGCCCAGCAGTGGGACGCTAAAAAGGCTGAATACATAGATACCTATCAACCTATATTTGTTTATACTTACGTTACAGAGAATTCTGAATATATAAAGCTAGGCTAGGATTATTGGCTTATACAGTGTTCGTTTTAATTCTTATAAGGTGGGTGGACCATGAAAGGCTCTCATGCTCTTTGTGAGGCCGATTATTAAAATGTCGTAGTTATTGAAATGCGATGACAAATTCCTTCTACTCAGACTAGCACCAATCGAACTCAAGCACTCAGACGCAGCGGCAAGTCGCTGGCGCTGCTGGTTTGTCAATGCGGTCCCTCGCTTTGTTGACTTCTTTCGTCGACGTTAAAATTCTAATACGCACTCATAGCAAAACGTTAGTTTTCAAGTAAATAAACTATTATTTTCTTTATTATTAAGCTATTGCATAGCTTCTATCGCGGGCCTCGAGCGTGGGGACCGAATCCAGAAATTCCGTAACGAAAAAAACCTGACACCCCCCACTCCGACCGGCACAGCGGTGATACTTCCATCTATCGATTTTTTTTATCTGAATTGATATACTCGTATAAGGATTTACTCTTGTACTAAAGTAAAATTATATTATTTTATTTCAATCTTATTTAAAATATCGGTAGAGTTCCTAGGAAAGCCAATAGTTCCTTGTAAGGCCGAAAAAAGATCATCAAAAAATTGTTAGTTGGCCTTGCTAGGGCACAAGGAGCTTGCTAGGAATATTTAGGAATCACGAAGATGTAAATACTTAGTTTTTAGTTGTAAATGCGTTTCGGGAAAGGTAAAACAATATATAAGTTCACAATATTATTGCCTTAAATCATGCTTTAAATAATTTTATTTTAAAACTCCTTTTGGTCTTACAAGGAACAGACCCATAAGAAGGCCATTACCTATAGTCGGTTTTAATTTTTTTTATTTTATTTTAAATATTATTGGCAACTTATTTGATATCGACATAATGCTTATTAAAATTACTTTTAAAACATTTTCACAAATATATAAGTTCACATTTTTTTCAAATTTTCATTTTTGTTCAAATTTCTTAGTTTTACGATAGTGTTCAAGCAATGTTCGTTGACTATTTTTTATACAAATATATTATGATATGTATTTAATGTTTCATTTTAATGAAAGTTAGTTAATGTTTTTATGATGATTAAAGATAGCTAGATATTTTGATTGTCTCAACGTTAGTTTCAAGTTAAACGATTGATATATTATATCGGCTTTGTACGGAGCCTTGTTACGTGCAAGGCCATTTTGGAACACTTCAATAAAACTTAAATTTAATAAATAATCATTAGGCAACTCAGCAATAAAATAAAATGTTTTATAAGTTACATAATAGAACAAAGCGTTACGTAATAATTTGTTTGTGTCATTTATCCAATAAATAAAAGAATTATAATTGTTTATTTGTTAAATGGTCGACCCACGATATGTTTCTTAATTATACACAAAGACCCTGTCGCAGCTTCATTGTCCTGGAATGGAGTTTGTCGTTAATTAAATTAAAATAATTAAATTTATTTAAATTATGATTTTCATTGGGTTACATTTTACTGTAGTTTCCGCATAATCACATTTTGTTTATATCGCAACTTTCGTACGGGAACCCTTTTTCAACCGACTTCAAAAAGGAGGAGGTTCTCAATTCGACTGTACTTTTTTTTGGCAAATAAAGTAGCTTGTGTACATGTCACTAATTGTCTGAACTTGTTTCGAGGTTTAAGCAGCTAAAGTTAGGCAAGAACAATAGAAATCTGTGTGTTACTCCAGATCACACTCTGTCGGCAATAATTATATCTACTTATATAAATCGGACTACCATTATAAATACGAAACTTTGTATATGTGAGTGATTGTCACTGCTGCACGCTGAAACGCCTGGACTGATTTTGGTGAAATTTAATGAAGTAAAGTTACATATAGGCTATTGTTTGACATCTAAAAACGGTCCCAGCGAAGCAAGGGTAAGTCACTTGTAAAAATGAAATAATATTAGTATATTTCAAATTTACATAGTTACTTATCCGACTAATGTTTTCAGCGTAAATAATTTGAAAGAGTTACCTGTAAAACTAGGAAATTCGCTAAAAAATTAAAAGTTATTTTTTTAGGATTGTTGTGCGAACTGTTTGAACGAAAATGTTTGGACGTTGTTTGGACAGAAAAATAAAACAAAGTTTGTAGAGTGAATTAAAATATTTTATTATCTAATTAGCCGAGTCGGATAACCTTATTTAATATGAATAATTTGATTTTAGTTATTACCCTCTGCTAAATGAGTAGAGACATACAAATATAATCAGATAATTTTTTTATTTAAGTATAGTGAATGGTAGTTCCTTTCATACGTGGATATTAAGTTATATCATGACAAAAGATATTTGAAAAAACTATAATAATGACGAGTAAATACAGTAGTAGGTAACTCACGTCGATTTGTGACTTTGTCCTTATGAAACAAAAGCTGTGTTCATATATACAACTAGCATTTCCCGCGGCTCCGCCCGCGTTCAGATGACTAAAAACCAAATTCTTAGGTTTTACATATTAGTATACTTACGTATTTTTTCTCAGAAATTTTCCTGCGGTAAAAAGTATCCTATATGTTGACCCGGATAACCAGCTAGCATTATACCAAATTTCATCAAAATCCCTCCAGGCTTAGTTACAGTTTTATTATATGTATACCTATAGGTAGGTATATTCTCGGGAATATTAAAAAAAACTGTCTTTTAACATAGACAAAATTTTATATATCAGATACGGAATAGGTACAAACAAATGCTACCTACTTCTTAACTCTGAAGAGTAAAAAAAGATGTAAATTAAAGCTGGACGTCTGCTAGCACCGACTAAGTAAAACTATTTATTTAGGTTATAGGTACCTATGGTAAATGAAAACTCCGTTTAATTATTTTTTGTTCTTTTTATACCTTGTCCGTTCATTATCCTTTAAAAAAATATATATTTTATTTTTAACCTAGGCATATAAGAGATGTAAATGTGGAAGGTATTTTAAGGTATAGATAGATATTTTGTTAAAAATTGATATTTAAAGATAAGTATTGTTACCATCCAATGCCTGAGAATACAGTAGTTCTTATATTATAAACCGTTCAGTCGCTTTTACTATTCCCTAAATAGGTGCAGCAGCAGAATAATAAAGGTGCTAAATCCAATAAAAAATAATACTTTTGTAATCTCGATTCACTAGCGACTTACACTCGATTTGCTTAAGGGCGTCCGTACCTATGTGTCTAACAGACAACAGTAGCTTATGTGGTTCCTAAGGTCAGGTCTATCTGTGTACATAAATTTCACCCAAAAGCGCCCTGCCGCTTCATCGCGAAGGAGTAAAAAAACATACGAATTTTGGCATTTGTATTTAGTAGACGTTTTATCAGTGATGAAACGGATAATTATTTCCCCGGATACCGGATATCCGGCTCACTTAAAATCAGGACCTCACACCCTAGTATAATTTTAATATCTAGTAAGCCCAGACTCAAAGGGCTTACTAGAAGCTATCATAGAGTTACACTACTCACTCCTAGCTTCTATTACTAAATTTAATATTTAATTACATCGATTACTCAATTAATTAATGTAATGTCAACGGTCATAAATAGGTTATATTATTTATATTTAAGTTATAATTAATTAATTTAATTGGTTAATAAAAATATCTTAAATTTCATTTTTTTATTTACCCGAAAACGATACGGGCATGCTTTTTGTCAAATAAAATTATATGGGACTACCTCCAGATCTGCTTCAAAGGAATACAACTTAAACTAGCTAAATCGGTTAAGCGTAGCTACCTATTTGAGAAATCTGTGAGCATATAAAAATATAAATAACGTTTTTATTAATTTTAAAGAATTTTAATAGATGTAGCTTACCTTATGTAAAACAAATAAGGTTTCGAAAATAATGTACCTATATAATAATAGCTTGAACTTTTAATCGATCCATGGTTCAGCTACGGGAGAGCTTGCCATAGTAGTTCTTAGCAAGTTCGCAGTAGATCTTGCGAATAGTCGCAACCTACTATTTTATAGTACGAATTCAAAATATCGTACATCGGGTGGACCCATTGAGAGCAACTATAATAGTTTTCTAAGCAAAATAGTAATTGTCAATG